GGAATAAAAGTGGATACTCCAATAGAATCATCACTGGATGATGTTCTCGTTGGGGGATTTTTCATGGGGTATTTTCATGTATTTTCAAGTGGCTACTTTCCCAAGTGGGCTGTCATGATTTAACCATCAATTTTCCATCGGGTTCTTAAGCAACAAAAGTAATGATATGGTACGGACATAATGGTAATGACATACAAAGTGGGGCCCCCAAGATAGCTAAGTTGGTTTATAAGTCCAATAACTATGGTTTATGGTATTTATAACTATAGTTACTGGGGCTTATAAACCAACCTATAACTGGGGGGCCTCACATTGTAGCTATTAACCGATTAATCCAGCATTGGCTACTTGGAGGATTATCCCACATATCACAACTGGTAGGTAAGCATAGTAATGTGCCACCACTATATGTGGCATAAGCCACTGTTGCTGGGGACGTACGGACTTACGGACTCACCAGGGTTATGAGAAAAAAAAACCTTCAAGATCTCGGGCATTGATAAATAGGTATCCGAGATACTAAACCACTGGTGATAAGGCTAGTGGTTAACCACTGTTTTGAAACCAGCTAGGGATACCAATTCTGATTACAAACTGGACAAGGGATTTCAAACTGTTCTGTAATCCCTATTTTACTCCCATTTTCCAAACTGGAGTACAAAAATCCCCAAGAAACAGGAGGGCTTCGGCTCAATTACCAAGTTATTGGGAGATCATGGACTTCATCAATGGTTATGAACTGGGGATTATAATGGGACTAAAAAAGGTGATTATATGGAGATTATATAGGATTATATTGAGATTATATACTGGTTGGTGGTTTTAACCATCTTGAAAAATATAAAAGTCAATGGGAATGATGACATCCCATATATGATGGAAAATCAAAAATGTTCCAAACCACCAACCAGTTATCATCCCCAATCAATATATACACACGCCTATATAATCATCGATCAACATGTGCTCAGCATTGCTCAGCTAGGTCCAGGTATTGACAGGTCGTAAATTGGTATCAATGTCTTATTGATCAATTATACAGTCAAAATATTATATAATACTATACAGGTAGCTTCTAATTGGGTATTGATACGGTACCTTTTGTATCTATGAACCAATGAGCTAGTAATTGGATCTTGGTATTAAAGGATATTAAAGGTACAAACATGGGAATTGATGGCTTTGGAACTCACCATTTAAACAACGGGAAAATCATAAGTCTGTCCTGACGAGGTTGTTTTGCCGTACATGCTGTGCCGCTTTATCTTCTTGCTCTTGTACCTGCCGGCAAAGTTGAAAAACATGCCGATGAAAACCCTGAACAATGATGGTTTAACAGTGTTTTAACATGTTAAGCATCAAACAAAAAAACTGGTTTAACTCTGGAAAATGGCGGTTTAAGTACGAAACGATTATTTAACTCGAAAAATGGCAATTTGACCATTGAAAAAAATGGCTGGGCTGGGACTTACCCATTGAAAATCATGATGCAACTGGGATACAATAGGATATAAATATAATCCCCTTGTTTATTGTGTAAACTAGAGTAAACATTTACATAGGTCCCTGGTTTGCCAAGGAGAATTATCTATTGTGGATTTAGGTGGATTTCCATATCTAGGCAATTTAAGTTTGAAAGATCATCAATGATCATCAATGACAATCATACATTTATGATTTATGATATTTACTTATGTATGATTATCATAGTATGATCGTATGATCATAGTTATCATATATTCAATATCACTGATGTTCATAGTATGATCATCAATCATATATTTATCAATGACAATCATACATTATCTGGTTGGTGGTGTTAACCACCCTGAAACATATGAGTTCGTCAATGGGAATGATGACATCCCGTATATGATGGAAAATAAAAAATGTTCGAAACCACCAACCAGTAGTTATGTTAGTTACTGTAAACTGGATGATTTATAGATGATTTACCTATATTATTCTATATTTACCTATTAAAAATGGTGATTTTCCATCGTTGCTGGTTCGTTTCCAAAACTTCGCATCAAATACCAGGAGGGGTTGAAGATGTTGTGCCCAAAATACCAGCTTTAAAGGCTATAAAGTCAGCAAGTCACCCCATGGAATGTATAACCCCATACGAGTAGAAATAACTACGTATAATTATGTATAGTTGGTATTTATGGTTTTAACTGCAGAATTGTGATGATTCAAACATGTGCAAGCAAACACATGAGAAAAAAAAGTGAGCCGGTTATCATGAGATATTTCATGAGTACTTCAGAAACACTTCGGGCAAGCATCTTTGTCAATCTTTGTACCATTCAAATCCGGGTAACGGCATTACCGCAGCTGACCGATACAGGCTGCAACACTAAAGTCTGAAGACTACTTGGAAGAGTCGGATCCTGCAGGCACTGGTTCAACCCACCGCGAAATGTCAAGCTTTGCAGCGCGCTCGGGAAGGTCACACCCTCCAGGTCTTGGTTGAAGGTACCACCGAAGGTTAAGCTTTGCAGAGTGCTTGGGAATGTCACACCCTCCAAGTTCTGGTTGAAACAAAAACCAAATGTCAAGCTTTGCAAACTGCTTGGAAAGGTCACGCCTTCCATGCTCTGGTTGAACCTATGGCCAAGACTCAAGCTTTGCAAACCACTTGGAAAGGTAACACCCTCCAAGTTCTGGTTGAAAAAACAACCAAATGTCAAGATTTGCAAACTGCTTGGAAATGTCACGCCTTCCAAGCTCTGGTTGAATCTATTGCCGAACGTCAAGCTTTGCAGACTGCTTGGGAAGGTAACCCCCTCAAGAGTCTGGTTGAAGGCATCGCCAAACGTCAAGCTTTGCAGACCGCTTGGGAAGGTAACCCCCTCAAGAGTCTGGTTGAAGGCATCGCCAAACGTCAAGCTTTGCAGACCACTTGGGAAGGTAACCCCCTCAAGAGCCTGGTTGAAGGCATAGCCAAACGTCAAGCTTTGCAGACTGCTTGGGAAGGTCACACCTGTCAGGCTTTGGGGGAACCCAGGACCAAACGTCAAGCTCTGCAGACTGCTTCGCAAGTTTGTGCCCTCCAGGTTGTGGTCAAAATGAAAGCCAAAGGTCAAGCTCTGCAGACTCCCTGGGAGGGTCAAGATCTTGTTGAAATGATGACCATTCATCAAGCTGTGCAGATTGCTTGGGAAGGTCATGCCCCACGAGCCCTTGTGCCGATCATTTCTAAGCGTCAAGCTTTGGAGACTGCTTGGGATGGTTGCAACGTCTAGGCTGCCACCACTTCCAAACGTCAAGCTTTGCAGACTGCTTGGGAAGGCCACTCCCTCCAGGTTTGGGCTAAAGTCACAACCACCAAATGTCAAGCAGTGCAGACTACATGGGAAAGTCACACACTGAAGATTTTGGTTGAACCTATTACCAAACGTCAAGCTTTGCAGAGTGCTTGGGAAAATCACGCCCTCCAGGTTCTGGTTGAAACAAAAACCAAATGTCAAGCTTTGTAGACAGCTTGGCCACCTTACTCCTTCCAGGTTCTGGTTGAAGTCATGATCAAACGTGAGGCTGCGCAAACTGCTTGGGAAGGTCACTCCTTCCAGGCTTTGGTCGAAATCACAACCAAGCTTCAAGCTTTGCAGACTACCTGGAAAGTTCACGCCTATCAGGTTGTGGTTGAAGCTATCTCCAAACGTCAAGCTTTGCAAACCACTTGGGAGGGTCACCCTCTCAAGGGTCTGGTTGAATCTATCACCAAGCGTCAAGCTTTCCAGACCGTTTGGGAAAGTCATGTCATCCAGATTTTGGTTGAACCAATCACCAAATGTCAAACTTTGCAGACTGCTTGGGAGGGTCACATGTTTCAGGCTCTGGTTGAACTCATGGCCAAACGTCAAGCTTTGGAGGGTTTCTGGGAGGCTGTAGAGGTACTTGCTGGTTGTAGCACCTTCTATGCACGTGACCCCTTCCAATTCAAACGAATTGTCTACGCTTCCCTCTCCCTGAATGAAGGACCATGCAGCATACAAATTTGTTGGGCAGAAGGTGTATGTCAGTGTTGCTTCCTGATCCACAATACCTTGCTCTTGCAAGGTCTTTTCGAGCACCATCTGCGAAATGCTATGATGGAGAAGAAACTTTGTACCAGGCTTTGATGGAAGCTTCTCCGCGACCATCTGTCGCACTTCACGGCCCAGAGTGGCCGCAGGGAGCTTCGTATGTATCAACTCCTCCCCGCTGAAGCCACAAATGTGGAGCTCCACCAGGTCAGATTCGCCCAGTTGGCTACCTGAGCCAGGTGTACCAAGGGCGCAGTCACAGGATGCAACATAACCACGACTGCTGGGCGACATTGCAGGGGGAAGACTGCTTCTCTTTATAACATGAAACACACAAATTTAAACCAGCAAAGTGTTTGAAGTGGCTACATGTTCAATCATGTCCTTTTAGATGGGGCACCAATAGAACCCCAAAATTGATTAGGAGTGCTCATTATTTCCAGCAATAGAAATATAACGCATTTTAGGTGGTTAATAATCTTAAGCCAGTAGGACTGTTCCGGCAACGTCATGCAACATCCGTTGGTTCGGGCGTTCATCGACATCTTTGCTCGTGAGTTGGGAATACCATCTCCCATATGGGTTAACATAAGTATAGCTGTGAAAAATTGCGGTTTACTGCGAAAATGGTGGTTTAACTATGAACAAAATGGGTTTAACTGTGAAAAGTGGTGTTTCAACTATGAAAAGTTTTGGTGTAGCTGTGAAAATGGTGTTCGTGAAAATGGTGGTCTAACCATGAAAAAATAGTGGTTCAATTGTAAAAAATGCCTAATCATGAAAAGTAGCGGTATGAAAATAGTAAACATAAAACCGCTACTTGGAGGACCATCGCACTTATTAACTGGATTCAGGGGCCTAACCCTGGTGATAGTAAGTCCCAGTGCGCCCATCCCATAAATAGATGAAAACAAACACCTGTGAGCCATGACAGACCTAGCCCATCTCCTTCATTGGTTGATAGGTTTCCCTATGGCTCAGTTCATCATCCCGTAATCGACTAGCACAAATCTGCACATGGCAACGCGCATCGACTTTTCGGACTTTCCTCGCTGTCGCCTCGTTGCCTCGACCGAGACCTGCAGTCGCCGGGGGAAGACGTATTGACGCTGGAGGTGTCCCTCAAAAAATGTCGGTTGAACTTGTCAAACATGTTGGCTTGACCATCACCGGGGAAAATTCAGCTCAGAAACTGTTTGGTTGAAGTACCAAACATTGGGACTTAGTATGGTTTAGGCATCCTGAAATGGGGATCGGATAAAGGCAACAGGACAAATAAAAAAGGCGGTGAAACCCCTTGAAAAGTCTTGAGCTTCTGAAATCATCCATCAATACAAAGTTTTACCAACAAGATATGGGACATATGTGCAATGGAAACAGTAAATAAGGTTAAAACATATGAAATATAGCGGTCAATAAAAACAGAGTGTGATAAATCAAAAAACACACACACACATGTTCTGCAATCGGTGAGTACTTGGGTAATCCTCTATCATCCTCCTACACCCCCTTAAGATTGGATATGAACAATCCTAATTTTACAATTCTCGGCGTCCCAGTTTTGTTGATGGTGTATACCTATTGATGTGATGTCTAATCAGTAAATCAGTAAGTGTTGAGTTTAAGGCGGTTTATATCAAATTTCAATATTGTTCAATCATATTCAATCCCCACGTTCGCGAGTCAAGACTCCAGCGTGAACTTCATCTGAAACATCCACATCAACATCCACATCAACGCTGAGGAACAGAGCCCGGAGGAAAGAGGCTCTTCAAGTAGTCAGGTTGAAGATCCCGTCGATCCAGTCGTACCTGGATGTGCGGCAACGCGGCAACGTGATCTAAAAAGGCTCAGCAATGATTGCGGTGGTTCCTAGCATCGGGTAACCTTCAAATCACCTGAAAAATGTTGATCAATTGATGAAACCCAATGCTAGAACGAAATCAATTAAACAACAAAAACAATAAAATAGAAACATATAAAGAGTACTACAATCATAGAAACACTATGAAACAAAACACACACACACATATATATATATATGTAGAAACAGAAAATATACATATACATGTATATATATATAACGTATATAATATACCGTATATATATACAGTAATACAGTAACATAATATATTGTTGCTTCACCTTTGTTTCCCATACACAGATCTACATCACTGATCCTGCTGAGTGTACTGGGATGATCATGGTCCCAATGGTAAACTGGGATGAGCCAGTCTAAGCACAAACAATTTCTGGTTAATTACTACTTAAATAATATTACTTAAATACAAGTTATTTACTAGATATACTAGTTAATATTAGTTAAATCAGCTTGTAATATCACCCAGTTAATTACTAGTTACTTATTAGTTGATATGGCGCTGAACACGTGGTATTCCCCCTACAGCGATCAAAATCGTCTGTCATCTCTTTATGCTTAAGGTCGATAGGGAATCACAATCATCCTCAATAGACCAGCTAGTACCCATTAGATCCATGTATGCTATATATGGTAACATTTACCACCAATATCCCCCAAATGTTAGTATATATACCATACATGGATCCTATGGGGTATACAGTCAGTGTATAGCCGTTAAAACCTTCTATAACAAACCATCGGCATCATGAACCAATCATGATTTTTCACAATTCTCCCCATGGATTTTTCATCATACAAATGATGCTTAAAACCTACAATGTGAGGCCCCCAAGATAGCTAAGTTGGTTTATAAGTCCAATAACTATGGTTTATGGTACTTATAACTATAGTTGCTGGGGCTTATAAACCAACTTATAACTGGGGGGCCTCACATTGTATGATAGTTTCAATGATGCTTAAAACAAATGCAATGTTCATGTCTCGTGCCATATGATACCACCAGAGTACCCTGGGTACCGTCGCTCCGACAGTTTTACCCATCGGAGGGGCACCACGCCATGAACCCATCTGCATCTGATCTTCAGTTGCTCCAAGAGCTTCTGACCAGCTATTCCCCAGGACAGAGCTATGGATTGGTCCCAATGCCCAGAAAATCAATGAACATCATGTGCAAAATGCAGGTCGAAGTCTGATTCGTAACCCATCTCAGGACAAACACACATACATTGATCAAAATCATTGCACATGGGTCGCTTTTCAAAGCCAACATCGTGGAGAAGTAATCCTCAAGAAAGAAAACAAACTAATGATCCATACAATGTGAGGCCCCCAAGATAGCTAAGTTGGTTTATATGTCCAATAACTATGGTTTATGGTATTTATAACTATAGTTGTGGGGCTTATAAACCAACTTATAACTGGGGGGCCTCACATTGTACTATTGGTGACCTGCAGAAAGACACTTGAAAAAAAACACAGATGACCGATCCCCGGTAAACATATCCTTTTGCAGCGTTTGCATACAGGATGGTGCCCCCCAGTTTTGTTTGCTAGTTTATCACCCCCCCCCATTTTCTCCAGTTCGTTAAATCATGTTATATCTACCATAAACCAATATAGAATTCAGCCACAACCATATCTTAACTGAACGCAACAACGAACGGGACCCATCCTCTATGTATGTTGGTCAAGTTCCCAAGTGAGCAGTGTATTGCCGGTGCATTGCGCTCATGTATGATGACTGTTAATATCTATTAATATGATGATAATCCACAGTATAGGCTAGTATGTAACCCAACTAAAAGAACAAGTGAACGGTCAGAATGATGGTCAAATCTTCCACTAGAAACCACATTTACAAATGATTTTCCAGTAAAACATGCCAGTTTATAGATGATTTCCCAAACAACATTCAAGTAAATGATTTCCCATGCAAATCTCAAGTAGAACTTAAGTTTCCCACAACAAAATACCCGTTTTTTTGGAAACCGCAGTTGTCGTTCTTCGAATGACACGACGACAACCTGCGGTTTCCAAGCTCCCCTCACCTTGACGGCAGGGCGCAGCTGTGCACGCTGCCACTCTTGGGTATGCAGTTCTTGGCCTTGATGGTGGCCGCAAAAACGGTGGTTCCCCCTGTGATTCAATCGTCGCCATTCGGATTTTCTTTGCAAACATCGAGGTGATGAAAGCCCCCAAAATGGTGATTGAAACAACCAACATGGTGATTTAACGAACCAAAATGGTGATTGATACTACGAACCAAAGATTGGAACATGGTGATTTAATTCAATCCACAAAAATGAGGATTCCACCAGTATTTGCTTCAGATTTATGATAGCTAAAGGTTCTTCATACTTGGACTGGTTGGTGGTTGAGCCTACCCCTCTGAAAAATGGTGGAGTTCGTCAGTTGGGATGATTAATTATTCCATTCCCAACTGAATGAACATTCATAAAAAATGGTTCAAACTGTTCAAACCACCAACCAGTTGGAGGACTATCCCTGTTTTCCTGTTTTTTGTTGTAGGTGAGTGGCAGCGTAAGGGTAATTCACCAATGGGATAACACAACTGGAAACGGGGCCTTGGGACCACCGAGGTTACAGCTGCAGCTACGATTGCTGGGATGATTCAATGATCCTCTAGGGGCATCATGGGAATATCGTGGGAATATGAACTAATATGATGGGTTTATGGCTAATGAGTTTATAAATATGATGGGTTTATCATGGGTTTAATATGATTGGGTTATGGTTTATGATGGGTTTATGATGGGTTTATGATGGGTTTATGATGGGGTAAATATGATGGGTTTACCCTCTGGTTATGTCAAAATAGCTATTTAAAATATGGCCATTTATATATAGTGGATTTAGCCATTACAAATTAGGTGATTTAGGTGATTTTCCCATTAGTTATGTAAACGTTTACCAGAGGGTATGGTTTATGATGGATTTATGATGAACCGCTCCGGGACGATCAATTCACATGGTGATTTACCATCAAAAAATCATCTAGACTTTGGCATGGATCAAGTGGGACCTTTTTGGGAAGTATCACTGGGGTATGATGTAATGTTTTGAGTACCTTCTCAGGACGTGTAGGGGACACACACTATTGAGGCTTGCTAACCAGCGGGATGATACTCCTATATAGTAGGGAATAAGTAGCTGTGGTGTTCAAAGTTGCAGTCGGCCGAATCCCAATCCCTAATCCGTCCAATCTTTGCCAAGGTAATCCCTTCAATCCGCAATCCCGTGAAATTTGTGTTATCAGGTTATTGAGCTCAAATTCTTTGGCGCTTTCGGCTTGATTCACATGCGGGAAAACGAAACTTGCCAAAAAACTTTCCCCAAACCTTCCGCCACGAGCCGCGGAATAACCCCAAAAAAAACATTTGGAAGCCAAAGTAAGCGTTTCGGGGGTTATTTCATGTCCCCAAAAAAGCGCACGAACGCTTTTGCTGGAGCTCTTGTGGAAAAAAAGTGCAATGATTTGGGTAAGGCACACATTTAGCTTTGCAGCTTGTCAAGAAGTAAATCTCATTGAGAAGCCTTGCGGCTCTTCCAATTTAAGCAAAGTGATCTATGCTAACGCCACCACACAAAATAAGAAGGCGAATTTCAACACAGGGGAAACGACCTGCAATCCGTAAACCGTCTAATCCGCAATCCCCCGGGGGATTAGGATTAAGGCCAGAGTAGGACACAGTTCTCATCAAACGGGTCTGGGTCAACATTGAGTACCCCAGTTGGCCCCACTTATTGGATGGTTAATACTGAAAATAGACAAGTCAACCTGTGGTCCCCCAGGTCCTTAATTTTGACCTATGCCATACCCAAATGATAGGTCAACTGTGGTGAATGGTAACTTGCTGGGTTTCTTCTTTGCCACCAATGGAAAACTACGGTTGGTAGTGCCCCAGGTTTTTTTCGGAACCCGAACCGCAGGGTTGGTAAACATAGTTAACCAAGGGTACAAATAGGTATGTTTGTCTGATAATCTCTATAGTTGAGGGGGGTCGTAAATCAACTTATAACTGGTGGTACACCTTGTATAGCTATGTATGTATGTATATATATATATACAGGAACATGTGATAGGATATATCAATGGGATATAGGATATACTTGAAACCTGAGTAACCCCTGTATAAACGCATACAAAACTCGGACTGTACTTGTCTGCATCTCTTGGGGTATGTGTAAAGTAAGGCTATCTTTAGGTGGATTAGTTGAAATAAGGAACAAGTGGGATCTCGCTGTCACTTGGCCATGTGCCAAGCCAGAAGGGGTCTGCACATTTGACGCATACATATGATCTGATTGATTTTACAGACATGGATGGTAAATTCAAATACAGTATATATATATATACATACAGTATACCATATGTAGACTGTGGACCGTGCATGCTACGGAAATTTCTTGATCAACAAACATCATGTTGGGAACCTCAGCGGAATTGAAAGATGATTCATTTTAATTTTGCAGTTCAACAACAATAATACAGATGATGTGTTGAAATTTTAATTCATACAGTTATGGCCATTTATCAGTTATAAGTACTTATAACCCCATTTATAGAATGTATAATCCCATTTATAACCAGTTAAAACTGGTAAATGGCCATAACTGTAGATGACTTTCACACTAAAAGTTCCATTTCTTTTGGCTTTGTCGGCCAGGCCAGGCCACCCACGATGATGCCAGGATCCTTCGCCAATGTGGGGACCACCTGCTCAAGAACTCATGGATCATCAGTTTCCCTGCTTATCTGATGGCCACCATGTGTGTATATATATATATATATGTATATATATATGTATATATATATATATATGTACACGTATATAATGTATGTATACATATATATGTATATGTACTTATATATAATTATATATATATATACATTTCACACATACATAAATGAATACATGACCTTTTAAACGTGTATGTGTATGGGTGAATTCCCCATCTCTGGACAGGCTAAAGCCCTGGGTTGTGAAGCTACCTGGTTGGCGATGATTGTAATCCATGAACTGAGAATCTCAAGGAACTGGCCAAAAGTTCCTTTACCCCAGACCGAAAGTCCCGAAAATCCGAAAACAGTAATAAGTACTTTTAAGTACTATCAAGATTAATATGATGAATACACTCGTCCTGGGCTAATGCTATTGCATCTATCCATAGCAGTTGAATACCAATGTTTTCCGTATTTCACTAAATCCAAAGAAAGCTCTATTTCAAAAAGTGAAGAAATTCAATGTTTTCCTGCCAGTGAGTAAGTGGGAAATAGCCTTATCATACCCCACTCATGTATATAGAAGTTATCTCCACTCATACACAAGTTCTATATCGCCCTTAGAACCCTTTACAAATCGCTATGCATCCCCCAGATTCGTTGTCGATTTGGCCCCTTGCTGTACCTGGAGATCTTGAAATCCGCCCACACCGCTTTGGCGGTGAAGGCGTGCTTATTGGGGGGCAACAGCAACACTAAATGCTCAATGACATTTGTTAATATAGCAGTCGCTATATCAGCTTTAGCTGGGGGGGGGGGGGCCCAAAAACGGTTTCGCACCGAGACCAGACCCCAAAAACGGTTTCGCACCGAGACCAGAATACGGTGGTGTTTTCGACATTTTTCGAGGATTTTTGGGTGTCTGAGCGCAAGAGGGTATTGAAATGGAATTTTGGGTCATTTTGGTAGCTTTCCGGCAATGGAAAAACGGCCAAAAATGAAAAAAAAATTGTACATAGCAAGATTTTGCAGGGTTTTTGGATGCCAGAGCATTGAAAACACTGCAAAAACAAGTGTTTTGGACTGACGTTATAGCAAAAAACGTGTAAATTACCGTATGCTTGACTGGAAACATTACAAAAACACTGTCAAAAGCAATGTTTTGGAAGGATTTACTGCCTTTATGGCAAAAAACGTGTAAATTACCGTCTGTTTGACTGGAAACATTGGAAAAACACTGTCAAAAACAATGTTTTGGAAGGATTTCTTATTGAAACTTCTTAGCTTGAAGAGCCCCCACGGGGGAAAACCACCCTTAGCCCCTCTCACGGACCGAAATAAACCTGCGGTGTGGGCGGCCACCCCACGCGAAGCGGGGTGAATATGCCCCACTTTCAGAGTGGGCCATAAATGTAAACCCAACAGTGAGTGAGCCAAGTATAGCCAAATCATGTTGATCAACTGATGATCAACTTATCACAAATCAGAAAATTCAACTGTTACCCTCTGGTAATTTGTTACATAGCTATTGAAAATACCCCATTTAGTTCGTTGATTTACCTATTCAAAATGGTGATTTTCTATAGTTATGTAACAGTTTACCACAGGGAAATCTACATTTTTGCTGGGAACCCCAGCAAGTTTTCCCCCATTTCTTTCGTGATGTTCTTCGGGTGATCATGTTCAATGCCCAGGATTTTCTTCAGGAAATCCCATGAAACCAGCATTAAATCACCATTAAACCAACATTAAATCTCAAATCACCACCGTGTAGCTCACTATTTACCATAAAATCCCATTGAAGCACCATGAACTCATGTTGAAGATGGTGGAAATGCCCCATGAAGTTTAACGGCTCCGGCCTCAGCCAACCACCAGCGGATGGCCAAGATGGCAGGCCCCACCGAGAGATCGTGCAAGTCCAACCACTTCGTCTGACGTGGGGGAAAAGGTTGAAAACCCATGGGGAAACCCATAGGGAAACCATGGGTTTCAACCCATCGGAAAATCATCGGGAAATATGACGATTTAACCATAGCTACTCTCTGGTAATTTGTTACATAGCTATTGAAAATACCCCATTTAGTTCGTTGATTTACCTATTCAAAATGGCAATTTTCTATAGCTATGTTAGTTTACCAGAGGGTACATTACTAATCATATTGATCACCGGTAATCAAAGGTGGCAATGCAACATCCACGAACAAAATGATGAGCTTTCGTTCGCTGGGACAATTATCGTTCACGAATCAATGGTGGAGAAAATCCAGCACGCCACGTTTGATTACCAGAGGTAAATTCCATGTATTTTATGTTTTATCCCATATGTTCAATGGGAATTTCAGGATCCAATTGATTGGAGGTACCTACCATATATAAGGCCTATATAAGGGCTATGTCAGGGGATATCCCAGCAAAGCATGGCCTTATATGGTACAGTACCTCCATTTTTGGATCCTGGAATTCCCATTGATATGTTGATAACTAATTCCCATCACCCACATTTTGATGATTTGACTAATCCATCTGGGCAAATGATCATTATGACCAAGTCAAAAACGCGGTGGGATATTAGAGTTTGTCTGCATTCAGTGGGCGCCCCAAGATCTATTGGTGGATCAAAATGGTCCTATCAAATCATGAGTTTTCACGGTTCAATCCACAGGTTAGATGGTTAAATTGGTATGGAGAAGATGGCTTTTCCACCTTTTACCATGTGCTGTTGGTTTGAAACCCATACAAATAACCCCTTATATCCCCATATTTTTGTTTGCTTAAATCCCCATGTTTGATGCTTACCATAAATCCATGCCCAAATTAAATCACATGTTGCCTGGTAATAGCCAGTCTATCCAAACTTATGCCAAGTTATCGATATCATCCTCACCATGTTGTCCCCATTCGACCACGTATTTTGTTGGATAATATAAGTTTGGATAGACTGGCTATGGCTGTGTATATATATATATATATTTATTTACTTATTTATTTTTTTGTTTAAAAAAAAAAACATAGTAAAATATAGTGATTCTGATCTAATATATATATATAGACCACGTATAGTGAAATCATTACATCCCCATTTTTGATGGTTGATGAGGAAGAAAATCCCCATGATGATGGACAGCATCTTCCACCCGCAGGCCTTTGTGAGCAGCTTGGGATAGATCCTTCGAGGAGTGAGAACGTTTTTTTTTTCGCCACAAAATTTGCGAGTTAACATCCAAAATAGGAATGTAGCCAATGTTATTAGTTTATATATATATGTATACACATATATTATATACATATATGTATACATATATATATATATATCAAGGGGATGCAATGATTTCACTTGGGATCACTTGGGTATGTATTAACTTAACCATAAAACATGGAAATCTGAGCATACACAAAAATATGGCTATAATGGGGATAGAATGGGACAGAAACAACACACTGATCTTTGGGTGTCTGATTCTGGGGTATACGAGACCCATTTTGTAGCATGTTTGATACAATGTGAGGCCCCCAAGATAGCTAAGTTGGTTTATAAGTCCAATAACTATGGTTTATGGTATTTATCACTATAGTTACTGGGGCTTAAAAACCAACTTATAACTGGGGGGCCTCACATTGTAGGGAAAACGGGACTTAAGCACTGAATTTCGAGTTTTGGGGTACACTATTTCCAGACAAACTCACGTATGTACCGGACGACTAGGACTTTTTGGACCCCACAGTGTGAGTGGTGTTTTCGACACGAGGAGTCCCATGGGGTTCTATGAGATGCTACATGTAAACCTTGTGATAGTGATGGCTTCAAGAATTGGGACGTATGGTATAAGGATGTGATGAAAAAATCAAATAAAATCTGATGATGCCCATTATTCTGGGTAAATTATAATATTTCACTACCCTGAATTAAGGCCATTTTGGGATGATTCCCCTTACTAACTATGATTATAGTGAGGTCGCAGTGAAGTCGTTATAATTTACCCAGATTATTCTATAATTAATCAATACCGTGTAGTGAATTCTGGCAGAGTCTTTCCAATTTTTTTTTGGCCACACGCAGGAAGAAACGAATTGCCGGATCATTTGGGATGCGTTTGTTTTGACGTGGTGTTTGAAAAACCACCCCGTAAAGTTGCAAACCCCATTATCATGTTCATTCAACCTGCGCAAAAGGTGTATGTAGTATGTACATCTATATACTATATATACTATATATATATGTAGTATGTACTGTATATATATAGTACTTGTATAGTATTTGTATAATATAATTAACGGTTTATTAACCAACAAGCACGAAGAAACTTCCGGGACATGAAACCACCATCGTATCTCCGCCACAAGGCGCCCTGTTTAAAACAGCGGGCTTATTCTGCACAGCTATACAGTCAGCAAACCTGAAAAATCTGGTGTTTTATACAGATTTACAATCACCTAGTTGTAAAAATCTGGTGTATATCCATAAACCAGCTATATCATAATGATTTACAATGTAAGAAATGTCCAGCTAATGTGTTTTTTTACAATGTCATAAAGCCTCCTTATAGAAGATGGTTTATAGCACCCATTTATGGTTATTTGGGGAATAGTTTGTTAAATTTGTGTTTTAGCGACATTACATCGAATTGTTAATTATACAGCTATACTAAGCAAAAAGGACACTTGTTTGTTGTGATTCATGGTAAAATCCCAACTGTTTGAAAATCCTATCCAGCTCCTGGACGATGATCGTTCCAAAAAAAAAGCTGTTCTCAAGGGTAGTATACAGTAACCCCTGGAAAAAAAGATCATCAACAATCCTTTATCACTTATATAATCTTACATATATATATATATATAAATATGTATAATCACATATATATATATATATAGTATTATATTGTCCATATTTTTGATGGTTAAAACTCCTATAAATGATGGTCAAATCCCATGAAAACAAAAAAAACATTCATTTTTTGTGGTGGCTCCGAGCATCATCCTATGAACCACGCTAGAACTGTCCCAGGAATGTCCCCGGTGTCCCCATCTTCAGCGCTCGTCGGAAGATCTTGACGCCAGTGTCTGAATTGCCTGGCATCGCTTTCCGATTGCTAAAGTGGTGGGTGGTTGACCTACCTACCATTGGTTGGTAGTATAATGTTAATATATGGTTATTATATGGTTAATGATAATAATGATAATAATATTCTGGTTGGTGGTTGACCTACCCCTCTGAAAAATGAAGGAGTTAACGTCAGTTGGGATGATGACATTCCCAACTGAATGGGAAAGTCATAAAAAAAAATCATGTTCCAAACCACCAACCAGTAAAGTGTTATGGAAGCCAGTCATGATTCACAAAAAATCACCATCCTTATGGTTGGCATCATCCCAGTCATGGAACCCCCTAAGAGTCATCATTCCTTTGGTATCCCTATAGGCCCTAGGGGTGAATCCCACCTGATTTCACGATTCAGTGATTGGAATCAAAAAAATGTGGGGCCCCAAACCTTACCCTCTGGTAAACTAACATAGCTATGGAAAGATCCACCATTTTTAATGGGAAGATCCACTATTAATGGCCATTTTCAATAGCTATGTTAAATTACCAGAGGGTATGTTTGTGGGTGAACATAACCCCATCTCAATGGGAGATCTTTAGGATCCAACAGATGGAGGTACGTAAACGTACCATATTTCTGGCCATATAAATTGTGGGGATATCCCCTGAAATTTAGGCCTAAAAAATAGGCCTTATATATGGTAGGTACCTCCATCAATTGGATCCTGAGATTGCCATTGACCATCTAACTAGTTCGTTATAACATGATATAACATCTTGTAACCACCAGAAACCCAAACCTGGTTATCCCCTTGGATCTGCGCCTAGGCCATCCAGGACCTCAGGGGGCAAGCGCGTCAACATGGAGTAGATCCTTTTTCCTGGAAAGGAATGGCTTTCCATATCTTTGAGTATGTAGGTGATATGATGGTGAAAATATATTTTCCATTTCTTTGAGTATGTAGGTGGTTTTCCGGATATGATGGTGATATGTAGGTCCAATGTAGGTCAATCTTTGCAGAATCGAGCAAAAGCTGGTGAACGGCCTCGGGCTGCCAGTGCCGAAAAGTTGTCGAGTTGGCAAATAAATGTGTGGTTGTTCCAAGTAAGCTTGGACATGTTACTACAAACAAAATATGGAGGTTTCCTAGAATGGGGGCACCCAAAAATGGATGATTTGGAGGTACCCCCATTTTAGGAAACCTCCATGTGGCTGCAAGTTACACTTGAACAACCCCAAAGTTCCGTTCAAACTGGGAATGTGAGTAGCATAGTAGCAGGGTATAAAGACGAACATGAGCGATACTGTCAACCCCAAAATATCCCTGGATTAGTTACTATATAAACTTCTATTCAGTTGGTCACCATTTTTCGGGTTTGACCCTTGACCCCCCAAAAAAACTCGACCAGGAGAGATCCACAACTCCTGGGCAATCGACTGGGTTTTTGCTTCTTTGCCAAAGATAATTCACAGTACTGGTAGTTCCACCTTCAATCAGCCCTTCATGTGTAGTCCATTTCAAGCATTTCAAGATATTCTCAGCCTATAGCTGAAAAAAAAACAAAACCTCACATGTCAGATGAGTGTCACCGCATGAAAAACACATGGTGATGGGTATGATGGGTCAGAATCGAAAGTTGGAGAAAATAGATTACTAATTTGGGTCCCAATATATATATATATATATATATATATTATATATATATATTATATTATATTATATTATATTATATATTATATTATATATATATATTATATTATATATATATATATTATATTATATATATTATATTATATTATATTATATTATATTATATTATATTATATTATATTATATTATATATATATATATTATATTATATATATATATATATATTATATTATATATATTATATTATATTATATTATATTATATTATATTATATTATATTATATATATATTATATTATATATATATATTAAATATATTATATATATATTATAATATATATATGTATTATACATATATACACATATGTTCGCGATCTCATCAATACCTCATTAACATCCCATTATAGCCCCGTGACATCCCGATTTTATCCTCAATTTTGTCCCAAAGATTCGATGGTGCCTCAAAACACCATCATCTGGTTGGTGGTTGAGCCTGTTAATATATGGTTACTATATGGTCTAGTATGACCTACCTACCATTGGTTGGTAAGATACTGTTAATATTAATGGTTCATATATATATATATATATGGATATATATATATATATGGATATATATATATATATGGATATATATATATATATGGATATATATATATATATATATGGTTATTATATGGTTAATGATAATAATGATACCGTAATAATATTCTGATTGGTGGTTATTATGGTTATTATATGGTTAATGATAATAATGATAATATTCTGGTTGGTGGTTTTGAGCCTACCCCTCTGAAAAATGATGGAGTGAAAGTCAGTTGGGATGATGAAATTCCATTCCCAATAGATGGACAGTCATAAATTTCCATAGTTCCAGTCACCACCAACCAGTCATGGTTACATGGCTCCTCATCATTCATAGGGTATAATTATGGCAACCACTCCCTCCATTCACCACTGGATAGTGCCTGATGGTAGATTTATTGAACTGTTCCATCCACCAATATCCACCATAAACCCGACAGTCCGTGTTGGCCAAAAACATAGTTATAAACCATTATTATTAACCATCATTATTGACCATCATTAACCACTAATATTCACCATCATTAACCAGTCCGTGTTGGCCAAGCAGCTGCATTAAAGCTGATGTCACTCTGCGGCAGGGAACGCTTGGGGAGATCCTCGAAGAGCAGCAGCGCCTACGGGTTGGATAAACCGGTGGAGTCCATGGTCCAACCGACGTTGACAAAAAACGCTCAGTTGGGGCAAATAACTCCAAGATAACTATAGGGATACTATAGGGATACTATAGGGTTTATATGGGTTTATACTATTGTTGATGGATGTTAATGGGGTCTATACACCGACTGATAAAATCTTACAAATGGGGAGGCCAGCATTCTAGGAATTCATGACACCAATAAATTCCCAGGAGTTGTCGAAGTTATCTAACCATAAAAATCAGGATTTGAGGAGATTAAGAATCATGACTTAAGCAGGAAGAGCATTGATTTTCCTCGTGGTCCATGGAAAATTTGTTCAACCCTACAATGTGGTGCCCCCCAGTTATAAGTGGGTTAAAAACACCATCTAACTATGTTATTGTAGTTATTTGCCACAGCTTAGCTATCTTGGTGGCCCCACATTGTAGTAATGGGGGGAAAACCATCCTCCAATCATGGGGAATCAAGGATATGCTCCCCAAAAATGGCCATCTTAATGATGCGTAAGCGAGTTGCAAACAAAGCCTTAAATGATACACAATGTGGGGCCCCCAAACGATAGCTAAGTTGGTTTATAGCTGAAGTATGGTTTGTGGTAGATATATATCTATAGTTAGTGGGGCTTATAAACCAACTTACAACTAGGGGGCCCTACATTGCAATCATAATCAAACATAATTACGGTAAAAACGCATACACACAGCTTGCTTTGTGAACCGTTGCCCAAGAATCACCACCGGTATAATCGCACTCCGTCCATGTCGGGCATGGGGAAATATGAGAACGATCATCAGTTGTTGAGAGATGTGAATGGATGTGTACTTAGGCCTTCCAAATAACCCCAAGAAATGGTCATAGTACAACAACTGTGGGGCAAAACACAATTTTTAAGGGTACAGCTGGAGGATCGACCGGTAGTTCTGTGGTTTTTGATATTTTTTGATGATGCGGGGCTGAGGCTTCTGTATTTTGCATTCAAGCTCGCTCCGCGAGTTCTGATCGGGATCACCTGCAACTCACTGATACATCGTGAACAACTAAAGTCCGAAGACTGCTTGGGTACCTACAATGTGGACCCCCCAGTTATAAGTTGGTTTATAAGCCCCAGTAACTATAGATATATCAATATAATATCACCTAGAAACCATACTTATTGGAGTTATAAACCAACTTAGCTATAAATACCATAAACCATAGTTATTGAACTTATAAGCCCTAGCAATGTTCGTTACGCCCAAACGGCTGCCTGCGGCCAAAACGAGTTGCGGCTGCATACCAAAATGGCCGGGTTAAAGCACGTCCTGGGAAGCGAAAAACACACGATATTGCCCTATACTTAGCTAAGTTGGTTTATAGCTAGGTTAAGTATGAACATATGGTTTATGAAAATATGAACGTCATTATATATGTTGGTCTAACTATAAGTTGGTTTATAAACCCACCTAACTGTAGATATATCGACCATAATTGAGGTTTATATAGCTACATTTAATGGGATTTATAAACCAACTTATAGGATATCGGGGGGGGCACCAACTTGTAGAATATCGGGTACTTGGACTGATATTTTTTTATATAGTACCAGCAGGATTGAGGTGCTTTTGTCTATCTCCCAAAATGTAAATGTGGGTTTGTCATGCTTTGTCTACAAAGTGGGCCCCCAAAATAGCTAAGTTGGTTTATAACTACAATAACTATGGTTTATGGTATTTATAACTATAGTTACTGGGGCTTACAAAACCAACAAACATCACTGGGGGGCCTCACATTGTAGATTATAGGGTACCCCTAAATCTACTGGTCATTCACCCATCATTTCACTACTACCACGGCCATATTTTCGGACAAGTGACCCACAGGGCCCACATGCACCATGTCACCGACTGTCCCAAGTTCCTATGAGCTTACCCAATTTGTGATGATCATATCCATATTTTGTTGGATTGAATCCCATAGATTGCGAAACCACCATTTGTTGCTGTGAAACATCTTTCTGGCGAAACAGCCCTCGTTTTGCAGATCAATTTCACCATTTCATATTTGAATCTTCAACTTTGGGACTATCTTTGTACTGAAATCCCTATTTGTAGTGGTGAAATCCACATTTTTAGTGGTGAAATCCCTATTTTTTTCCCAGGTTTTCCTGGTGAAGTCTCCATGCGTTGCAGCTGGGGCATCCCATTGGCTCCCCCGGAAGTCTCCCCGGAAATCGCCAGGCGTCTCTCCGGCAGGCACCGCGTTTTGCAGAGCCGACTCCAAGAGCCCAAGGGAAAGCTGAGGACGGTCCGCCTTTTCCTGGGGGGAGATCTATGGATGATGAGGATAGGACATACTATATATATCTATGCATCACCATATTTGATTAAACGTTGTAAAATACTGTATATCATATATATATATATATACATATCACAAATATATTGTGTAAACATGTTCAACTGCAAACCACCTGAATGTAAATTCAGAACTTAGTTATACAGTGCAAATGGGTATAGGTCAAGACCCTGGTACCCGTCTGATCATGTCAAGTTAGAGCTTCAGACCCAGGTTGACCCATCCTTTTGTATTGCTGTTTGGTGAAATCCCCATTGTTGTCGGTTAAAAGCACAGTTCATTGGTGAAAAAGACAACATGTTCTTATGGTTGAAACCCAATTGGTGTTTCTCAAATCGACATTTTAAGTTTTGCTGGTTGAAACATGTTAAAACCAAGTCTTTGTCGATGAATTTCATTGAAATCCAAATTTCTGATGGTGAAATCCCATCTGCAAGAAACATCAATTTTCTCAGCATGTGCATGCTTCAAATAGCTTCAAATTTTATGAACAACCACTACATCCTATTATACCAGATTAATTAATCATATTCTACAATCATTTTTGTGGCTCAAGATGGGTCAAGTGTTAAATGATGTTTTTTTTTACATAATGTTCCTTCTTTTCCTCTTGGTTGTCCATTTTTGCTCATTAGACATCCCAAGAACATCGGTTGATCCACCGAGCAACACAGCTCGTAATCGCTGCACTGTAGGTGACCCTCGGAGCAGCGACGTGTCGGCCCCGGCGTGGCCCCGGGGTGCGGAAAAAGAGCGATTTTGGTGGCAATCCACGTGCAGCAAATGTAGATGTACATTCATCATTGATCTATGTGGTTCTTAGTACATAAATCTATCATCATAATTAACATTTGCTATGTAAATGTAAATGTTCATGTTAATTCGATTGAATCATTTAGTCATCGAATAATCTTCGCGTTCCTTGTGTTTGTGTGTTCTGACTCAAAGTCGCAGGTCCGCTCTGGTCAGCTCCTTGTTGAAAATCCATACACTTCAGCTGACACCACGGCTTCTGAAGCCCTGAAAATTACCATGTCATTTGAATCATTGTCTATCACCCATAGGATCCATGTATGCTATATATGGAAACATTTACCATCAATATACCCCCAATGTTAGCATATATACCAGCACCATGGATGCTATGGGTCATGAGGTTGGGAAACTCTTAGTAGCTCCAACACTGGGATCTGGCTCCCCATCTGGGAATATGGATACCCGAGCCGCTCCGAAGCTCGCTCCCTCCTAACCACGAAAAAAAGTGTTCAAACCATGGAAAAAATGGAAGTTGTAATGAGGCAAATCATGAAAAACCAGTGAATGCAATGGAGATTTCCCAAAATTCGCAGATCAGTGGGATGGCTCTATCCACATGAGAACAAGCATTTCCATAGCAAGATACATATATTTAAACCCAGCTGTAAGATGATATTATCTTATATAACATATATAGAATGGGTTTATTTGCTGGATATATCAAATGATACGGATATAAATTGATGTTTTCCAGGAATTTCTACAGTATGATATGGACTATTAACCACTGACTAACAGGGATGCACAACCTTGCAGAGATATCCGACACTTGCCGCAGAGCCGCAGTTGGCACTTGGTGGCTCATCCACACTCATCCCACTTGGATCGTAAGTAGGTTATAACTCTCTAGTTGTAAGTAGACTAATCCTACTTATCCCACTAACAAAACCAGGGATATAATCATATATAATCTACTTAGTAAGTGATAACAACCAGGGATAGATCTACTTACTAAGTTCTAATCTACTTATATCTGGTTATAACCAGGGATATCATCTACTTAGGATTCCTGGGATGAGCCACCAAGGAGGGATGGTTTTAGTCGACCGAATGCTGAAGAGCTATGGCAGCTATGGTCACTGGCAGCTCAACAACACATCTTCCAGCACTAAAATCTGCAGGTTGCTTGGAAGGGTCACGCAGTCCAGGTTCTGTTTAAAGTCACGACCAAACGTCAAGCTTTGCAGAGTGCTTGGCAAGGTCACGTTTTGCAGGTTTTGGTTGAACCTTTGGCCAAATTCTAATCTTTCCAAAGCGCTTGGAAATGTCACACCCTCCAAGCTTTGGTTGAACCTATCGCCAAACGTCAATCTTTGCAGCCCACTTGGTAAAGTCACGTGCTGCAGACTCTGGTTGAAGTAGTAGCTAAGCGCCAAACTTTGCAGACTGTTTGGGAGAGTCACTTCGTCCAGCCTTTGGTTAAAGTTACCAATGAATGTCAAAGATTTCAACGCACTTGGGAAGGTCATACCAACCAAGCTTCGGTTGAACAGCTCGCCAAACGTCAAGCTTTGCACAGAGCCTGGAAGGGTCAGGCATTCTAACTTTTGAGTGAAACCACCACCAAATGTCATGCTTTGCAGACCGCTTGGAAAGGTCACGCCTTCCAGGTTCTGGTTAAAGCAATGACCAAACGTCAAGCTGCGTAAACTGTTTGGAAAGGTCACTTCTTTGAGGCCTAGGTTGAACATGTCACCAAACTCCAGTTTTTCCAAAGCACTTGGGAGGGTTACTCCTTCAAGGTTCTGGTTAAAGTCACGGCCAAATGTCAAGCTTTGCAGACTGCTCGGAAGGCTCACACCCTCAAGATTTTGGTTGAACCTATAACCAAATGTCAAGCTTTGCAGACTGCTTGGGAGATTCACGTGGTCTAGCTTCTGGTTGAAGCAAAAGCCAAACGTCAGGCTTTGCAAACCGCTCGGGAAGGTCACACCCTCCAAGCTTTGGTTGAACCCATCACCAACGGTTAAGCTTCGCAGGCGTACTGGAAAAGTGATACCGTCAAGGTTTTGGTTGAAGTCATGACCAAACCATAAGCTTTGCAGACCCCTCGGGAAGGTCACACCATCAAGGTTTTGGTTGAATGCATAACCAAACGTTAAGCTCTGCAGATTGTTTGGGAAGGTCACGCCCTCCACTTTCTGGTTGAAGGCATAGTCAAAAGTCAAACTTTGCAGACCGCTTGGGAAGGTTACACTCTCTAGGTTCTGTGCAAATACCTTACCAAATGTCAAGCTTTGCAGACCACTTGGGAAGGTCACCCCCTCCAAGCTTTGATTAAAATTATCGCCAAAGGTCAAGCTTTGCAGAGCGCTTGGAAAGGTCACGCCCTCCAGCCTCTGGTTGAAGTCACCATCAAACATCAAGCTTCGCAAACCACCTGGGAAAGGCGCTCCCTCGAGGATCTGGTTGAAAGTATATCCGAATGTCAAACTTCGCAGACCGCTTGGGAAGGTCAGTCGGGCTAAGTTCTGATTGAAGGCAAAACCGAACGTCAAGCTTTGCAGACTATTTGGAAAGGTCACACACTCCAGATTCTGGTTGAAGTCACGACCAAATGTCAAGCTTCGAAGGCTTTCTGGCAGGTTGCACAGGTACTCACTGGTTGAGGCACCTTCTATGCTTGTCACCCCTTCCAGGGAAAATATATTGGCTTCTTCTGTTGCCTTTCCCTGGACAAAGGACCACGCAGCATACAAATCTGTTGAGCAGAAGGTGTAGGTCAGTGTTACTTCCTGATCAATACCTTGCTCTTGTAAGGTCTTGTTGAGCATTAACTTGGAAACCCCATGATAGAGAAGAAACCTTGTACCTGGCTTTGATGGAAGTTTCTCTGCGACCATCTGTCGCACTTCCTGGCCAAGAGTGGCCGCAGGGAGCTTTGTATGCATCAATTCTTCACCACTCAAGCCGCAAATGTGGAGCTCCACCATACACAGGTCAAGTTGAGTTCCTTGGCCTTCCTGGGCAGTAGAGGATGCATCAGCATAACCAAGGCTCTTGGTCGACATTGCAAGGCCGCGGCGAGCGCTGGTTTCTCAACCCAAAGGAAATTTATTTACCGATGATGAAGTGAGAAATGCCGGTATATAGAATGTGGTGCCCAGTCATAAATTGATTTATAATTCCCATCAACTGTAGATACTATTATATATACTGTATATATGTGTGTCATCATTATAATATATATATATGTATATATTATCAATCATATCAATATCATATCATACCATACCATATCATATCATATCACATCATATCACATCACATGTATACATATATATATATATATTCACATCATAGATAGCTTATAAACCAACTCGTCCAACCATGAGGCACCACCAAAAGCAAAAATCCAGTCGTCGGCTTCAGGCGTCACCATATCCGTCACCGAGTGAAGACATGCAGCCCATTTCCCTCTGAACCATAGGAAAATCATAGGGAACTCTTGTTTGAACCCTGAAATATGACGATTTAACCATAGCTACCCTCTGGAAAACTGTTGCATAGCTATTGAAAATGGCCATAAAAATAGCTGATTTACCCATTCAAAATGGTGATTTTTCATAGCAGAGGGTAGGTGAAGATAGATTCTCATAGCAAACTGTTAAACTACCAGAGATAGCAATAACCAGCCAGCCATTCATAGCAAACAGGTATTTAGATGAATAAGCTAACATAAGCTAACATTAAAATCAAATTATTTTCAGGGAACAAACATGAATTAAATTCAGATCATGATTTTACATGATTTTCCTGACACCAACCAGAATTTGTCATCAACTTTCGTATATTGATCGACTGGCAAAACCGGCGTACCGCTAGGCTGCTCTGTGGGCTCAATCTCATCAGTGACCATCTGATCCAACAAGCGCAGCGCGGCCTACGCATGGTATCCACAGGGACCATAGATGGACCATAGGAATAGATGGATTTACCTATGAAAGATGGTAAACGTTTACACAAAACTATGGAACATCACCATCTTCAATAGGTTTGATCAACGATTTAGTTCGTTGATTTACATAGTAAACATGGTGATTTCGTGATTTTCCAGTTCGCTTTTTGTATGTTTACCAGAAGGTTTGTTTGTGGGTTTAGATAACACCATCTAACTAGTTTGTGATGAGATTTACCTATTATAAATGTTGCTGTTCCATAGTTTTTTTGTATGTTTACCAGAGGGTAAAACATTGCACACATTACATGAGTCGTGTCGCATACAGATTGGTACATGATTTTTCTTTGTGTGTTTCTATATAGTAAGACAAAACAAAACAGAAAGGTAAGGCATCACTATTTTAGTAGGATTTGACTGTTCTATCTTTTTAGGAATTACTATAATTATATACACAAATATTGTGTGTTGTATATGAGATTATATATGCATAGCAATATTAAGATACGTTAAACAATACAATCCGACATAGACATAGTGTAAGTATACGTATGTTTATATACATATGTAATGTACTCAAATAGCGGTGAATTACGCTTTATCTTCTTGGGCGCTACTATACAATATAACATCCCATGTTTGCCCACCATTCAGAAGCCGGTTTAACCATCACTTGTTGGTCTACCACCTTGCTCAATCACACTAACAGTGATATCTCCCATTGGAAAATACAGCTTGGATCGCTTGAGATGGTAAGAAAACTGCATGTTTTATCCGAATCCCATCTGCATCTGAAAAGCTACTGTAGTGCACCAGCGAATTCAACATGATATTTATCGCTGATCTTTATCCCACTCTGGATGGTATAAGCCTTTCCCCCTAATAACATATCTCCAGAAACCGTGGTTTACCAAAGAATTACCAAACTATTGGGGACCATGGACTGGGGGTGACTCTCTTGCGGTTTGATCCCAGTCAACTTATCCCAAGAATTTTGATGTTTTATCCCCAACCTACAGCTACAATGTGCTGCACCTCACTTATGAGTTGTTAAATCCTAGCCAACTATAGGTATAGCGGGTTATGTTGCAGTAACCAAGGTAACTAATCAATAAAACAAAACAGGGCACTTAGATTTTCCCAAATTATCATCTATTCAAGGTGGCCCCCCAATTATGTTTGGTTTATAAATCCAATAACTAGCTCGGTATATCCCACATAAAACATCGGATTTGCATGGTTAGTTATAAGTGAACTTAGCTATTGTATCATGCTATTGCAAACTTTTCCCCAGCACGTTGTATCTGAGTAAATACCAATCCTTTGTCTGGGTGAATTCCATTTTTTTAGCTACCTCCATTCTGGATAGCCTCTGGTAAACGTTTACAGTTTGCGAACTGGAAAATGGCCATAGAAATAGTGGATTTTCTCAATAAAAATAAATAAAACATACAAAAAACTGTGGAAAATCACCATCTTTAATAGGTAAATCAACTAGAAATATCGAAAAACTAGAATCCCATGAAAAATCCACTCAACAGAAACTCGATGACATATGGCTATGAGTCAAAACCCTCATACTCAAAAAGTACCCCAAGTCATAAATGGTGTATGGATTATTGTTCCCCCATGGTAATTTCATAGGTAACTTGATCCATCAAATATATGAATCCCATGAAAACCCATTAAATCCACCCAAAAACTCGATGATTTCTATCCAGCCTGCCAGTTGCCCTTCTTCTCACATGCGCTGATGGCCGCATTGTAGGCTTGGCAGTTCACTTCCAAGCGACTCGACACCATAGAACCTGCGTAAATACGGTAAATAGCGATCGCCACCAAGGCGATAGAAATAGCTATCCTTGGGGATGACAATGGGATTAAATGAGAAAATGATCCAAAATGATCCCGTATTGGCATTAAATGAAATCCGTTGGTCAATTGTTTCATGGCTAGGTATCCGATCATTATCCTATGGGATTACAATGAGATTACATGTCTTTATTCATGGGATAGTTTGCCCAGTTGTATGGGATAGAAATGGAGTTGAGTGGGATATGATATAATACCATTAGTAGCCCCCCAAAAAAACACTTTTTGAAGTTCGGATTTTACTGTTCCGTATTTTTTTGGTGATTAAAATGGGAAATCAGTGTGTTTCATGGGAAAACATGCGATGTGCCGGTAGGAAATCATAGAAAATCACTCTACCATCAGTGGACAAGCAAGAGTTTTTCGTTGGAGAATCAACATGTATTAATTAAACTGGAAAGATCACTGTTTCATGGGAAATTCAGAATGTGTCGTGAAAATATGATTTGTTTGATGGAAACAACAACATGTTTCATGGGAAATCACCATGGTTTAATCGGGGACATCACATTTTTTCATGGACAGTCACCACTGTTTCCTTGCAGGAATCATCGATTGGATAGAACTTCCTGCCACATTTCTAAACAACTGCGGATGGGCAAAAACATGCAAAAAGCGTAAATGTTACCCCTACCATGAACAACAATCTACTACTCGCTTTTTCGATGTGAAAATCAGGGTATCAGGGTCCTTAGGACTCCGTGGAACTCCGATGGAGACACCTTGTGTGATTTCCAGAGTGTAGAAAAGGCAGTTGTAAGTTGGTTTATATATAAACCTGTCGAAGTATAGCAGTATAGTATACTAACATGCCAATCTATCATAAATCATAATCTATCATAATCTATCTATAAATCCAACCGTTAGCCTAGTTCTAAACCAACTTACCCATCAAAAATATTCAAAAATCAGATTCATCAACTATTAATCCCAACGTTTCTTATTTAAATCACCATTGTCCCAACATGTCCCAACCATTTTTCATGGCGGAATCCCCAACTTCGGCGCGACCGAGGTGCGAAGGACTTTCAAAGCCATTTCCTCCTGAGGATTTTCAAATGGCGGGAGGAAATGCTGGTGGATGGGGTGGAAATGCCATGCATTTCATCATGGGGATACAATTTAATTGATACCCTCTGGTAATTTAATGGGATTTAATGGGATTTTATGGTGGTTTACTGGGATCTAATGGGATTTACTCTCTGGTAATTTAACATAGCTATTGAAAGATCCACCATTTTCAATGGGTAAATCCACTATTTCTATGGCCATTTTCAATAGCTATGTAACAAACTACCAGAGGGTAATTTGAAATGGATGTGTCCTAAAAATACGATTTCAAACCAATGGATGATTAAATGATAATTTGAAATGAATGTTTCCTAAAATGGTGGTACCATGTAATCATCCATTGTAATAGGATTGTCCATTCCAAACCGTGAATTTTTGGGGTATCCCCATTTTAGGAAACCTCCAAATGGATTTTTGCTTTGGAGATGCTTTTTTGTGTCCCAAAATTCTGTGAAAACCGCCAATTCCTGCAGTTTAGAATGATGTTCGCAAATGTTCCTCATGATTTTCTTGCGTTTTTTGCTGGCTTTGTGCAGATATGGAATACCCCACAATGGCGATTGTGAACAGGGAACATGAAGCTGTTTCCGTAATTTTCAGACAAACTAACTCTATGTGGAAACTAGCATCATCTTCCACAATGGGGGCGCACAACTTTTCAATAGTAGCTATGTAGTTTGTTTTACCCTCTAGTAAATTAACAGTTTGACCCTGAAAATCACCAATTTATAGTGGAAACTAGTCTTCCAACCCCTGTCTGCCAGGGTCTATGTTAATTTACTGGAGGGTAACTATTCTGAGTTATGAGTTGGCGACGTTGGTGTTACAAAATCTGCATATCACTTTGTAGCTTTAATTTGCCTTGGTTAATCGTAAGTGTGTTAAAGGTCAATTAATGTTCAATCAATTACATTTTCTATCATTGTTAATCCAACCTTTAAGTTATACCTGAAGCATCGAACGTATAACTTTTTTTTGTACGACCAGAAATTTCTTGTCAAACCAATTATTCTTGGTCACAGCCAAAGACCATACATTTTTGGTCTTTCATGTGGATTGCCAAGAAACAGCTCAGCAATAGATGTGCTCAAGCTTTGTTCCCATCCTGCCCGCTATGCCTCTGTTCCTGGTGTCCTTTTTTTCGCTGGGCCCTCAATATGGCCATCTATGGCCTGTGAAACTCTTGTGATTCACACAAAGTATGTGCAACCATATGCTTGCAAGATCACAACATGGACTGCATGCACTGCGGGGCATGATGAGGACACATATATGCTCATGTATGGATATACGCTGCAGGATTTGCAGCTCTATAGTAGGGGTTTCCTCGACTGTGCTAGTGCAGCTGGCATGGCGGAGGGGGAGAAGATTGCAGAGAAGAACCCAGACTTGAAGAGTTTTCCATTGGAACTTTCTGATGGGGATGGGGTTGCAGTGTTAGCCTTACGTGATGCCCTTAGAAAAGACCCAGACTTGCTGTGTAAAGCGATCTCACTGACAAGTTTAATCTCATGGCCTGCGAAGGGGATCAAACTTCAGAGTTGCCGGGCAATTGTGGGCAATTTTGCCGTTCTTGACCTGGTAATCCCCTTCCTGAACCAGACTTTGGTCATCAAAAAGGTGCATGCTTTGCAATGGGTACTGCATGAAGTGGCTGTGCTCAAGTGGAAGGCTGGGATGGAAAAGGGGTTGGAAAAAAGGGGCGGGAAAAATATGGGAATGAGTGATCCAAAACTCTTGCAATGATCTTGCAAAGGATTTTGTGAATTTGTGGGTTTGTTAACTTCATTTTTTGCTGCCATTGCAGGTTGATGGCTACACCGAAACACATGTGGAACGCGATGCTTTGGCGTTACGGAAGCTAGTGAATCATGTGATTCGCCTTCGCAGGCGATCAAGCAAGCAACGTGATAGAAAGGTTCACCAACTTTGTGACTATCTTTCAGAGTCTTGACACTATTAGCCAACTTCATCCAACTTCAATCTTAATATGTGTTGCATAGCATGCTGTCTATAACCCCTTAAAAACCTTTGAGATGCACCTGCACACTCAGGAAGAAGTTCTCCAAGCCTCCGGTGACGATGATGATGATGACGAATGTCAAGATGGGATGGACAACTCCGAAGCATCACCATCTAGTGAACCTAGTGCCCCTGCCCAGGCCACTGCAGAGCCAGCCCCCACTGCCCTTTCAGCAAGCCCTGCCCCAACAGTGAATGATGATGAAGCCTCTGTTGCTGGATGTGAGACCCCCCCGGTGAAAGATGATGTGATGGGTACTACTGGCCCACCAGTTGAGCAGCATCCTGGTGGGTCATTGGTCTTGATTTCTGATGATGAATGTGGTGCAGCATGCGATGTCAAGGATGCCATTTGTGATCATGCTCAGCCAATTGATCCTTCGTGGCCCCATTGGTTTGACCCCATGGTGGAAGATTCCCAGCCTGATCCTGGACCTGATTGGAAGTCGTCACCCCCGAAAGTACCAGAAGAGCCAGCAGCACGTGTAGGCCTGACCCCATGTGAATTACAATTCCACAATTAGTTCTTCATCTCCTCCATACCATTCTTCATGTGTTTTTAACTGGTGTTGTTTTTTTCAAAACGAATTCCTGGTTTGCCTGGAGGTTCTTTGCCCGCGGACTTGAAGCAGAAGCTCCGGATGAAGGTGTTCAAGATCCACCCGGATGTCCAACAAACGATTCCACTTTCAGAAGCTGCAGCTGAGGCAGGTTTACAGAGAAGCCATGTGTGTTGTCGGTATTTTTGTTTTTGCTCCCTCACTCACTCTCTATCTCTCTCTCTCACTCTTTTTGAAAAGCCTTTTTGAAGAGATACAAATTTAAAGTCCCACAAATACAACCAACACAAGGAACCTTGCCCAAATGATGCAGGATCTGGCTTCCGAGTTGCGACAGCATCCAAAGGATACTGAGGCGGGATATGGGGAGGGGTGTGCATAATGGCTTGAAAACATGCATGAAAAGTGTCAAGACAAGCTTTTGAGTCTATTGAAATTATGATACATGGTGCTCCCCTCATTCCCCAAGCACAAGTCATTGAATCCATGTGCCCCTCCTCTATTGTGCAGGTGGTGCATCTTGCTTCTCCAGGGGCAGAGGTGCCGGCTGATTCCGCGAAGCCCGTGGTTGATGATGAGACTGAGAAGTGTTTTGTCGATATATTGCCTACAAAGATTCTAAAGCTTACAGAGCATTATTTTTGCAGACAAGAATCAAAAAAGTACTTGTTTTAGACCTTTGTATTTTCCCATGTGTTGAACCAATTTTTTGGGCATGTTTTCCACCATCCATCCTAGGCTTCTCAGAGCTAGAACCTTGGCCTTGGGGGAGACTGATGAGTCACCAGATTTACCAGCTGAGCCACCTTTAACCCGTGAGCAGCAACGAGCCATGAGGAGATCCCAAGCCCGAGGGAGAGGTGCCACAGCAGAGCCAGGGAAAGGGAAAGGCCGAGGCAAAGGTCGGGGAAGAGGGAGGGGTCGAAAAAAACTTGTTGAGGATTTAGATGGGGAGAGTCTCTCAGCAACAGAGGACTTGCCTGACCAAAGCATGACGGCACCAGCCTCTCGACCTGCTAGAGCTGCCCGAAAGCCCCAGACACCTCCTAAGACACCAACAGGAGCGACTGTTTCCCCAAAGGCGAAAGCCAAAGGTCGTGCCAAGGCAAAGGCAAAAGCAAAGGCAAAGGCATCCCCCCGAAAACCCAGAGCCAAGAAACCTGCAGCCCCTAAGGCAACCCCCAAGAAAAGAGCATGTAAGAGTCGAGACACTTCAGGGAATGAGGCTCCACAGGCCAAGCGGGGAAGGAATGGGAAAAAGACTGCGCCAGCCAGCCCGGTTCCTATGGATCAAAGGAATGACTTGAAGAAGCTCTTCAGCCCAATTGTTTTGTCTGCTTTTTGTTCAGTGTTTAATGTGTACAGTGGTATACAGTGGTGCAGTTTATGTTTGTCATGATGTGTTGTATACTTTGGTTCTGAGATATGGCATGCAGTCTTATACATTATTCTTGTTTGCAAGCATATGACACGAGTCCTCTCCGCATGTTGCATCTTAGGCTATTTGTGGACACTAGCAAGTACAAACTTGAAGCCTACTGGAGTCGATGCCATGTGGGGATTCGTCGCATAGAGGATGGAAAACACACTTGGCTGGGAACACATGTGGACATTCGAAAGAACATTGAAGCTGCCAACTTTGTGGCGTCTCTGCCGCATCTATCCAGTCGCAATCTATTCATCAAAATGCATATGTTATGTGTCATATGGCATTGATTGATTTCAAAGAACACCATTTTCAGTTTTTCATGCCACCCCGATGCAGCTCCACTCGAGGCTCAGTACCTGTCGGAGAGATCTTTTGAGAACCGCCTGGACCAGGAGCTTGCTGATGGTGTGGAGAAAATTTTTCACGGTTGAAGGTCCACTTAGGGCGTTTGGTGGCACATGCTTGTGCAATTCCATCTCCACAATATCAAAAAACGGTCCATATGGTTTTGAAAATCTGATCAATTGCTTCAGCCTTTCGTTTAGCATTGCTGCCATGTTGTGGACCCTTTGACCTGCCTTACGGGGTATTCAAGGTATCAATGAAATTTGAACCTTTGGGTCTTTGAGTTGAACCATGTCGAACCTTGTGATTGTCATCACAGGGACTTAGTCCGGTCATGCTTTGGGGAAGAGGTGAAAATGAGAGTGTGTTGCATGCCTCAGTCGGTGGCATGTTCTGTTGGACACTTGTATTTGCAACTCCCTCTCATGATGAGTTCCCCTTCATCCCCTAACAGTCAAGTAGGGGTATTCGAGTGATCGCCATCCAAGGCCATGCCTCTATCTTCGAAGAAGTTGGCACGTCGCATCCTTGAAGCCTCCGAGACAGGTGCCGTCAAGCCGTGGCAGCTGGGTGGAGCTCATAGTGAGGGAAAATCAAAACCATGTCTTTTCGATTGAGCCCAGGAAAAGCTGAATATTTTGTGGTTTATTGCTTCTACCACTAGCAAATTGGGGCTCTGTGGCTGGTAGACTTTCCCTCTTGAAGCCATGCGGGCGTGGCAAGCTGATGAACTGCTGCGGCGGCTGTATGTGGCCAGAATGCCAAAGGCCAGTCGCCAAAGAGTTGATAGTTCAAAACATTTCATAAAACCATATTTTTTGGGATATGAAATCACCACTTCCCGGAAAATATTATCCATGCAACATCTTTGCAACCACAAGGTGTTGGCTCGTGAATTAATGTTTATCTTATCTTTCAGAACTGACAGTAGCTATACAGTAGCTTAGTGTCATGGCATGTATAGCTACATCTGGCCCAGGCAGTGGTGGTCGCTGCACTGATGCTTCTCTGGTCCTACAATTTGGATGTTTCCAGGGTACCATGGCTAATTGAAGAGAATATCCCAGAATTAGAATGCCAACATTTTTTGACCACAGCTAGCTAGCCCCTGCGCAATGTGACTGCAAGGAATGGCGGTTCATGGAGATGTTTGCTGGCGAAGCGAACGTCTCACGTGCATGCATTGGCCACTCCCTGTCTGGTGTCAGCTGTGATTATGTCTATGGTGGACGGGCTATGGATATGTTGACACCAGCGGGGATGGGGTGTTTTAGCTGAATAGGATGTTGGACTTCTTTGAGGATCGGGTGGTCCAAGAATTCTTATAAGGTACCCCACTTATCAAAAGAAGGAAAGAAATGCCCATGCATGTATCTTCAACTCAGACCCCACCAAAATTTGGAGAAGTATCCATACATATATGACATTAAGATATATTATATATTTCAAAAACTATCCTTCAAGATAATATCTTTTAAAGGTTGGCAGATCCATTGATCTTGTTAATTGTGAGATACATGCATGTATTTGTTTTTATACCAGTTGTTTTTCTCATCTCCACCGTTCCCTGCCTGGCAATCCTCTGCCGACCGCATCTGAGGCTTGCTGTCCTGACGGTGCTGCGGCTGGAACCCAACTCTCTTGGGATACTTGCTCCGGTGTGCAGCTCTATGGGGTTCTTGGCTGCTTCTCTTTCCAAGAGGTCATTTATATGTCCTCTTGGAGACCGTTCACAGGGTTTTGTTAGCAGTGGCAACCTTCTAGCTCTTCGGCCCCCTGACCTGGTTTCAATAGATTTGGATTTTAATGACTATGAAGATGCTGGATCAGATCTAAAAAGTGTGTGACCGTTTCCAATGCTTGCCCTACTGTGACTGTTTCAGCCAGTGGGGGACAGCTGCTGCAGCTGGGCATTGGAAAAGAATAGTAAATGGAGATGCTGGATCAGATCTAAAAAGTGTGTGACCGTTTCCAATGCTTGCCCTACTACCGGGGACTCAATATGGTAAAAGGGGATGATTTGATGCTGGATCACAATGCTCCCAAGGTCAATCATCATATGTTGGCTACTTGTGGCATTGGGCCATGTATTCATATTGGAACAACCTGGTGGATCAGCGTTTCGACATTTTCCTCAATGGCGATTCTTTTGCAAATACATAGCTGTGGATTCTTGGGACTGGCATCGAACATTTTGTTGTTTCTTTGGTGATGCTTTCAAAGATATGATTTCCAATTCCCGGATGCTAGATAGCATGCATGCAAACCCAAAGGGTGTCAGTGTGGAACCTATACGGTACAGTACAACCAAAAAAAACCCTTATCAGAGGTATATTTTTTTGGTGGCTGAAAACTTTTGAATAATAGCCCACAAAGAATGCTCTATACAATTGAAAAGTAATGAGCCAACCAATGGCCCCTTAGGTCTTCCGACATGGACTTTGGATGAGGCATTACGGCAGTTCCTGTTGCAAAAGAACATGCCTATGGTCGAATAGTTCTGTTGCACAAGAACTCAGCCTTGGAAAATTGTCAAAGGAGAACCTCAAAATTATTTCAGAAACGGACACTTGAAATGAATGCTTAAAAGGTCATTACAAGGTCAAATATTATCCCATGTACCAATTCCATAATAAATTCAATAAGCCTTTGTGCTTGGCGCCAGGAGCAGAGGGCCTCAGCCGTCCCTTTGGCCGTGCCTTCCGTCAATGGCCGCGGGGAGAAGAGGTCAACTGGCGTGAAGAAGAGGCTCAAGAAGTCGCAGACCTTTGTCCACAGTGGTCAAAGGGATCTTGGAGGGACAACCTTCTTTAAAGGGGGGCAGACATAGGGGATATATAATATTATAATATATTTAAAAATATAGTATAATAGTATACAATATTTTCATATAAAAAAAATGAACATTATATTTTATATAATCATATAACTATTATATATTATACATTATTAATATAATATAACATAATATATTCTATTTAAAAAAAATATAATATAACATATAATATATGATATATAATATATTACCCTAGAAATATATAGATATATATTTTTTTAAAAATATGATATTTTTTTAATAACAATATATTGGTATATTAATACATAATCTTGTAAAACACTGGGTCTGAAATGGCAGGCTATAGTAGAAATATGCATATATAGGTGTGTATAATTTTTATATACTATAAAAAGATCGAACTATCAGTATATATACATTTATGATCAGCATAGTTCCTCCAATGCTCCAAATATACACATTGAAGCCCCCATTCTAATTTCAAGAACCAACCAACTTCTATTTGTTTGGAGATTAGGAGTGCCCTGGCAGTTTTCCCTAGCCAAGGACTTACACACCAGCCTTTGGTGAAAAAATTGCTTCGATCTACGACCGGTTGCCTGAGGGGCGCAAACCACTGCGACACCCGCAGGATTGTCAAGTCAAGTCCATACACTGCAAGTAGTGTTGAATTTCGACCGGATTTGAAATTACAAGAAAAGACTTTAGCCAACATTTGCTCACCCGCAGGACCATGCAGAAGCATCTGGACCTCCACTGTTGACTGCGCTTACTCAGTCGGACCTTTGGAAGGAAGCTGAGATGGAAGCAGTTGTAAAATACCTTTCTGACAACCGGGCGCTGGGATGCCCCCCCCAGTTTGAAGGGCTTTTGTTTCAAGGCCTCAAAGAGCCACAATAAAATCTTAGGGTTTCACCTTCGGAGCACCCCTCAGTGACAATTCACCTCTGTGTTTAGCTGTGTGGTATGCTACATATGTGCGAGGGGTGCAAAATGAAGGAAATTTATACGTTCATTCCTCAGTGGTACCTTGCCACTGGGCTGACATCATGAAAGCATGTGTTGGTCACATGATGGAGCCGCAACCAAAAATTTGCCAGGTTTGGAAAAAAATGGTCGCGTAAGAATGCGTAAGAAAACCAATAATCCGTCTAAGAAAACCAAAAATCCGCGTAAGAACGCGTAAGAATGCGTAAGATTTTTTTGAGGTCCTTGCCCCCTGGAATCCCTGGGCAGGCAAAGCCGAGGAGCAGTTGTCTGCGGTTGCAGCCACATCGTCGAAAGGAGGTGCGCCCTGCCGCCCATGCCTTGCCAAAATTCAAGCAATGATGTGTAGAAATTTAGATATCTGTCAAATCTCGTGATCTATTCATTTTTTCTGGGAAGAAGACTGGCTCAACAGTGTTTGCTGCTAGTGGGGTGCAGCTATGCCGGGTTCTTGTCAAAGTTTGGTAGCTGGTGCTGATATGCTGGCAAAGCAGCCGCAGCCCTCCACCCCAAAGCGTGCTACGGGACCAGCGCCTTATCAGAACTATATAATATGTTGTAGGATCGGGTGATTCCTTTTTAGCATCATGTCAGCTGTTCCCTTCAAGACTTCAAGATGTGATCTTAAAAATCTCCACATACTTCACTTCTCCATGCGCGATTCTAAGGTGAAGTCAGAGTCACCGGATGCTGGATGTGTCTTCTCTCCAGAAACTGCTGCCTTGATAAAGGGGTTATCAGATAGCCCTGAGAGTTTGCAGTTAAAGGCTGAGATCTTGCGATCGGCCAATCAGTTGAACCGAGGACCCATTTTAATTTGATCTGATCCATTTGGATATGTCTCAAAATGAAGTGTCCGTTTTTGGGTCCACCATTGCTACTTTAAGAGGAAAAAGGGACACTTCATTTTGAGACATCCCCATTTTTAATCAATTTCTATTTGACAACCAATGTGTGCAAAACATGGGGGCACTTTTCCAATCTTATTTAAAGAGTCCATCATTTAGAATGGAATTCCCGCATGTGCTTCTCCAGGATTCTCAAGTGGATCTGCTGGTGGAAGCTTGGTTGGAAGCCCCCCCACCCCAGAGCTGCCTCCGACGATGCCACATGTTGACTCCCTCCAAGCTTTGCCTGAGACTGTTCCAGGTGGTGCCAATGTGGAAAAGGTCACAGACCATGGAGCACTGGATACTTTAGAAAACGAAATGGTAGAGCGTTTGCAAATGAAGATGTCACAACTTGAGGATCAGTTCACGCGAGAGGTCAACTTGAAAAACAAAAGGCAGAGCAACTCATGGACCAAGAGTTTGAAGCAAAGCGCAGGAAACTAGATGAAGAGATTTTTGACTTGCAAGAACAACGGGCTTTTCAGGAATCACAGCTTGCCATTGCAGGTGAGCAACTCCAAGAACGTATGCACTTAGTGTCTGAAGAACAAAAAGCTTTGGATGACTTGAGAGACAAGACTAGAGCCATGCAGGCAAAACTGGACTCTGCTGCCACTGAGTCCAACAAGCCCCAAGTTGAACGCAGGGGTTCTCCTACTCTTAGCGCAAAGGATTTGCTGAAGCAAAAGTTGGAACAAACGGCCAAGAAAAACACTGCTGCCTTTGCTGTGGCTGAAACGCCAAGCTCACACTTCCATGAATCCACGCCCATGGGATCTGTTCCAAGTGGGGATGGGATTGTGCCTGATGGGCCTAGTGTTGCTGTGGTGCCAGTTTCTGACCAACGCTTCACCAGTTCTACGCACCCTCAAGCGTGGCACTGTCTCTACCGAATGACTCGAAAGCAAGATGGTTGCGACCCCGAAATCTACAAGAAGTGGCATGAAGGTTTGGTTTGCTTGTTGCTGGGGGTGAAGTTTCCTCCAAAATCTTTGCCATTTGTGGCCCACAAAATATCATGCTCGCTGCAAAACCACAATTTCCTTATATAGTTCCTTCTGGGAAAGTATATCATATTATTTCATTTTATGTTATGTTCTATTATTTTATATTATATTATAAAATCTGACTTACCATGCAGGTGGTGCTAAGCGGGACCAGTTGCTGAAGGACTTTGTGTGCCGCTGCTACAACCCTTCAGATGACTTCAACAAAAACAAGGCTCATTAGTATTTGTCCTCTTGATGGTGACCCTTTTCTTAAAAGATCTGAGGCCCCCCAAAAGCAAAGAAACAGTTGCCCTTCTAAAAAAAAGAAACATTAAGATTCGTTAAGGCTCACATTTGTTTTTTTCCCGTCTTCCTGACATTTGCCATTGAAGGCCAAGCTGCAAGCGCTGATCACGCTACGCCAGAAGAGCTCCCAGTGGCGTCGCAACCTTCAAGGGTACTCGTGGCATACCGAGGAGGACTTGAAGACTGTCTTGAAGTGGCCCCAGCCCTTTAGCTGAACACACATGAAGATTGCTTTGAATAGATGGTACCAGCTCTTTACATACAAATGATTGCAAATAATATATATAGCATTGAATCCGATCTGCAGATGGATGGTCCCAAAGATTGTGAATGATGGTGCTATAGTATTACGCATTTGCCCTCACAGCTGCCCAAAGGTCGAAAGTGGATGGTGCTGTCAAGTACTGCACAAAGCGCAAGTTGACCAAGACTGCATGGGCTTGTCGACATGCATGGTCGTGAATGGGGTTGGCTGTGACTTGTAGGTTTTCTCACAAGATAAATAGCAGGCTTCAGGCTTCAAGGCCATGATCTTCAAAATACACTGCAGCCTCTCTTGGGTTTAGAGCGTCCAATGCAAACATTTTCATGTTTTACAGATATACAATATCTTATATTTATAGTATACTACAGAGTCAAACTAGATGTCCTGTATAGACCTTCTGACACGACAGCATGAACCCAGCCCAATGCAGCCTGTATGATTCCTGGTTGAGCTGCTTCCCATCCACCTGCCAGGAAATGCATCTATGACCAGACAGCTGTGAAGTATCTCGTCCAGACCCGTGATGATGTTGAAGCTGGTGACGAACGAATCAAGGAACTTGAAAGTGCGATGCAGGAGGTAGGTCTGTTTGACACAGATTTTTCCCTGGGAGATCTGATGGTGGATGATGGGGATGAAGATCCCAACAACAGCCCAGCCGCCAATCCCAAAAAGAAAAAACTTGGTGAGTTCCCTGAAGTTGAGGGCGAAGAGTCGCTGCCCGAATACATAGGTCAATACAAACGGGCATGCCTTAACAGGAAGGCGCTTTTGAAGAGTACGAAGGAACGCTTGGACAAGGACAACGCAGTTGACTACAAGCTTCTTGGTTGCAATCCGTTTGATGTATGGTCCAACTCCATCATGTTGTGCCCTTTCCATATGACTTTACATGTTGATGAAACCCAAGGACGGATTACGATCTTCTGGTGAACATTGGAGGTGACTCTTCTTTTCAGTGGTCAAAGCCATCAAACTCATTGCAAGAGATTACTGTAAAAAAATATCTATTATATTATAATATTACAATATAATATATATATATATATAATGCCCATGAAAATACAAGCCAGCTCGTCCACCCTATTTGTAACACCCAACCAAACGTAATTTAACCATATTTTGCCCCAACTGTGCAATGCTTCAGGTGAGCTGAATCATCTGTTCAATGAGATCTCCAAGATTGAGGTCACACCGGCGGGGAAAGAGAGTCTTGCCAAGCAAATTACTCCCTGGGCCCTGGGGCCTTCCATGTGTAGTGTCCTTGCAACTCTCCAGATCTCTTTCGTTGGTCACCTTGGGGGCAAGATGAAACCCATCCCACCAATCAATTTTATTTGATACCCCATTTGCTTTGGTTGGTTGGTTTCTCCGGCTAAGATCCCCAAAATTATGCACAAACATGTTCACCAAGGAAAAAGGTCTATGCGAAGGTGAACGAGAAGATCCGATCTGGGTACCCTACTCATGCAGCATTTAATGCGATGTCATAGGTGTCAAGGACAAACATACTTTTTTGATAGGGTTATCTCACTACCCAGGTGCATTCGCTTCAACAATGCCCATTCCCAGGTTAAGACTCTCATTTGCACTAAGATGTGGAGGTGTCAAAACTTATGTGAATGATTGTGAATGAATTTTTATGGGGATATATTTGTGCATTTGGTTCTTCCATGGCTGAATTGCAAATTTTGTGACCCAAGGACCCACTTCGTGAAGACTGCTGCTAAGGCAAAGCCGAAGGCAAAGGTCGAACCTGGCCCACCTAACCCATAGAGTGGCTGTCCATGTTGTGGCAATCGAGTTGCCACAGTTTTGGGTACTAAATTCCAACCCAGTAGCTTGCCCGATGCGATGACTCATCAGAGCTCTGTGGAACCATGGCTCAACAGAAAACAGCTTGTCATGATCCATATAATTTTTCATGCAGACTCCATGCTATTGATTCGAAGAGTCCTGGTGGGGATGTTCCCTTTGAGCTGGTTTGAGATATGTGTGCGAAAGTTTGGGGCGTGCTACAAAATGCGGCCTTTTTGGTGACATGTGGATACACATGGTATGTTTATTTTTTTTGCAGTGGTTTGCCAAGCTTTGGAAACATTATGTTCCATCCCTGTTGTCGCCACGCAGGTGATGATTCACCCTTGCCAGCTGCTGTGAGTGACATCCTTAAGACTTTTGTCGCCCCTTGGCTTTGAATAATGTGGGCTTTGTCAAACAATGGAAATCAAAGTATATTATATTGCCCTCCTTCTTGAATCTATTAATAATAAACTCAATCCCTTTCTGTAATCATGAGGATTTTACTGCCTGTCCTTCAGCTGAAAATGCCTAGGCTACATCAGCTACTTCTGCGGTCTCCCAAGCCAAGACCACCAGCAACATCTCGAAGTGGTGCTATGACAAGACCTACTTGGATGAGCTGGGGGAACTCAAGGACCGTCACCTTGGGAACCACAATCGTGATTTGGTGTTCCACCTTGGGAAGAGAGGATTCATGCTGGGGGTGCCTATCTCCTATGCCAAGGGGGTCTGGGCTGTCAAAATCCAGTGCCGTATTTTGATACACACCAGTCGGGGGTGCATCCTAGCAAGGGCCCACAACCCATGTAGAATTTCCATATATCCCACATATAACTGGGTTATACTATGGTGTTTGCCCATTATTGATTCGCCATTGCAAATACCTGGTGCCCTCATCTTATCCCATTATATATATAATTTCCGAATATTCCTTATTGGTTTTAACAATCCATAACAAGCCAGTTGGTATAATTGTATGGTAGCCCATCAAAAATTGTATTTGGATGGCTCAATTTGGGTTTACGTTAACAAGTCCCCGCAACCCAAAGAATCCATGGTCATTGTTTTATATATCCCAAATCTTCAAACATGTTGGCAGTGGTATTGATCCCCCACCGTTCAAATATCAGAGTGGGGTGTTCCAACCAGCCAATGGATTCAGACTTCATTGGTTGTTCCTGGGGTTCCCTTTGGGATCCTTTGGGTGGTTTTCAAATGTAGATTTACATGGGGTATATTTTGATTTGATATTAATTCTATAGGTGCATTTAAAATTCTCAACATACCCTGTGGATAGCAAAGCCCCCTGCAGGTGAAGTATTCCTTTTGGAAAAGAACGAGGCGCAGAATCAAAAAAACTAAGTTGAACCGAATCCGGGACCACCCCATGTTGCAGATTTGGGATATGGCATGTTTTTTACTCAATTCTCGGTATGCCCGCAAGCTCCTGGGCTGTGAGATCAGTGACACTACAAGCTGGAAATCAGAGGTACTTGGCTTCTGGAACAAGTATCGTTGTGTCACTCGCATGTGCCATAGCACCTTTTATTCTTCTGTTGCTTAGCCGCTTAGCCTGTGGTGGTTCTAGTGGTTCATTCTTCTTGGAGAAACCCGTCGTTTTGATACGGTTTCTGTTACTGCAGGTTGATGGCCAACACAATGTCTTCACTGACTTTTCAGATCCTGAAGATCTATGCCGGTGCCTTCCATGCCTCATGCATGGAGACGAAGGAGTGGGGCATCGTAGAAAGCCAATTTTGCAGCTGTTGTGGGGGCCTCTTTTGAGGGTTGGTCTGGGTGCAGTTGACAGACTCTTTTTGATCACTAGCTGTCCTCACAAGTACTACTCCGGATACAATGAAGGCACTGCTGCTGGAAATGCTGTGATTGACCGACTGGTGACGGAGTGTGCAAGATCAGCTTGCAGGGCCTACTATCAAGGGATTCCCACCAAGTTTGGAACATTCAGGCTTGTTTTTCTGGGCTTGGCTGGAGACCACCCATTTCAGACCAAAGTTTGTGGAAGTTTGAGAAGCCATCTCCGAAAAGATATTTGCCCTTGGTGCCATGCCAATATCTCCAACATTCCATTTGAAGATTTTGCTCCAACAGCGGCATGGAGGCGAACAGTTTTTCAGTCAGCTCCGTGGAAGTCCAGCCCGCCATTTGCCATTCTGCCGGGGGGTGCCCATCCATCTTTTGTCAAGTGGGATCTGATGCATATGGTGCCACATGGCTGTGCCCGCAACTTCTGCGCATCTGTCATCTGTATGTTGTGTGGACCTCTTGGCCTGTTTGAACCTTTGCCTGGCCCTGCTCTCCGAAAGGACAGATGCCTGATCGCTGCTCACAAGATGTTAGATTCTTGGCTGATGTGTGTGGGCAAGAGCATGCGAGACTTGAAGGAGTTCACTCCGGAGAACCTTCAGTGGAAGTTGAACCGTGACTTCCCTGACAGCAACTGCAAAGCCAGTGACTGCATCCTTTTGACAAAGTGGCTCCTGGATCTCATTGGAACAATGCCATGGGAGATGACTGAGCCCTTGCAGATGGCCTATGAAGGGTTAGAAAATCTTGACACCTTCCAGCACTTGTGCTATACAGGCGACAGGCTGTTCTTGAATCCAGGAAGGCAGTGTTCTGCTAGGAACGCATGTGCCGCGTTTCTGGGAGCATATGCCAAGTTGGCGGTGTATTGGTACCAAAGGGGGTGGTGTCTTTTTGGATATACCCCAAAGTGCCATTACACAGGCCATTGGGATGATGAGTTGTCTGGTGCCATCGAACGTGGCGATCAATGGGCGTGGAACCCGGGAGCTTTCAGCACCCCCATGATGGAGGATTTCGTTGGTGTCGCTAGCAGAATTTCTCGGTCAGTTCACCCTGGAGCAGTACCCATCAATACTATCCGCAAGTATCTTGTGGACATGCGAAGACGGTGGTGAAGGTTTGCCAAGATGATTTGTGGATGGAAGAGAAAAGAGTGGATGGAATCCGGATGGGAGGAAATTTCTAACTTCTGCTCAGGGGTGGTCCTGGATTGGTAGCATCCCCCATTAGCCCAAATTCTTATGTACAATTATTTTTGTTCGAACCAATTATCTTTGGTTTTTGGGAAAGACCAAAAAAAAAGTTACACTTTGGATGGTCTAGGTATATATATATATATGCATATATTATAAAACAACAATCATAAGTGGTAAAATCAGCGAACAAAGACCTGGAACATGCCTGTGGATGTGCGGGCCCTACTTAGGATTCGTGGTTTACAAACCATATATAACCTATTTCATCACAATCCAGTGGAGATATGCCATTAATCTAATTGGGGATATCAGCCATTTCCTAAGTGGATAATGGAAATATAGTGGAACTTCACAACCAATGAAGTTTCCCTTGGAAAATTATTTTAAACAAATGATGGGAACAATGATAGGAAACTCTGATTTGTAGACCAATGGTAGGCCATTTTCCATCTGCTGTAATACATCCCATTGGTCTAAGAATTGGTCTGGACGTGCTTTTAATGATATCTATTGATATCATTCTAATAGTGTGTTATGAAAAATACCAAGACATCCACTCTATAGCCAATGGGTCTACTGTCTATGGATATTAGTGGATGTTTAGTATTGTATTGGTTATGAATGGTTATGAAAAATACCAAGAACTGAAATTCATGTGCTCTAGATAATTATCCATCTACTCTACTGTTCTAGACTTTGTGCTACCTATGAAGATGGTGATGATTGAGGAATGGTTTATGACAGTGTTTTACCCACATTATTCAAATAGTGGCAACTTATATTGTTCAAGACATATCTGCTTAGGGCTTACTTTCTGTAGATATTTCCATACGATTTCATCATATTCAAGGTCTAAGGCATTACTGCAAGAATACAATAACTATACTATACTTCTAGTGAAAAGTGCTATTGAAAATTGCCCATTGAGTTCGGTGATTTACCCAGTAAAACGGTGATTTTCCATCGTTTTTTTTTCTGGTTGGTGGTTGAGCCTACCCCTCTGAAAAATGATGGAGTGAAAGTCAGTTGGGATGATTATTCCATTCCCAATAGATGGACAGTCATAAAATTCCATGGTTCCAGTCACCACCAAACAGAATAACCATGGATAAACCCTTTTTTTTCACCATTAATCACTATATAATAACCCCATTAATAAACCATGGTTATTAACCACCTGTTCCAAACCACCAAGCAGTTTTGGTCTCCTGTAGGCTGGCTCCGCAGGCCGCCATGGCCAGGCAGAACTGCCTCTGGCTGCTGAAGTCGCAGCATTGCAGCGCCAGGCGCCAGAGGCCAGAGACCTGGCGGCGCCTTTGGCGAAAACCCGCTGCAGAACTCACCAGAAACGATGGGAAGATCATGTGAAAATCATGGGAAGATCATGTGAAAATCATAGGAACATCATGGGAAAATCATTGGAACATCATGTGAAAATCATTGGAAAATCATGAGAAAATCATGAGACAATAATATGAAAATCATGGGAAACAACATGTGAAAATCATGGGAAAATCATGGGAAAAACATGGGAAAATGCTGGTGATTGAACATGAGTTATATATATATATATATCTTGAAAGAAGGCTGTTTTTTCATGAAGAAATCCAGGGATTTCCCCAATGATTTCCACCTTACAGCACATTGGAAATGGATATGGCTCAGTTCCTAGGTTCCAACCGGTTCCAACCCCAAACTGAAGGGCCCAGGCCTGGCTGATTGCCGCCAACGCAATGTCCCGGCCTCGACCCAGAGACCCCAGGTCATGGCTACCGAGGACACGATATGATACTAAGGATGGGCCAGCGAAATCCTGCACCACCAAAAGGATGGTTGAACCATTTGAACCCCTAAACATGATTTAAAAAATAATGGGATAAACCACCTATCCACTGGTGATTCGGATTTCTCTGGCCCATCCACAGTAGGACTATGACCATACTGGATTGAAGGGATTGAGGGATGGGGCTTCACACTATGATTGGGATGACCATGATGAAACTTTATTAATAGTCCATGGATGAACAAGGGTATACAAGTCAGTTGTTGTTATATGCACATATATATATATATTATATCACTCCTGGAATATCGTGGATATATTATATTGTGTTAACTATTACAGTAATGGGAAGTCAATATGGGAACTTAAAAGTCAACTTAAAAGGTCAACTCGACTTTTTGAATGCCCCAACCATTAATCAAGGTGGGAACCTGATATTGTGACTATACACACATGTGGACTGTACTGAACTTAAAGCGTTAGCCAATCAATAATCAAATGGGACGTCGACAGCTTGCCTATTCGTATGGAAATATCTACAGAAAGAAAACCCTAAACAGATATTTCTTGAAAAATATAAGTTGCCACTATTTGAGTCTTGGATTTTACTGTTCCATGGCCCCATTTCGTGCTTGCTCTAACCGTTAGACGCGCCACCATGGCGCCACCATGGGAGACCTCCCCCGACGGACGAACGGCACCAAGGCACTCGCAGCCTAAAAGCCAGGGGTGGGAAAGATGGCAAACGCGACGGATTTATGGCAGCTACATCTATAGTTTAAGGGTTTGTACATAGTCATCATAATAAAAATAGTAATAATAATAATAAATATAAATAATAATATTAATAATAATCATCATCATCATAATCATGATCATCATAATCATGATCATCATAATCAAAATAACAATAACAATTATATATATGTATATATATATAGCGACTCATAGATAGTTTTTGTTGTTTTGGATCTATCAGGGATATCATATGGGGAAAATGTATCCCTGTTATATCAATATTGTCAGGAAATGTCTCATGGGGATAAGATCAGGATGTTGTTTTGGATATAACAGGGATATATTCAACCAACAAGTCTATTTTATCAGCTTATGAAACATATTGGAACATGACGGAACACCACATGCATAACCAACTCAAAATTGGTTGTGGAGTTAGCCAAACATGATGGTGGCAAGATATTCCAATGGCCATTTCAGATAATTGGAGGTACCTACCATATAATAAGCTTTAACCTACCATATAATAAGGTTTAACAAAGCCTAAATTTCAGGGCCTTTTTTTTCAGGGAGATCCCCAGATATTTCTGGCCAACTATGTTGTTCGCCCCATGTTCTGCCAAATCCTACAGCTTCAAAATTCTCCCAAAAAAATAGCTGAAGAGTTGCAATGGGTCAATTCAGCACATCTTCCATGAGCCAACTTTTTCGAAGCACAAGGGATCAAACCTGATGTAGATGGGTGATATTTTATGTTGGTTGAATTGTGAATATTGTTCTTGATCAAATTGGGATATTCACGTGCCCATGGGTTGTGTTTTCAACATCCGCGATATGAAATGGTACAGTTCCTGCAAAAGTCCACAATGTCCATGTCTGGTCTGTTGCAAAAAATACAAATCTATGGGGATGGGTCCAAACGGTTGAACTCTTTCTACCCTCTGGTGAACGTTTACATAACTATGGAAAACCACCATTTTTACTAGGTACATGAACTATAAATGGCAATGTTCAATAGCTATGTTAGTTTACCAAAGGGTTATCTTTGGGGGGTTCAGAACATCCAGTGGCGCATCACCGACGAAACGATGCTTTATGAGTACACCAGGGTCATCCCCAACTCGGGCTTCCACCCATGGGTGAAGTGGAGTAGGGATGGAAAGTCAATTCCCTTTGAAAGGACTAACCGGTTGTACTGGACATTGGCATATGGAAGTTTCCTAAAATCGGGGGTACCCCAAATCATCCATTTTAACTAGGGTTTTCTATTATAAACAATCCAGCTATTGGGGTACCCGCATTCCAGGAAACCCCCAAATTGTGTGTTGCTTGGAATGTTGCTTCGAAGCTGGCAAAGCCCCCATGTGCTCAAGCAATCCATCACCATTTCTTACTTGGACATAGCAACGGTAACACATGGGCCGGCGAAACCTGAAAATCACAACATGGAATTCCAACATGATTTTGGGACGCCCAATGAACAAGCATGGCAAGGGGCTACCGCTAGGCACACGTTGAAAAACTCTGCGAGTTATCCCCCCTATTTCTGGACATCTAAATCACCAGTTACAAGGGAGATCATCCCATATGTCATCAACTAATCTAACTATCGCCATGGTTGAATACACCATGTTTGATGATTAAAACAGATCACATGCCATGACATATCCCCTGTAAAACAAATGCTCATTCTTGATGGTGAAATCCCATGACATGGCTGGTGAAATACTACCGTTACAAACTATAAACTGCAATGTATTCTCCCCATATTTTTACTAAATCACTGACTAAATCCCCTAGAATCCCCCAAATCTCAGCTTAAATCAACCAATCCTGGGGATTCCTGGACCCAGGTTGTCCACCCCAACGGGCCCAACAGGCACCAAGCATCGTTCGGTTGTAAACTCTTGGATTCCATCAGCCAAAGCAGCTGCAACGTCTAGCGGGATGACCGGCCGAGATATTAGGCAAAAAACAACATTGCTGTTTGCATACATTCATGCATACATATATATATATATATATAAAATAGTTATACATTATAGACATACTATATATATATATATGTATATATGTATATATATATATACATATATGTATATAAATAAAAATATTGATATAGATATAGATAGATATTGAAAAAAAACACATACATATATATATATATAATATATAGATACATATATATATATATAAATAGATACACTATATATAAATATACTATATATATATATACTATATATATATACTATATATATATACACTCTATATATAGTATATATATACTATATAATAGCTATACATTATAGACATACTGTATATATATATGTATCTATATATATATATAGATATAGATAGATATAGATGTACAATACATATATATACTATATATATACTATATATATATATACACTCTATGTAACTCTACTATATATATACACATACTAAATATATACTATATATTCTATATATATATACTATATATATATATATTATATATACTATATATATACTATAAAATATATATATATATACTATATATAAAAATATAGATACTATATACTATATATATATACTATATATACTATATATATACTATATATATATACTATATATATATATACTATATATATACTATATATATACTATATATATACTATATATATATAATATATACTATAAATATACTATATACATATATATATATATACTATATATATACTATATATATACTATATATATACTACATATATACTATATATATATGTACTACATATATACTATATATATATATACTATATATATATACTATATATATACTACATATATACTATATATATATGTACTACATATATACTATATATATACTATATATATATACTATATATATATATTATATATATACTATATATATACTATATATATACACTATATATATACACTACATATATAGTATATATATATACTCTATATATATACTATATATATACTATATATATTATAGTTATACATTATAGAAATACTGTAATATATCTATCTGTACATATATATATATATATATATGTGCATAAAAGTTTTTCGTCAACTCTACTGGGCGGAGCTTCTTCGGGCAGCATTGGTAGTTGGTCGAAATCACCAGTGGCTTTGTCTGAAAACATTAACATGGTTTCTCATCATTTTCCCAGTGAAAATTGCATACAATCCCCATATAATTCCCATTGTTCCATGTTTCCTTGGCAAATCCATGAACGGTCAAGGATTTGATTGGCTAACTGATCTTTGAAAAATCGTATGGTTCTTTGGCTCAATCTATATTAAACCATAGAGTGTACTCCCCATGAATAATCCCCCGAAAATACCTCGTTAAATTCTATAATTGAAATCACCGCAACATCCCATAAAATCATATAAACTCATACAAGTTCATCATAAATTCAGAAAAAGCACACCGTATAAGTCCCATCATTCTCCATAAAAAAAAACAATGTGCTGCACGTCCTATAGAATCCCATCATTCTCCATAAAAAAAATGTGCTTGTCCTATCCACGAATCGGTCTCGCTTTTGGCATTTCACAAAAGACGGTACCGCCTCTTCCCAAAGGCTTTGCTTCGAGAAGGCCACCATGCCGGTGTTGAAGGTCAAGACCTGACCGCGGCTGAGGGAACGGAACTTTTTAACTGGTATTTTTACTGACCAAGTTACGGAATATCCTTGAAATATCATGGGAATATCACGGGAATGTCATGGGATAATGGAATATTCCCTCGGTAAACATACAAAAAAAATATAGAACATCACCATTTTTCATGGGTAAATCCACTATTTCTATGGCCATTTTCAATAGCTATGTGAGTTTACCAGAGGGTAGTTGTGAGATGAATGCGGTATGGTCCTGGGATTGAACCTCTGGATGCATGGTAGATCGGTACCCATTGCTAAAGATTGGCCACAAGCTGGTTACTTTAGTGTCTTTCTGTGTGTTAATTTATCGGACATCAATTAATGAATCTTCGGACATCTTTCTGATTTTCTGTAGGTTACAAAAAAGAAGACACCTGTGAATATATCGGAATGCATCAAAAACTCCATGGGTGCGCTGATTTTCACATCAACAGTAGGCGGTATAGTTGGATGTTCATCCCCCCACCAAGAAAGAGTAAAATCCTTCTAAGTGATGGTACGTTGTATACCCTCTGGTAAACGTTAACAAAAAACTATTGAAAATGGCCCATTTAGTTCGTTGATTTACCTATTAAAAATGGTGATTTTCCATAGTTATGTAAACGTTTACCAGAGGGTAACCTTATTGTTGGCACCTACCATCATCCCATCATTCTTCACCATCCCTTCACTACATCCAAATACCTTCGAATATGGAACCCAAGCAAATAGACCAGGGTTGAATTGCCGAACCCCAAGGTAACCACCAGCATTCGTCAAATGTTCATGGTTCTTCCGGAAATCCCACAGTTGGTCCTTAAGGCTCCCCTTTTTTAAACATGTGTCCGCACCTCGGTCGCTGTGGTGCTGCGAAAGAGCCGTTGACTTTGACGAAACAAATCCTGGTGATTGCAACAAGCCATCGCCTCGCCGATGAATGGCTGCACTGTGGGGATGACCCGCGGGGGATGCATCCTTTGCTGCAATGAAAATACCCCATAGGGTTCATGTATGGTATATAATATATATATATATATATATATGCTAACATGACTGGGGTATATTGATGGTAAATGTTACCATATATAGCATACATGGATCCTATGGAATATGGAAAATTGTCTGAAGATTGTGAGAAATATATGGAAAATTGTCTGCAAATTCTCAGTTTCAGGAACGACTATATAGCAGTTTTTGGAGATCCCCGCTTGTTTGACAATCCCTCTACCTATAAATATCACCAACATAAACCCATCCACTAACCTAGTCTTTTATCAACTTGGCTAAGGAACTGGGGAACCACAAGGAATCGCCATTTGCCGTCCGTATCCATTTACAGCTTGGAGAATTCCGATTTTTGCTTCAGGAAAGGGTCCCCTCATTATGTTTATTGTTTTATACAATGTGATGCCCCCAGTTGATAGCTAAGTTGATTTATAACTACAATAACTGGGATATATGGTATAGTTATAACTATCTATATAGTATAGTATAGTATAGTATAGTATAGTACAGTATAGTACAGTATAGTATAGTATAGTACAGTACAGTACAGTATAGTATAGTATAGTATTGTATTGTATAGTATAGTATAGTATAGTATATTGTAGTTAGATGGGGTTATAAACCAACTTATAGCTGGGGGGGGCCACATTGTAGATTAGTGGACATACCTATTTTTCTCACATGAGTCATTAAAAATACCATTGTTTTCCCATCTCATGAAATACACGTTGGTTTGCTTTCGGTTTTCCGAATAGTTCATAATCCCAACCAGGTAGTATAATTCCCGCACCAACAACCCATCAACAACCATTTAACAATATTGTTATTACACTACCATGACCATTGATGGTCGAGAAAACAATCCATTCATTAAGAATCATTTATCAACGATATCCCCAAATTCTCAATAGTTTCACCGTCATGAAAAGCGTTGATGGTTGAGTCCCGAAAAAAATGTTTTTTGTGATGGCATTGGCGGCATTGGTGAACAAATGCAATATTGTTCCTAAGGAACTATAATTGATGGTGAAGTCCCAAGAACAATTCCAGTATCCAATGATACTTATACCATTGGATATAATACCAAATGGTTGGTTATTATACAAAATTACACAATTAATGAAACCCAATCAACAACTGCTGTTAATATGTGAATGTTATTAATTACATATAATGTATATATATATATATATACAATCATAAATATAATTATATATATATATATCAACAATGGTATTTTTTAATAGCTCCCATGGCATAGTGAAGCCGCAGTTCTGCATCCACGCAGCTGTGCGTCGGCACAGCTCGCTCTCAGGATGCACTCGTAAGAGCTCCTCATTTTGGAACTTTTTCAGGATATCGGGAGAGCCCGAAATAGGGATCTCACCGAGCAAGACATAAAATATCACTGGATTGGTTTAAGGGAAAATTTACAGGAAACAATGGTTCTTACCATCAAATATAGGGCGTTCCTGTAAATTTTCCCATAACCCAATTCTATCTGATTTAACCATCAAACTAATATGTCTTTGACTCTTTGACCAACTAGAATTTGGGATATGAGCATCAGAAATAGGGATTGAAGCTGCCAAAATTGGGATTTCACTGTCAGAAATGAGACTTAAACAATGAAAAATGGATCTGGGCGTGACTGAAAATCAGGGATTTGATCACAAAATGATGACAATTCCATAGGAAACATCAATCAAGATCAGGTGGTTGTTTCCTAAAATCGGGGTCCAATTAAAAGGATTGGTTTCCCATTAAACATTGCCATTGCCATTGGATGATTTGGGGTCCCCCATTTCAGGAAACCCCGTCGTGGGTCAAGTCATTGAGTGACTTACCGCAATGATGTAATGGGTGTTTCGAGAAAAAATGAGGAACCCCCAAGACATTATAGGCCACAAATAGGATTCCCGGAATAAAGAGGGTGCGTTCGCTATGACAAATAAATTGATGGTGCGAACGGGGGTTCTTAATGGAAACCCACATTTTGGCTGTACGTTTTAATACCCTCTCGAGCTTAAAACATGAAGCCCCATACGGCCGTGTTTAGTGGTATAAATATGTATAAATAAACATCATCAAGACGGGTTTCCAGGTGTACACACTCTGATGGTTTATGGGGATGAACATGCCATGAGTCGTTTCGTTTCTTCCCTATGTGCTGGTTGCGGCAATTGTATCCGGTACGTACCCTCCAGTAGACTACTGAATAGCTATGGAAAATGGCTCATTTATACAGGTCTCACATGGTTTACCTGTGATAAAATGGTGATTTCTATAGCTACCTTAGTTTACCAGACGGTGCGCGTTTCCTCTCTTTCTACTCATCCAAATAGAATGTCCAAGCTCTTCTGCTGTGACTGCCAAAGAAAATTGCAGTCCTGTGCATTGCAAACAGAGAAGGTTCTTTGAAATACCATGAACTTGTCATATGGACACAATTCCCCCATGTTTCGCTGGTTATAACTAGTTATAACTATGGGTATTCAATAGGCTTAGTTCACTTCCACTGGATTAATATTATTCATAACCCACAACTATGGCTTAACAATAGGCTTAATCACGGTTAATCATTGTTAATCTACATACAATGGGTTTAATAACCTTCCCTCCTCTCCTATCATAATTATGGCTTAATCTACTAAAATGAAGGGTTAATTCATGTGAGGTATGGCTTTATTTTGGCTTTATGGCTACATAAGCTTTTACAAAACCTATAGTTAACATTAATAATGGTAACCTTCTCTGGTTGGTGGTTTCAACCCCTCTGAAAAATATGAAAGTCAGCTGGGATCATGATTCCCAATATATGGAAAAATGAAAAATGTTCCAAACCACCAACCAGTAAAGTTTTATTGGAAGCCAGTCATGATTCACAAAAAATCACCATCCCTATGGTTGGCATCATCCCAGTCATGGAACCCTGTAAGTCATCATTCCTACAATGTGAGGCCCCCAAGATAGCTAAGTGGGTTTATAAGTCCAATGACTATGGTTTATGGTATTTATAACTATAGTTACTGGGGCTTATAAACAAACTTATAACTGGGGGGCCTCACATTGTATTAATGTTAACCTTCTACAATGGCTTAACAAAACCTATGTTTCTCCACGGTTCACCCGCCACCGTTGCTGAAGTAACACCTTCCAGGCCCAGACACCAGCGCTACGTCCCAACGTCCCGCAGCGTCGCAGCAAAGCATGGCTTGGGAGACCTGGAAAAAGACGTTGGAACGGCGTAGACCAGGAAAAATCCTGGATTTACCAAGGAAAATTGTGGATTTATAATATCTATAATCCAATATATACTTGGATTTATAGTTGATGCATAGTTGTATGTATATGTACGAGTTGGTTTATGATACATTGGAGGGTTGCATGCTTTTACTGAAGTGAAATTGGATTTATAGTCGGATATAGTCCGTTTATGATTCGACGTAAGTGAAACAAACAAGAATGGTTCCCAAGAACTTGGAAGTTACATCAATAATGGATATTTCACCACCAAAAAAGCGATTTAATAAGAGTTGATTATGATTGGTAAGTTGGTGTGTATGTTAAGTAGGACTAAACACATATCTCCAGATAACTCCAGCTGGCTTTATTCATTAGCTTGAAGGAGATGGGTATGAAACGAAACAACAAACAGTTGAAGCCAGTCAAGCGGCATAATAAAAAACAACTCAAAACAAATCTGGTTGGTGGTTTTAACCATCTTGAAAAATGATGGAGTTCGTCAATGGGAAGGATATGGAAGGATGACGTCCATTCATATGAAATGGAAAATAATCCAAATGTTTGAAACCACCAACCAGATATTGAATATTGAAGAATGTGAAAGCATAGGCTACCGCGAAATGCTAAGATGATATCATCATGATCCCTATCATTTCATGGCCATTTGCAGTGTAAATCTCTGTGTTTGAGGGGTAAATTATGGTTGAATCCCAAGTTGTCACACTTTTACCGTCTGGTAATTTAACATAACTATTAAGAATGGCCCATTTAGTTCGTTGATTTACCTACTAAAGATTGTGATGTTCCGTTTCGCAAAAGATTTTAATTTACCAGAGGGTATATCACCATTAATCACCATAAATGGTCATTAACCACAAGTCACATCTATTCATCAGTATTAACCACTATTATTCACTGAATACCACTACTGATTGGTGGTTTCAACATGTCCAACCCCTCTGAAAATATTAGTCAATTGGGATGATTAGTCCCAGCATATGGAAAAATAAAAAAAATGTTCCAAACCACCAACCAGTTATGGATGTATACCACTATTGATCAGTATTAATCAGTTTCACCATATGTTAGCTTCAAACTCTTAGCAAAAATGGGGGGTGACCGGGTGACCGGGTCCCCTCGGATCCCCTCCGGCAGGCTGCGTGGATTTCCGTCGGCATCGCCATGTCCTGGCTGCGACGGAAGAATTGGGTCGAAACATCGGGTGAAAAATGGTGGGAAAAACATGGTGAAAAATGCTGGAAAATCTATGAAAACTTGAAATTGTTGGAAAAATCTATAAAATCATGGTGAAATTGCTGGAAAATCTATGAGTGGCATGATGGAAACAAGTTGTTAAACATGGTGGAAAAAACACTGAAATGATCTAGACTTGTGCTAACTTGCATCAAACATGTTGTGTCAGAATTACAATGCGCGCAGCAAATGACCTATTCATACCAATTCTATATCATTGCGTATAATATATATATATATATACATATGTGACAAAAACATGTGCAAATATGATCATAATCTGATACATTTTGTTGGGTATAAATAGTTCAAAACCCAAAAAAACTGGTTATACTTGTTTATGCCAATCTGTTCCCCAAATTTTCTAAATGGCACTGTACTGGAACACCATCTGGGTATCATAGTTTTTCCCATCAATGTTCACCTCATCACGACCACCTCAAATGTTGCTAAACGTCCTGCATTTCAATTGGGTCTTCGGCTGTTCCCAACGTGTGTTTCTGGCTATTTGGCTTGCCATTCAAATGCAGATGTCGTGAACCCAACAATAAACTGATCTTGCCTCTACCGATTGTCAAGAGTAATATCACACAAAACAAATATCGATCAATTCAGTTCTGATTACTGTAGAAATGGTTCCTAATCCCATTAATGCGGGTAAACGATGTCATAAGCCATCCCCCAGTCACCATTTTTATAGGTGGTATATGTAAACCATTCCCGGTCATGGTTGGTTTATGACATTGTTTTACCTACATTTATGATCAATGTGAACCACTAATATATAATCACCATTGATCATTATTTACCATCATAAACCATTATTAACCTATGTTTTACCCCATTTTACCCACGCCATTTTACCCACAATTGTTATTAAAACACATTACTGGTTAGTGGTTTCAACCCTCTGAAAAATATGAGTTCGTCAGTTGGGATGGTGACATTCCCAACTGAATGGACAGTCATAAAAGTCATGTTCCAAACTACCAATCAGATTATAAATCAATATTATTAACCATCATTATTAACAATCATTATTGACCATCATTAACCACTATATAATATTCACAATTGTTATTTAAAACAGGTTGATAATGGTTAGTTGATAATTGTTATTTAAATTGATCAACCACTGTAAAATATTCACAATTATTTAAATAAAAATTGTTATTTATTTATTTACCCAATTGGTTGATATCCCCGTTCCTCTGTTTTGGTCCACCATTTTGGCGCCTCGCGTTGGGCCTCGCTAAGCAGCTGCAAGGCCCAGGGCCATTCCTGGTGGCCGTGGCTGGGGATTTAACCACTAAACATGGGGGATTCATAGTTGGATTACCATCTGGTAAACCAACATAGCTATGGAAAATGGGTCATCTATGGTTGATTTACCCATGAAAAATGGTGATTTTCCATTGCAAAATGTTAGTTTACCAGAGGGTATCTGATTTTAATATGAATCAATATCGGGAAAATGGGGGGTTAATGGTTGAATATCGTTGAATTGAATCTTGTTTAGATTGTTTTTGATGGTATATCATGGTTGTAATATTGGTTTAAACAAGCAAATATAATATATAATAGTTCTATAACCAAGAACGACATATTAATCTTTGTGAAATATTAGTCATAAACCAACTTACTTGGTGGTTCATCCCACTTAGTTGAGGAATGTTGAGGACATATTTCAGTCAGTTGTTCAGCAAATAAAAAAGTATATCCCACAAAAATCTCTTTATGTAATCCCATTATATATTCCAAATATATCAAGGATTAGATAAATATATATATATATATACATGTAGATAACGTCTGCTCGTTGGATCCTCATTAGTCAACAGTTCTCCCGAAAATGGGTAGTAATTAGTAATAACCCCCAATACCGGTAGTATGGCCTGCTAATCATGAGTCAACAGGGGCGTTTCAATCAGCTCATTGATCATAGTGTGTTCATTGGTTAATCACACATTGGTGATACTATTTGCAATCATCATTAACCATTGATGATCCATTCATTACCCTTTTCAGTGATATACCCATTATATTACTCATTATTACCAATTATATAATGTATAACTTATGTATAACACGTATATGCTACATATAAATCTATCCATTGACTACCCATTCAGCGCGGGAAATTATAGCCTTTCACCAATCTAAAATAAGGCCACGCCATGGGGATGATTCCCCCAATCCGAACCATTATTCCAGTGAGGTCGAACAGTGAGATCGATCGTTCTAATTTACCCATATATGTATATATATATATATGCCGATAGGCATATGTATATATATATATATATATGTTATATTATTATATATATATATATCCTCAATGGACAATAACAAATGGATACTCAATGGATAGTCACTGCTTACATGTATCATCATGTATCCATGATATATTCATGATAATTTAGCCAGATTCACCATGGATATAAATAAGACTTTTTAAAAGTGGAGGATAATGTAAACATTATATAAAAGACACATATATATATATATGAAGGTTTCCTAAAATTCGGGTACCTTCAAATCATCCATGTTAGATTTGGTTTTTCCATTATAAACCATCCAGCTATTGGGGTATCCCATCTATGAAAACTACCAAAAAATCAACTGACTATAGATAGAACTGCCATCAACCCTACTGAAATTGTAGTTATCAACCAACATAAACCAACTTAGCTATCTTCATATATATATAAATATGGAGGTTTCCTAAAATAGGGGTACCCCGAAATCATCCATGTTAGATTCTGAAAAAAATATGAAAGTCAGTTGGGACTATTATTCCCAATATATGGAAACAAAATCATGTTCCAAACCACCAACCAGAAGTGGGATTTATGGTAGATCCATCTGTTAGAATTATCCATTTCAATAGGATTGTCCATTATAAACCAACCATTTTCGGGATACCCCCATCCTTATTAACCATCATTATTGACCATCATTAACCACAAAAAAAATCACCATTAACCATTGATATACCATTATTAATTTATTTATCCACTTGGGTATTCACCATTTTAGAATTATCCATTTCAATAGGATTGTCCATTATAAACCAACCATTTTTGGGATACCCCCATCCTTATTGACCATCATTAACCACTAATATTCACCATTAACCATTGATATACCATTATTAATTTATTTATCCAAATAATTCACCATTAACCATTATTAACCATTGATTTAACCATTGATTTAACCATTGATTTAACCATTGATATACCATTGTTAGAAAACCCCCAAATAATCCTCATTTTCCCTCAGGTTTCTCGAACACCGGCCTCGCCCAAGGCATCCAGGGCGGTGCCGAAGCTCACCGCATTTCGTGGCACCTTAAAGGGCAAGGATGAAAAAATTATAGGAAAGACGCCTAGGGAAAACACAGAGAAACCATAGGAAAATAGTGATTTAATTGATTTAACCATGAAAAACTGGTATTTGACCATCAAGAGCGGTGATTTGACCATCAACAAATGGTGATTTAACATATTTAACCAACTAACATGTTGGCATAGTGTGACTTTAGTGGGATATAATTTGATATAATGGAGATTTGTTCCGTGGGAATAGATGACATGTGGTGATTTAAGCAGCCAAAATATGGGTTTAACCAACGGATGTGACCATTAAAAATGCAATTGATACAGTAAATGATTTATGTTATCTCAGTATGGAAAATTCTGAGAGATAAAGTGACATGGCTTGGGTCAAAACCCTCGTGCCATGGTCAACATCAAAGTAGCTCATGGATGTTCATCCTCAGAAATATGGAATCATATAGGTTTTAAACCATCCCCTCACCATCCCATATCCATGTTGAAATTGGGACATAGTAAGTTGATGGATATAGCAAGCCCCCCAATGATGGGGAGTGGCTCAAGGAGTATGTAAGACAATCGTAAAAAAAACATCTTCCCACTAATTTTTCCCATGAACGTCCTAAACACGGGGATGGATATGAGCAGAAAATGTATTTATACAACGAAGAAGGTCGTGATTTGCTGGAGGAAAACGTCACCAACAAGAATAACTCTGATGATTTAACGTAGCTATGGAAAATCACAACTTTTTAAAAGGTACATCACCATAATTCATAAATCATCTATTTAAATGGGCCATGGCTTCCATATGATGTTCAATAGCCTCCCGGCTGCCCGGCCTGCTACAAGAGGTGGGGATATCAGGTGTCTGCGCCCAGCGACTTTGGCCAACGACATGTAATTCAGCAGGGTCAAGGCGTCCTCGGTGAGAAACTCTCCGGAAAACACAAGGCTTTTCCCATCAATGACCCTCTGGTAATTTAACATGTTGCTATGGAAAATCACCATTTTTAATGGGTAAATCCACTATTTCTATGGCCATTTTCAATAGCTATGTTAATTTACCAGAGGGTACACGGGGGGATTTCTTGTAAATGTGAATAAAAGAATGCCATAAACCCACCATCCCCCAGTCAGAAAACCATATTTAGAGGTGGTGTTTTGGTCCACCATTCCCACATGGATGGTAAACATGGCATTGTTTTACCCATATTAAATGTATGTAAATGTTCCTTTCAACCAAGGCTGGGACTGTTGAATCCACTTTCAAGTAGTGGTTTGTCTTTGATGGAAGTAACTTAGGTGCCCTCAAGAAGAAATCCTCATTCATCAAAATGTAAGATGGGCTCGAAAGCATTGACCATCCAGAAATAGTTCTTTGATGTGTTTTGAATGATAAAACATTACAAAACCAATCAATCTTCAACCATTTCTAATATGGCTAAGAGTCAAAACCCTTGTGTCCTAGGTACCCTGAGTCATAGTTGGTTATGCATGTTTCCAAATATGCTGATAATAGGTTTCGACCAATCTCTATACTTGGAGATACCTTCAGGGGCATCCGAACTTTGAATCCTCCGAAGCTTGAGCAAAGCGCGGGTACCATGGCCAAAAAGGCCAAATGGATGATTGACCTATTGAAAACATGTGATATTCCAATAAAAATGGTGGTTTAAAAAAAAATAGTTGGTGATTTTCCAGTATTTTCCCATATATGTTCCGTAGCTAAACTCTTCTAAAGTGTTAAATTGTCAGTAGGGCCATTCATCCTCCGAAACATTATCACTCCTCCTCTGTGAGGTATCACTTTTGGGTGCAACCACCTAAATCCCCAGGTTGAAGCTGAGAAGCCCAAGTCGGTCGTGGACCACCAACGAATCTCACTTTTGCCATCTTAAATATATATATATATAGAAACCTCAGTGATAATAGAAATGATATAGAAATAGACATGATATGGGTATGGGTCAATACCTATTAATACCATTTTTAGTGGGAGGAACATCCATTTACCAGCTATTTTGATGTTCACCAGGGGTACAAGGTTTTGACACACTGCCATATAAAAAAAAACTCTTTTGAGGTCAACACAAATCACCTCAATGAGAATAGTTTATTTCTTCACCTCCGAAGCCATCATTTTTGGATGATTGATTCCATTGGTTATCACTCAATGTGGGGCCCCCAGTCGATAGCTAAGCTGTGGCAAATAACTACAATTTATTACAATTTCATGTTTGGGTTGGTTGTTATAACGAACTAGTCAGATGGTGTAAAAAATCCACAAACATACCCTCTGGTAAACTAATATAGCTATGGAAAATAACCATCCTTAATAGGTAAATCAAATATTTCTAAGGGCCATTTTCAATAGCTATGCAACAAATTACAAGAGGGTATGTATTATATGTCATGGTCATGGTCATGGTCGAGAGCTGGATAATAGCTATGGTTACCTCTATTTAGGATATTAAACTATCTAACTGACTGACTGACTGACTAACTTGACTAACTTGACTAACTGGACTAACTGGACTAACTGGACTAACTAACTAGCTAACTAACTAACGTTTGCGGGCCCCACATTGCTGGTTTTCAACTGGTCCGCCGATTCCATCGAGTTTCAGGCCAAGCATTCACGGCGCTCATCGCAAGATTCAAGCCTCGATGCGGAGCTGTCATCCCGGTGTTGCGATAAAAAGAGCTCAACCGGGGGAATGTGTTTATATATATATATATTGTCTGTCTACCCTGTATAGTTAGAAGTGGACGAACCCGACTTATCCCAAGAACAAAACCAGAAATATAACCTACTTAGGATTCGCGGGTAGTTCGCCACCAAGTACCCCAAATCATAGGAAACCTCCTTGCCATCCTGTGCTGCCCAGCAACTAACCGTGTCAGGCGCCAGTTGTAGACCTGGAAAATCCATCAAGAGAATAACCAACACAGCTGCCAGGAATGACCACTTGGGACATCAGGGAAATGACCGGGCACAGATGTATTTTTTGAGGTTATCCATATTTTTTGGTATGCATGGAGTTTGAGTTTTCAAGTGGGGCAACACGACATGGAATTCCCTCTTTGTGTTTATTCGAAAAATGATCGATGATCTTCAAATGGTGGCTTTCTACATTTTTTGTTAATCTGCTAGAGCTGCTAGAGGGTAGATGAATATCACCGGATTTACTATATGGATGTTTCCTAAAATGGGGGGGGGTACCCCTAAATCATCCTTTTTGACAGGGATTTTCCATTATAAGCCATCCATTTTTGGGTTCCCCCATTTATGGAAACCACCGTAAATTTTTTGATGACCCCTGAAAGGATGTTGTTTCGGTGGCCCATGACCATTACTGTTGTAATGAAGCAAATGCATGCATCTTCGGCTCGAAGGAAACAGTAGGGAATAAATCGATGCCAACTGAGTGATTTTTACCAGCTGGAAATTCAAGTTCCAATTTACCAGCTCAATGAATCCAGGAAGTCCAGAACTCCGAAGACTGGTCCAGGTCCAGTCGCGGGTCGACTGAACTCATCGAGAAAATCGGCATTCCCACCATCCATGACAAGATGACAAGATGAATCATGGCTTTAAAATGGGCCCGGTTTGAATCCGTTGAATCCCATCGGAAAAATCAAGCACCAACTGGCCCAACTCTTGACATTCGGCTTGTCCACTTATTTGACTTTGCACCTTCATAAACCCATCAAATTTCCATTTTTAGCAACTTCAATGCAACATTTTTCCGTTGGTTCAATTCCCAATGTTCCACCAGTTTTCATGGTTCAATTCCCAATTTTCCACCATGTTTGATGGCAAAACTCCCCTATGTTGGTTAAATCGTCAGTTTCCCGAAAATGTTTGATGGATAAATCATGTTTAATCATCATTTATTGTTTTTTTCATTATTGACAGTCATATATATATATATACAATAATACAAATAAATATATATATATATATTGTTTTATTATTATATATATATATTATTAAATGTATTGTATTATACATATATATATATATATTATTAAATGTATTGTATTATATATATATTATTATATTATAAATATACATATATATATTATAATATATATATATATATAAATAAATATATATTACAGGACGCTATTTTAGAAGATATTAAATATTTTTTTCAAACAGAAGCAGGCCCAAGTCCATATGTAGCCGAGTCCGTTTCAAATAGAAGCAATTGGTAAAACAGACCGATTCACTAACAATTGCTTCTATTTGAACGGGAGCTGGTACTGGAGAGGCATTTTTCTTGTAAAATACTACGAAATTCCCCAAAAACATGTTTCCCTGCCGACCCCAACACCTTTTTTTCACCCCATGACCCCGGTCTGGGATCGATCCCCCACTCACAAAAATGCTGTGTTTTTGTATGTTTTCGAGGGGCTCGTTCAAATAGAAGCAATCCCATATCCTATAGTTTCTATTTGATTGGACTGCTTTGAAGTGGAGACCTTAGAGAAACATCCAAACTGCAAAAAACTGTCTCGTTTGGGTCTCGTTTGTCTTTGCCCAAAATGGAAAACACTGGTCGTGCTCAACCTGCCTTGCAATGCTGCACACTGCACAGTTTAGAGAGGGATCATACTCATTTGTGGTCAAACATTGAGTCAAAGTTGAAAACAAGTTGAAAACGCATGTGTTTTTGCACATTTTGGCACAAAAGTGCACGATTCTTGACAATTTCTCAGAGAAATTATCATAGTTTTTCAGCAAAACTCACAAAAATGCTGTGTTTTTGCATATTCTCCAGGGGCTCGTTCAAATAGAAGCAATCCCATGTCCTATAGCTTCTATTTGATTGGACTGCTTTGAAGTGGAGACCTTAGAGAAACATCCAAACTGCAAAACACTGTCTCGTTTGGGTCTGCTTGTCTTTGCCCAATATGGAAAACATTGGTCGTGCTCAACCTGCCTTGCAATGCTGCACACTGCACAGTTTAGAGAGGGATCATATTCATTTGTGGTCAAACATTGAGTCAAAAGTTCAAAACGAGTTGAAAACGCATGTTTTTTTGCACATTTTGGCACAAAAGTGCACAATTCTTGTCAATTTCCCAGAGAATTTATCATACGTTATCAGCAAAACTCACAAAAATGCTGTGTTTTTGCATATTCTCCAGGGGCTCGTTCAAATAGAAGCAATTCTTAGCTTTGGACCTTGAAAATCCAATTGCTTCTATTTGAACGGGACTTGGGGGGTTTGCAACGTCCATTTCAAATAGAAGCAGGGCTCTCCGATAATTCCGGCAATTGCTTCTAAAATTGCGTCCCATTATATTATATATATATATATATTTGGTAAAATGAGAAATACATATATTGTTATTAATATTATATATATTCTATTATAGATACATTCTATTATGTATATATTCTATTATATATATATATTAACTATATATAATATATATTAACTATATATTTTATATATTATTATTTTATTTTTATCATTATTACTATTTTTGTAAATAAAAATAATATCATTATTATTATATTATAAAGAATATATTATTATTATTATTATTACACACCCCGCAGAGTAGATGGCCCCGCCCTCTTCCAAAGTGCGCGTATAGATGGCGCCGACTTTTTGAATTTTGACGCCCGAAAAGGGCGTGACATCCATCCCCCTTACTTTTGTGGGCCGTGCCATCTATGCCAGAATGTGTTGCCAATGTGTTTCAGGGTTGCGCCATCTATGCAGGGGGCAAAGGGAAAGGAGAAAGGAGAAAGGGAAAGGAAAAGGAGAAAGGGGGCAGGGAAGGGGAAAGGGAAAGGAGAAGGGGAAAGAAGAAAGGGAAAGGGACAGTGAAAGGAGGAGGGACAGGAGAAAGGAGAAAGGGAAAGGAACAGGGAACTGGATTTTTCTTCGGGAAACCATAGCTCTGGATTGCGCCATCTATAGGTTACCACTGTTTGCAAAGGGAAAGGGAAAGGAGGAGGGAAAAAGGAGAAAAATACAGGGAAAGGGAAAGGAGAAAGGAAGAGGGGGAAGGGAATGAGAAAGGGACTGGGGAAAGGAGAAAGGGGAAATGGGAAAAGGAGAAAGGGAAAGGGGGAAGGGAAAGCATAAGGGAAAAGGAGAAAGGGGAAGGGACAGTGAGGGGAGGAGAGAAAGGAGAAAGGGAAAGGGACAGGCAACAGATTTTTTTGGGGGGAAACAATAACTGTGGATTGCGCCATCTATAGGTTACCACTGCGTTCCATTTCTAAAGGGAAAGAAAAAGGAGGAGGAAAAGGAGAAAGGAGAAAAAGAAAGGGAAAGGAGAAAGGAGAAAAGAAAAATCTGAGAGAACAAAGGAGAATTGGATGGCACTGTCCCAGGTGGTTGCGCCATCTATTTAGTAGTGAAAAAATCCTTTCCCCGAAAAACTTTTTGAACACACATCCCCCTTACTTTTTCAACGCTTTGATGACCGAAATGTCCGGTCCCGGAAGAAGGGATTTAAATTAAAAATGGGGTAGATGGCGCAATTTGGCCCATTTTGCACATGTAGGGTTGCGCCATCTTGTGGCACATTTGCTGTTTCGGGTACATATCGGAAAGGATTTTTTCACTGTTCAATAGATGGCGCAACCACCTCTGAGAAAGTAAGTCAGAGCCAGGCACTCTGCAGGTGGAGTATTATTATTATTATTATCATTATTCTGATTTATGATTTATTATTAATATTATTTTATTATTTCCAACCTTTCATAGTTTTCATGCTTTAATTCTCCATTGTTCATGGTTAAATTTCGGTTAAATCCAAAGGTTTCCCCATGACTCGCGTCGTGGGACTTCGCCTGGCATTTCGTACAGCAGTTCCAAGGCTGAAGATCCTTGGCTCACCTTCACACCTGGCTGCGGAGACCGGGATCTGGCCCGAAATTCCAATTACTTTTGCACTAAAAAAACATATATGGAATGTATAATTCAATCTATAACCAGTTATAACCATTTATAATTGGTAAACGGCCATAACTGTGGGAACCAGTTGCTTTTTTGTTGCTTTGTTCAGCAATCATGTTATGTTATATGTTGGTGTATAATCATTTTGAAAAGTGAATCATTGAACTAAACAGTCCATGGCTTCCACAGATGCCTTAAATGACCGGAGAGTCTCCAGAAACATGTTGGGGGTTCTAAAAATGGGGAATTTCCAGGTCATGTTTTTCCTCACCTGCCAGGTGAGGGTTGTTAGATTTTATCAGAGTTGTTCTTCTCCTCCTCGGCTAGCTGTCCTCCTCCTTCTCCTCCTTCTCCTCCTCCTTCTCCTCCTCCTCCGCCTCCTCCTCTAGTTTCTCCTCGACCATGTCTGCATCAACTTCCACCTCCACTTCCGCCTTGCCAACTCTTCGCCAAGCTCTTTGCCAACTCTCTTCGCCAAGCTCTTTGCCAACTTCCCAGCTCAGTGTGCACTGGGACCTCAACCTGGGACCTGCCCAGCTCAGTGTGCACCACTGGACCTCAACCTGGGACCTTCCCAGCTCAGTGTGCACCGCTGGACCTCAACCTGGGACCTGCCCAGCTCAGTGTGCACCGCTGGACCTCAACCTGGGACCTTCCCAGCTCAGTGTGCACCGCTGGACCTCAACCCGGGACCTGCCCAGCTCAGTGTGCACCGCTGGACCTCAACCTGGGACCTGCCCAGCTCAGTGTGCACCGCTGGACCTCAACGGCCAGATAGAATGCCAGATAGAATGCCAGAAGATATGCCAGATAGAATGCCAGAAGGTATGCCAGATAGAATGCCAGATAGAATGCCGCAAGATATGCCAGAACATATGCCAGAAGATATGCCAGGTAGAATGCCAGAAGATATGCCAGATAGAATGCCAGAAGATATGCCAGATAGAATGCCAGAAGGTATGCCAGATAGAATGCCAGATAAAATGTCAGATAGAATGCCAGAAGATTTGCCAGTAACAAAATGTATAAATGTCATGGTGGGGATCACACGAAGTAAAGTATTTTTTCAATACTATCAATACTACAGTTTGAACATCCATATCTTGGATGATTTACGGTTACTCCCATGACTTAGGAAACCTCCTTTTTTTGTGCAGCTAAACAATCAAACATGAGGACATGATATGGGATTTAACCATGAAAATTTGCGAAATCATGGTGATTATATGGGGGTCATAAGGAGAATGCCTATATCCTGTGGTAATTTAACAGTTTGCCCTGACAAACCACCGTTTTTTTTAACCCAATAGACATAAGCATCTATTGGTATTTCGGGTTTTAACTGTACTTATAAGTTGGCTAAAAACATTAATAATAGTTGTTTCAATACCCTTTAATAATTTGGAAAGGGCTTCAACTGTCAACTGAGAACATGGAATTGCGCCGCGCCACATGCGCTCATCACGGTGTTGAGGCTCGCGGTATCTGGAGGCACACCTGAGCAGCTCTGTGTGATCGAGTAATCCCATGATCTGTAACAAAAACCAACCATAATGGGATTCTCATAGGGATATCGGTGGATAGACATATATTAAGCATATATTATGTCATGTAAATAACACACACATATCGTATTTGGATTTGTCTGAAAATTGTCTGAAAATTTTGGTAACAGAAACGAAACCAGTGGTTTAAAACAACATCGTTCCTATTATTTGATGGGGGTGTGGTTCAAGACAAACACAATCATGTGAATTTCACATAGAATGGGCCTAGAAAGCCGGGTCCATTGTGAGCCTCCATGTAAGGCAATTGTATAGGGGGTGGGACTATCTTTTTTAAAACTAATCTGGTCAATAAAGTTTCAGGAAACTAGAGTAATTCCATCTTCAATCATCACCAGAAACAGATCTGGCGGGTTTTGATTGGTTCACCAAGCTTAAACAAAACGATGATAGGGTAGTTCGAGTCGCTAACCATTTGAGGTGACTTCGGCCAGTGAGGTAGTGTTCCTATATGCGGTAAATTTCTCCAACATTTCGATGAGGATATTTCTATCATTTTCCTACATAAACACAAAAACATTCCTTGGTTGGTTGAATCTCTTAGTCGTTGATTACCAATTCATGACCTATAGATACCTATAGTGTTTTTACAATTCCCCGACATTGCCTATATTTTTTTGGTGGAAAAAACATGCTTTCTTATAGATTGTATTAGATTGTCAATTTATACCTCTCTTGATGCTTCGTCACCACCCGTCACATGGGCCGATTTTAGGTGCTCCAACCGATCACTTTCATGGTGTTCAACATCTCCAAAGCTTTCCTAGGGCTCTAGCGATAGGGCCTATAGGGTGCTCAAATCTTTTCAGGGCAAAACAGTTTTCCATCAGAAACCAAGAGAATGATTTGTGCGTGCTCTCCGGCAAGCAAACGTGGATAGCTGGAAAATCAACCTATAAAAATGGTGATGTTCTATTGAAACCTCCGTGACTCCATGCGCAATGGATTTTCCAGCCACGTTTGATTACCAGAAGGTATTCTGGTAAGGGTCAAGGTTTTGTTTCGATACACCCCATCGCAATCCATCAAAACCACGGTTCCCATCTCGCAATCTTTGGTAAAACCAATTGGCTGGTCTATCTCCAATTGCTGGGCGTCATTGGAAGACGAACCAATCACGGGAATCCAGAAAAAACACACCCGAAAATGTTCAAATTCAAAGTTTGGGTGTGACACAACAAAAACTGTTACCCTCTGGCAGTTTAACAGTTTGCTATGGAGAATCGCAATTTTTTCAGAGGCAGTTATCATCATCGAACAATTTCAAATGGGCCATCCAGGGTGGGGCCCCATATTTAAGCTGGCTTCTGAGCCCAATTTCACTATGGCTTAAAGGGGAAAAACATATATACAGTATATATGATTAAATAATATAATATGTATATATATATATGTGTATAACTGCGTTTTTTAAACCAACATCGCTGTCAGAAGATTGCTCAGCAGATCTAGGTCTCTCGTCTTGGCATGAAGTGACAGGTTACAGGAAGGTTTACCAATATCGAGTTCATAATTGAAAATTAGACGGTTTGCCAATTGTAGACACTTAGAATGCAATTTTGTCTAACCATATTGGTTGCAGGAATACCATATCATTGCCAAAATTATTTTCCAGTCCAAAACATGCTGAAAAACCAAAGGATTTTCCCCCATCTACTAGGTAACATTCTAAGTGTCGATTCCAAGTGACCAAGAACGTTGGCATCCCCACCCCAAACACACCCAAACCCCGACCTACCCTGGCGTGCCGAAAGTGCTAAAATTACCAAGAACTCGGATGATAACTTGGCGTATCTTGGCGTCCCTCATTTCAAGATATTTCAAGTACCCCCATTAATTATATCCACACCTTTTCTGGTGCTCACTTTAAACCACGTATGTTTGATGATTTTATGATAATATTTATTTATCTTGAAAGATTACATCTACATTGATTTCTCTTAAATCCACATCTTTAATTTGCAACCAACTTATATCACTGGATATGTATGGCTATTATTTCACCCTATCAACTCACGTTATCTATACGTCATAAACGACTCTTTATATTGCACAATGCAAAATCCACCACTAATAGACTAATAGTTCGATTCGATATTCCCATTAAAACATATTAAAACTATATTAAAACACCATGTGCCCTGTGGTAAATTAACATAGACCCTGGCAGATACAAGGTGGTGCCCACCCCGTTGTAAGTTGGCTGATAAACAATCGTAACTATAGATGTAACTACCATAAAACCAAATTATTGAACTTAGAAACTAACTTAGCTATCATAAATCAACTATAAATCCCATTAGACCCACATTTTCCTATGGTTTCCTATGGTTGGGGCACCACCTTGTAGAACCTGGCAGAGGACGGCGTTGGAAGATTCGTTTTTCCATTCCCAGGAGCTGCCACTGGAAGCTCTGCTGGAACACATCCAGCACGGCATTGCAGTGGAGCGCATCAGCTGCAACCTCGGTTGCTGGCGCGGTTGTGGGTGGCAAAACCATTGGTTTTACGGTGAGGAAAACCATGGAAAACCAAGGAAAATTAAGGGACTTCACCAAGAAAAATAGTGATTTAGCCTACTGAAATGTATGGGGCCCTACGCTTCCATGTCCCACTATGCTATAGGAACCACAGCAGTTAGCAAAATGATGGGAACCAGAAGCGGGTTCCGGAACCAGGGCTTTGGAACTGATTACTTCCGGGCATGTAGCGAAAATGCAATCTTCAAGGAAATGTCAGCATGTTTCATTGTATGGCGTCGCCACATTCATACTCAGAATGATCATATGATCTATTGTGTCTCTGGAATATTCTATGATGCTGAAACCAAACAAAACTAGCTGAACCGCATGTTTTTGCACCATGATCCAAATATGTATGATTTGCATGCATGTTTGCTTCGGTGAGTGCGTTTTTTTGCTGGTTTGGAACATTTTGGAACGCTCCTTGCCCTGGAAGCCTTTGATCAACCCAACGAGGACCGATGTTTGGAATTGTTCTTCAGTATACTTGGAAAAAATTGTTTTGGTTTCTCGCTGCCCTTTTGATACCTATCGCCTTTGGGTTTTTGGTGCGAAAAGTGGGCCGCCTGTAACAAACAAAACATCAACTTTGCTCATCAACCCACTCGAAACCTCTTTGGACATTGGTGCCTCGACATCCAAACTAATGCTAGCTGAACGGAAATCATGGTAGGAACCCGGATGTATGCGACGCATACGGTCGAGTATGTCACATATATGTCAGTTAATCTTGGATTTTTTTGAAGCTTTCGTTCATATGTTTTTCATTTTTTCTGGTTTTCAGTTTTGACCCCAAAAACAGCAAGGAACGCAGTGCTGACTCGGCAGAGCGGCTCAATCAGGTGTTGTAGGGGAAACTTAATTAAGGGACTTAACTTGATATTGGAACTTAACTCTATATCCCAAATGCTCCACGGTGCTGGTACCTACATACCTGGTTGATTTATGGGGAAATTGTTGGTAAATATTCCAGCACCATGGCGCATATGGGTGGGAGTTCCTGAAATGGAGGTTTGCCGCAAGCATCCAATTTGGTAGGAATTTCCTTTATAGACCATCCATTTTGGAGTATCACCATTTTGGAGATCCCTTTTCTGACAAATCTTGGTGAAGATCTAATGGTTCACTAACCTGATTTCAGGGCGCTTGGGGAGAACCCCCCCAGCCCAGGGATGCGTCAAATTTCGCCAGATCAATGCCTGACCGGCCACTGCCAGGCAGCCAGGCAACCAGGCCCCGTAGCATGTATCGCAGCACCTCCTCCGCCAATTCCGCGTGGTCAGCGCCGGAGGCCGCAGATGCGGACGCGGCGTGAGCCAGGTCGCCTGGGGAACCAATTTTCGGGAGCAGTTTGGTGGGGAAAATGATGCGTGTTACAAGGGAAAACCAAGGTTACTAGGGTTTTTATTTGGAAAAACCGATTGAAAATCATTTTTTGGTTGGAGCACGAAAGGTTTCTTTATGCTCAACTACAATTTGACCGTTGACGTTTTCTGCCGATGGCGTGCATTCTGGGAAGAAGGAGATAGACTTTGGGAGGGAAGCGCAGCGCTAGTGAAACTTGGAGAGGCGGTGACAATTCTGGGACCTTTACAATAGGAACTAGGGCCTGGTTCCATTGGAACCAGGGCTCCGGCATCTGGGGGCATTTCCATGTGGTGGTCTAAAATTTGATATCAATGAAATCAACCGGATTTTTTCCCAAAGTCAATGACAACACGCTCGCACCCCCCGAATGATAGATTGGGACCAACATCCTTACCGTAGGGAATGTGGTCATTACGGAATCCCTAATACTGTATTCGAATTTAAATCAGCCGTCGAAAATATTACCAAAGTCGGTTTGGGCAAGTAGTTCCCTTTTTGTGATAAAACCCCTTTCAAGAGACAGTCAGAAAGAAAGGTTGGGATTGGAGATCAGGACTGGATGGCCTATGGATATAAACCCAGAGAAGACAGGCATATCATATCTAGGTGTCAAACCACTATGGGAATATCTGGTCCGATTCACTTTGCAATGGGGGCACACAGAAAACAAATTGGGCCACAAAGAAACCTGCATCATGAAACAACAATTAAAATTTGCTTGTTTTGGTTTTCTGCCCGTTTCAGAAAACCATTGTTGTTCTGCCCGATTTGGGCCATTTCTGCCCGATCTCAACTTTTTCTGCCCGGTCTTATTTCCACACGTAGAGTCTCTTGCCACATCGCATCAAATCACCCAACCTTCAGCAATTCCTGCCGGTAGAGGTACAAAAAAATCTGTATTGCTATATAAAGCAGGGGGTGCCATGAACGTGACAACCGTGAACATCTTCCATGTGATCTTCGTCTTGCCGACACCCCCAGCCTCAGGCACTGGGCCATGCCAGAATCATCTTAAAATACCAAATACTGAAAAGCATTTCTATACCCCCTGCTCAAACGTAGAAAAAGGCCTCAAGAAGAAGAATCTGATCCACTAAGTGTGTTGAAAAGCATCCCAAGCATTCTGCTAAATCAAAAGAATTTGCCGTTTTAACTCACGCAAAAATTCACCAAAGGGAGTGGGGAAACCTTTGTCTGCAGCAAGTCCGGGATAATATATGTACAATATAATGTTTAAGCTATACTATGATTACTACACATGTCATCAATAATATTGGACTGTCATCATTATCTTCGATCACAATGAACCATGTCCAGCTTCCCAGAACTGGCTCAAGGAAAAGACATGAAAACCCATGAAATTTCGGTGGTAGACATGTCCATCATGCTTTCCGGCATAATTGGTACGTTCGACTGTTCAACCGTTGCCACTTGTAATTTCTGAGTCAGTGTTTTCGCATCGTCCTGCTTGGAGGATCATCCCACTTAGCAAGTTATAGCAAGTTAGCAAGTCCCTTTTTCATGGGGTCATCTCATTTAAAAATGGCTATCACCATACAGTTATGGCCCAACTAACAGTTATGTTTTATGGGTTTATTTCATGATATACTTCACCTTATTTATAGGAGCTGTAACATGTTATAACATGTTATAACCTGCTATAACATGTTATAACTCCATTTATAACCGGCACTTGGGCCATAACTGTAGCTACTAATCAGTTGACCAAGTTGACCGGCCGATGACCGTGGGATGATCCGTGGCGTCAGGTGGCGTAGAAGCGTTGTTAGGATCCGCGACAACACGTCTCGGGAGGCCTGGTGAAGGAGGAAGGGCGTGGTTTCTGATAGATAGGGTACTTGAATGTGCGGGCCCCGCGAAATCGGATCTGTGGTTTTTGAATTCATATGTATATCTATCTATATATATATATGTATATATATATATATATCCATCCTGAAGTAGATAGAATCTCTGGAATTTCAAAAAAAAAACGGTCTGAAAAAAACCTATAGATAGAATCCCAAAATGGCTCAAAAATCCGGGTCGATGATTGGTAAAAAAAAAGGTCCCTCAAAAATGATCACAAAAGCGGTCATTTAGCTTGTGATTTGGTTGTTTGGGCCTTTGGAATGACCACCAAATGTTGTCATTATGCTGGTGTATTTGGTTCTGGCATGCGAATTTCAGCCCAAAATCTTCCAAAGAAATTGTCACTGTTGCTGGTGGTTCCCAGAAATATAGATCCTTTGGCAGTGGTATTCAATAGTCAAATCCAAGAAAGGAATGGGTGTGGGTCAAATTATCACACCCCAAAATTGATAGTTGATTTTTTAAGACGTGAAATTTTGAAATTGAGCTGGGGCCAAATTTGACCCGTACCCATTTAGCTACAGTGTGCTCACCGGACCTCCTGGAGATTTTGAATTTGGACATCGATCAAAACCAGCTACTTTAAAAAGTAATCTGTATAGAATTGGGTGTAATTGGGACAGAAGGTTTTGATCCATCCCCATATTCTTCTATATTCCTTCATATTCTGTCTATGGTATCAACCACTGTGCTGACCCCTCCCTACTGCATTCTGCTAACAACGGCAGGTTTCCAAAAACCATTCCATGTGTTGTAGATTCTTTGGCAATGGTATTTTTTTTGGTTCCCGGGATGCCCAAATAGTCAAACCCAATAAAGGAATGGGTGTGAGTCCAAATATCATCCCTTACAAAATTGATAGTTGATTATTTAAGATGTGCAATTTTGTAATTGAGTTGGTGTGCTCACCGGACCTCCTGGAGATTTTGAATTCGAACGTAGATATAAACTGTTGGATAGTCAAACTCTATATACATGATCATGAACCAACAGTGGTTTTGAATACAGCCCAAAAGGTATTTTCAGAATCCATAAATTATAATACCACTTTGGATAATATATTGATATAGCACATGTTGTTAAATACCACTGGGTATAATCCAATTAAGAAAATTGTCTTTGACAACATGTGATTGTTTTTCCAACCGGGACCTTTTCAGGGATATTCTAACTATAGATCTTGCCAGGGGCTGACAACTCGGCTCCCCCGTAAAGGGAGCATAGCCAAAAAACGTGACGGGATTCCAGAATCCCGTCATCACCCCCCTATGTGGGGGACGCCCCGGAAAGCGACCGAGTGTGCTACTATAGTGTGTAAGGTGCACTCTGTGTGAAATATATGCTTTGTATGTGAATGATATCAAATATGTAGATATAATATGTATGGTGTTTACTATGATTGAAACCTATGCTTTATATGTGAATGATATAAAATATGTAAATATAATATGTATGGTTGGATAGTCAAACTCTAGATCGAATATCCTCTAGATCCATGAAAAGACTGAATTTTTAAAGGATGCTTGGAATGAAGCATGTATTTGTGGTGCTCCCTGCCCCTTCCTCCACATCTACCCATCCAAAGTTCATTCTTGGAGCTGTTTGAAAGCAAGCTTTAAAAGGAAAATGGCATTAAAAAAATAGGAATCCGAGATCTCACCGTCCAAAGTTGAAATTGCAGGTTTTTGAAAAGAAACCACAAAAGGAAAATGGGATGAGAGAAGAAATTCTCCACGATCTTACCATTCAAAGTTCAATCTTGCAGGTTTTTGAAAAGAAAGCTGCGAAAGGAAAAGGAGATGAGAAAAGTATAGAAAAGTAGGAATCCAAGATCGACCATCCAAAGTTCATTTGTGCTAGTACTGTGCTAGGACAGTTGGGCAAAACTATAGATAGAATATCCTCTAGAACCATGAAAAGACTGAATTTTTAAAGGATGTTTGGGATTAAGCATGTATTTGTGGTGCTTCCTGCCCCTTCCTCCACATCTACCCATCCAAAGTTCATTCTTGGAGCTGTTTGAAAGCAAGCTTTAAAAGGAAAATGGCATTAAAAAGTAGGAATCCGAGATCTCACCATCCAAAGTTGAAATTGCAGGTTTTTGAAAAGAAACCACAAAAGGAAAATGGGATGAGAAAAGAAATAATCCACGATCTTACCATTCAAAGTTCAATCTTGCAGGTTTTTGAATAGAAAGCTGCGAAAGGAAAAGGAGATGAGAAAAGTATAGAAAAGTAGGAATCCAAGATCGACCATCCAAAGTTCATTTGTGCTAGTGCTGTGCTAGGACAGTTGGGCAAAACTATAGATAGAATATCCTCTAGACCCATGAAAAGACTGAATTTTTAAAGGATGCTTGGAGTTGAGCATGTATTTGTGGTGTTCCCTGCCCCTTCCTCCACATCTACCCATCCAAAGTTCATTCTTGGAGCTGTTTGAAAGCAAGCTTTAAAAGGAAAATGGCATTAAAAAAGTAGGAATCCAAAATCTTACCATCCAAAGTTGAAATTGCAGGTTTTTGAAAAGAAGCAACAAAAAGAAAATGGGATGAGAAAAGAAGAAATCCACGATCTTACCATTCAAAGTTCAGTCTTGCAGGTTTTTGAATAGAAAGCCGTGAAAGGAAAAGGAGATGAGAAAAGTTCAGAAAAGTAGGAATCCAAGATCGACCATCCAAAGTTCATTTGTGCTAGTACTGTGCTAGGACAGTTGGGCAAAACTATAGATAGAATATCCTCTAGAACCATGAAAAGACTGATTTTTTTAAGGATGTTTGGGATTAAGCATGTATTGTGGCGCTCCCTGCCCCTTCCTCCACATCTACCCATCCAAAGTTCATTCTTGGAGCTTTTTGAAAGCAAGCTTTAAAAGGAAAATGGCATTAAAAAAATAGGAATCCAAGATCTTACCATCCAAAGTTGAAATTGCAGGTTTTGAAAAGAAACCACAAAAGGAAAATGGGATGAGAAAAGAAGGAATCCACGATCTTACCATTTAAAGTTCAGTCTTGCAGGTTTTTGAATAGAAAGCCGTGAAAGGAAAAGGAGATGAGAAAAGTACAGAAAAGTAGGAATCCAAGATCGACCATCCAAAGTTCATTTGTGCTAGTGCTGTGCTAGGACAGTTGGGCAAAACTATAGATAGAATATCCTCTAGAACCATGAAAAGACTGAATTTTTTAAAGGATGCTTGGAGTTGAGCATGTATTTGTGGTGCTCCCTGCCCCTTCCTCCACATCTACCCATCCAAAGTTCATTCTTGGAGCTGTTTGAAAGCACACTTTAAAAGGAAAATGGCATTAAAAAAGTAGGAATCCAAGATCTTACCATCCAAAGTTGAAATTGCAGGTTTTGAAAAGAAACCACAAAAGGAAAATGGGATGAGAAAAGAAATAATCCACGATCTTACCATTCAAAGTTCAATCTTGCAGGTTTTTTAAAAGAAAGCTGCGAAAGGAAAAGGAGATGAGAAAAGTATAGAAAAGTAGGAATCCAAGATCGACCATCCAAAGTTCATTTGTGCTAGTGCTGTGCTAGGACAGTTGGGCAAAACTATAGATAGAATATCCTCCAGAACCATGAAAAGACTGAATTTTTTCAAGGATGCTTGGAGTTGAGCATGTATTTGTGGTGTTCCCTGCCCCTTCCTCCACATCTACCCATCCAAAGTTCATTCTTGGAGCTGTTTGAAAGCACACTTTAAAAGGAAAATGGCATTAAAAAAGTAGGAATCCAGGATCTTACCATCCAAAGTTGAAATTGCAGGTTTTTGAAAAGAAGCAACAAAAAGAAAATGGGATGAGAAAAGAAGGAATCCACGATCTTACCATTCAAAGTTCAGTCTTGCAGGTTTTTGAATAGAAAGCCGTGGAAGGAAAAGGAGATGAGAAAAGTATAGAAAAGTAGGAATCCAAGATCGACCATCCAAAGTTCATTTTGTGCTAGTACTGTGCTAGGACAGTTGGGAAAAACTATAGATAGAATATCCTCTAGAACCATGAAAAGACTGAATTTTTAAAGGATGTTTGGGATTAAGCATGTATTTGTGGTGCTCCCTGCCCCTTCCTCCACATCTACCCATCCAAAGTTCATTCTTGGAGCTGTTTGAAAGCAAGCTTTAAAAGGAAAATGGCATTAAAAAATAGGAATCCGAGATCTCACCATCCAAAGTTGAAATTGCAGGTTTTGAAAAGAAACCACAAAAGGAAAATGGGATGAGAAAAGAAGGAATCCACGATCTTACCATTTAAAGTTCAGTCTTGCAGGTTTTTGAATAGAAAGCCGTGAAAGGAAAAGGAGATGAGAAAAGTACAGAAAAGTAGGAATCCAAGATCGACCAGTACTGTGCTAGGACAGTTGGGCAAAACTATAGATAGAATATCCTCTAGAACCATGAAAAGACTGAATTTTTAAAGGATGTTTGGGGTTAAGCATGTATTTGTGGTGCTCCCTGCCCCTTCCTCCACATCTACCCATCCAAAGTTCATTCTTGGAGCTGTTTGAAAGCACACTTTAAAAGGAAAATGGCATTAAAAAAAAAGGAATCCAAGATCTTACCATCCAAAGTTGAAATTGCAGGTTTTTGAAAAGAAGCAACAAAAGGAAAATGGGATGAGAAAAGAAGAAATCCACGATCTTGCCATTCAAAGTTCAGTCTTGCAGGTTTTTGAATAGAAAGCCGTGAAAAGAAAAGGAGACGAGAAAAGTATAGAAAAGTAGGAATCCAAGATCGACCATCCAAAGTTCATTTGTGCTAGTACTGTGCTAGGACAGTTGGGCAAAACTATAGATAGAATATCCTCTAGAACCATGAAAAGACTGAATTTTTAAAGGATGCTTGGAGTTGAGCATGTATTTGTGGTGTTCCCTGCCCCTTCCTCCACATCTACCCATAAGCAAGCTTTAAAAGGAAAATGGCATCTAAAAAGTAGGAATCCAGGATCTTACCATCCAAAGTTGAAATTGCAGGTTTTTGAAAAGAAGCAACAAAAGGAAAATGGGATGAGAAAAGAAGAAATCCACGATCTTACCATTCAATGTTCAGTCTTGCAGGTTTTTGAATAGAAAGCCGTGAAAGGAAAAGGAGATGAAAAAAGTACAGAAAAGTAGGAATCCAAGATCGACCATCCAAAGTTCATTTGTGCTAGTACTGTGCTAGGACAGTTGGGCAAAACTATAGATAGAATATCCTCTAGAACCATGAAAAGACTGAATTTTTAAAGGATGTTTGGGATTAAGCATGTATTTGTGGTGCTCCCTACCCCTTCCTCCACATCTACCCATCCAAAGTTCATTCTTGGAGCTGTTTGAAAGCAAGCTTTAAAAGGAAAATGGCATTAAAAAAATAGGAATCCAAGATCTTACCATCCAAAGTTGAAATTGCAGGTTTTGAAACGAAACCACAAAAGGAAAATGGGATGAGAAAAGAAGGAATCCACGATCTTACCATTTAAAGTTCAGTCTTGCAGGTTTTTGAATAGAAAGCTGTGAAAGGAAAAGGAGATGAGAAAAGTATAGAAAGTAGGAATCCAAGATCGACCATCCAAAGTTCATTCTTGGAGCTGTTTGAAAGCACACTTTAAAAGGAAAATGGCATTAAAAAAATAGGAATCCAAGATCTTACCATCCAAAGTTGAAATTGCAGGTTTTGAAAAGAAACCACAAAAGGAAAATGGGATGAGAAAAGAAGGAATCCACGATCTTACCATTCAAAGTTCAGTCTTGCAGGTTTTTGAAAAGAAAGCTGCGAAAGAAAAAGGAGATGAGAAAAGTATAGAAAAGTAGGAATCCAAGATCGACCATCCAAAGTTCATTTTTGCTAGTGCTGTGCTAGGACAGTTGGGCAAAACTATAGATAGAATATCCTCTAGAACCATGAAAAGACTGAATTTTTAAAGGATGCTTGGAGTTGAGCATGTATTTGTGGTGTTCCCTGCCGCTTCCTCCACATCTACCCATCCAAAGTTCATTCTTGGAGCTGTTTGAAAGCAAGCTTTAAAAGGAAAATGGCATTAAAAAAGTAGGAATCCAAGATCTTACCATCCAAAGTTGAAATTGCAGGTTTTTGAAAAGAAACCACAAAAGGAAAATGGGATGAGAAAAGAAATAATCAACGATCTTACCATTCAAAGTTCAGTCTTGCAGGTTTTTGAAAAGAAAGCTGTGAAAAGAAAAGGAGACGAGAAAAGTATAGAAAAGTAGGAATCCAAGATCGACCATCCAAAGTTCATTTTTGCTAGTGCTGTGCTAGGACAGTTGGGCAAAACTATAGATAGAATATCCTCTAGAATCATGAAAAGACTGAATTTTTAAAGGATGCTTGGAGTTGAGCATGTATTTGTGGTGTTCCCTGCCCCTTCCTCCACATCTACCCATCCAAAGTTCATTCTTGGAGCTGTTTGAAAGCAAGCTTTAAAAGGAAAATGGCATCTAAAAAGTAGGAATCCAGGATCTTATCATCCAAAGTTGAAATTGCAGGTGTTTGAAAAGAAGCAACAAAAGGAAAATGGGATGAGAAAAGAAGAAATCCACGATCTTACCATTAAAAGTTCAGTCTTGCAGGTTCTTGAATAGAAAGCTGTGAAAAGAAAAGGAGATGAGAAAAGTATAGAAAAGTAGGAACCCAAGATCGACCATCCAAAGTTCATTTTTGCTAGTGCTGTGCTAGGACAGTTGTGCAAAACTATAGATAGAATATCCTCTAGAACCATGAAAAGACTGAATTGTTTAAGGATGTTTGGGATTAAGATTAAGCATGTATTTGTGGTGCTCCCTGCCCCTTCCTCCACATCTACCCATCGAAAGTTCATTCTTGGAGCTGTTTGAAAGCAAACTTTCAAAGGAAAATGGCATCTAAAAAGTAGGAATCCAAGATCTTACCATCCAAAGTTGAAATTGCAGGTTTTTGAAAAGAAGCAACAAAAAGAAAATGGGATGAGAAAAGAAATAATCCACGATCTTACCATTCAAAGTTCAGTCTTGCAGGTTTTTGAATAGAAAGCCGTGAAAGGAAAAGGAGATGAGAAAAGTACAGAAAAGGAATCCAAGATCGACCATCCAAAGTTCATTTTTGCTAGTGCTGTGCTAGGACAGTTGGGCAAAACTATAGATAGAATATCCTCTAGAACCATGAAAAGACTGAATTTTTAAAGGATGTTTGGGATTAAGCATGTATTTGTGGTGCTCCCTGCCCCTTCCTCCACATCTACCCATCCAAACTTCATTCTTGGAGCTGTTTGAAAGCAAGCTTTAAAAGGAAAATGGCATCTAAAAAGTAGGAATCCAAGATCTTACCATCCAAAGTTGAAATTGCAGGTTTTTGAAAAGAAGCAACAAAAAGAAAATGGGATGAGAAAAGAAATAATCCACGATCTTACCATTCAAAGTTCAGTCTTGCAGGTTTTTGAATAGAAAGCCGTGAAAGGAAAAGGAGATGAGAAAAGTATAGAAAAGTAGGAATCCAAGATCGACCATCCAAAGTTCATTTGTGCTAGTACTGTGCTAGGACAGTTGGGCAAAACTATAGATAGAATATCCTCTAGAACCATGAAAAGACTGAATTGTTTAAGGATGTTTGGGATTAAGATTAAGCATGTATTTGTGGTGCTCCCTGCCCCTTCCTCCACATCTACCCATCCAAAGTTCATTCTTGGAGCTGTTTGAAAGCAAACTTTAAAAGGAAAATGACATCTAAAAAGTAGGAATCCAAGATCTTACCATCCAAAGTTGAAATTGCAGGTTTTTGAAAAGAAGCAACGAAAGGAAAATGGGATGAGAAAAGAAGGAATCCACGATCTTACCATTCAAAGTTCAGTCTTGCATGTTTTTGAAAAGAAAGCCGTGAAAGGAAAAGGAGATGAGAAAAGTATAGAAAAGTAGGAATCCAAGATCGAGCATCCAAAGTTCATAATTGAAGGTTTTTGAATGGAAAACTGTGTTTGAAAGGAAGAGTGCATGAGAAAAGTAGGAATAACTGATCTTACCATCCAAAGTTCATTCTCGCAGCTGTTTGAAAAGGAAACTTGGAAGGAAAATGGAAGGAAACAAATTGGAATGCACGATCTTACCATCCAAAGTTCATAATTGAAGGTTTTTGAATGGAAAACTGTGACAGGAAAAGGACATGAGAAAAGCAGGAATCAAACTTTGAAAGGAACATGGCATGAGAAAAGCTGGAATCCACGATCTTACCGTCCAAAGTTCACAATTACAGATTTTTGAAGGGAAAAGTGTGAAAGGAAAAGGAAATGAAAAAAGTAGGAATCTACGTCTACGATCTTACCATCCAAAGTTCATTTTTTGCAGCTGTTTGAAAAGGAAAATTTGAAAGAAAAAAATAAATTGGAAGGTTTTGAAAAGGAAAGGAAAAAAAAACACATTTTGAGCATCCTGGAGTAGATTCTGGAATATTCTATCTAGGGGGTCCGAATATATAGTTTAGTATTGGGTCAAAAAACCCTGGGTTTTTTCAAAAAAAAAACGCCCCCTACGAAACTGGATTCTATCTACTCCAGGATTATTATATATATATAATCATTTGCACCGCACGTTTTTTTCCGCATTGAAACTTGATGAAACTTGAAATATCTTGAAAAATTGCGCATTTTTGATAATCATTGGGTAAGATAAACTTCTAATACTGGTTTCCATGGTGTTCTGAAGTGATCCTTTTACTTTATTGATCTATTTTCCATTATTTTCCCTGCAGGCAATGGCCCAAATTGCCCAGGCACGGCCAGCCGCATCGGCTGCATCCAGCCAGCGGCCCGCGCAGCCTGCGCAACCTGCATCTGGGCAAAAGGCAGCTGAGGCGCGGATGGGATGGGACGGATGGGATGGGACCCGGCTGAAATGGCTTAAGTTCACTGAGAAAATGTGATTTGATCAGGTTTTTTCATGGTTTACCTATAGTTTTGTCCTTTGCATGGTAACCAACATGGCTATGGAAAATGGACGGTTTGGATACAAACTTTGAAGATGGCTGAGGTGTTCTATAGCGATGTTTGATTACCAGAGCGTACTATACGGATTTGAATAAGCCAAAATATCAAAACAACCAGTATTGTGATTGAACCATTTCAGATCTAAAATTAACATGTGTGTGTGTGCGTGTTCAATCAAGAGGGAGTTTGGGATAGTTTAACATGATTGAGCAAGATTGAAGATGGCTGAAGCAACCGCTATCCTAAACAAAAGTTGCATAGTTTAAGCCACCAAACATGCCGATTTCACCATGTTCACCAAAGGTGGGGGTTGACCAAGAAAAAACCGGAGTCTTTGACTTGCCACTTGCCTAACTGTCCACTTTCCACTTTTTCTAAACTTTCCACTTATCTCGCCTTGCGAGAAGAAGTTGCTGCAAGGCTCGTTTGGCGAATCTCCATGAAGAACGAAAGCGGAAGAAATTTTGGGACGACTTCCGGTGCTTCACCTCAGCTGGCCAAACTGTTTTTCACCGAGGAACTCGCCGTTTCTAAAATCGATTTTTCTTCGATGCATGTTGGGGGGCATAGAATACCCAGAACAAGTCGAATATGTTTTATTAATGTTGGATGTTGGGGTTCGGAAGAGATCTTTGTTCCCGATTGGATGCTAGAGAGTATCTAGGATTGGTGAATAACCTCACTGAAAAGTGGAGAGAGAGAGAGAGAGGCGCCAGTGTCAAAACACCTGAAGCAGCTTCGCGAGCTCTGACCAAAGGGGTGGATGTTCTACCTTCGCAAAGTCCTTCAGTTGTGTTATTTTTTTGTGGTATTCATAAGATAACCACAGATAACCCTAAAACCTCAATAAATATACTGTATGTAGAACATGTATATTCACATGTAAGATGTGCATATAGAATTGCATAAAAATAAGTCTGTATCAATATCTCTCTCTCTCTCTATATATATATGTGTGTTATTTTGGCTTGGGGTCAAATGAGTTAGGTGGGTGACTTGATGTTGGCAAGATAAACCATGATAAGCCGTCGCGCTCAGTGATCACCCAGCAATCTTGATGTCGGACATCTCCGAGGCGCCGGGAGGAGAGGTTTCAAAGATGTCAGAGTTCTGGAAAGGACTACAAGGCACGTTGCTGCAAAAGGGATGCTGTGGCCTTGGTGCGGTCTAGCCGCCTAGCCCACCTGTAAGTTACGCGATGTTCTATCTGTGATGTATTTGCTGATGTATCTTCAGCATTCAAAGTCGCTTCAGGAGCATCAACAACCTGCGTCGGCAAATTTAGTCCCTGCAATCCAAACAGAAATTCAAGAAACGAGATTGGGGATGGATTTAGAAGATGATTTGGTTGCTGGATGTAGCAAGGTTTGTGGTTTCTATCTTAGGTTTGTGGTGAGTGTATCCCACATTGGTGGCTTCAAACTCCACGTGTCACGTGACTGCCCAAGATGCTGATTGTTGTTGTTGTTGTTGTTGCTCAAAAATTCCGATTGTGTGGCCAACCCGCCTATTTACTTGCTTAAAAATCAAATTTCGGTGGCTACTGACAATTCTGGTAGGCACAAATTTGCTATACACATCTAAGAACGCAATTTTACCCTCTGGTAATCAAGCAGGACTTGCTGGAAAATCTCCCAGTTTCTTCGATGATTTTCCCACAATATAGATGCCCATGTTTGATGGGAATTTCTCAGCCAGTGGTTAGTAATATTCCAGCAAAATATCCCACGAATATATATATATTCCCGGCGATATCGCCATTATTCTGGAGTAGGATTGTAATTGTACTTTTTCCCATCTTAGTTTGTAATAAAAAAGTGTCTCATGCCGGGGAATACAATGCAAATTTCATAAATTTCATAATATCAATGATAAGGTTAAATTTAAAGTTTCTCATGATATCAGAAAGCAGAAGCTTATGGCCCAACTAACAGTTATTACCATGGGCTTATTTCATGCTATATTTCTGTGCCAAATCATGAAAAACCATGATATAGTTCTGATATTTTTGCCATGGTAAGGGGATTTTCTATGATATGTCAGAAAATGTCAGAAATACATCATATATACTAGAACTTATAAGGCTATTAAGGGATTTCCGATATATATACTTAACAGCTTATTTTTCATCATAGTTTCTTTTTCGGAAGCCATGGGCTTTCCAGGCAACGGCCCGCGACTTCTTCACCAGATCCTTCAGCAAGGCGAAACTTTCGGGCAATTTCACCGGGGATTTCATGAGATTAATAGGATTTTATGTGATTTTTATGCCTCTGGAATTTTTGAGGTAAGAAAATCATTGATTTTTAAGAGGTTCATTTTATTTATATAATCCTATTTGTCACTATGATTGGGCCATTTTCCATAGCTATGTTCAATATCCAGAGGGTCAGGAGCCAATGAAGCCTTAAGCTCTCCTCCATATCAGGGACAACTTTTCTGAGTCGATTTCGTGGATATGGATTGGCGATTTTCCCCTTCCAATTCACACGCATCTGCAGATGATTATTGATCGAGATAAGGAGCCTCTCGTGTTTCGATGACCACTTTTTGGGGGGGGCAGACTGTGTATATCAAAAGAAGGCGATGGTTAATTAAGAACACGGCATAGCTTCCCCATGACCCAGAAGTCAGCACCAAGGAGTTCAGACACTGCCCAGTGAATTTCCCCGACATAGCGAAGAGGGATGAAGAGGGATGCATAAAGAATCATACAAAGATAAATCATGATAAATCGAAGTGTACCAAACATGATTTACAAGTGCAAACATGATAAATCATTTATAAACATGTAAATTGCTTTACTTCGTCTGATCCCCACCATGACATTTATACATTTTGTTACTGGCAAATCTTCTGGCATTCAATCTGACATATCTTCTGGCATTCTATCTGGCATATCTTCGGGCATATTATCTACTCAAATCTTCTGGCATTCTATCTGGCAAACATTCTGGCACTTTATCTGGCATATCTTCTGGCATTCTATCTGACATTTTATCTGGCATTCTATCTGGCATACCTTCTGGCATTCTATCTGGCATATCTTCTAACATTCTATCTGGCATATCTCCCGGCACTCTATCTGGCATATCTTATGGCATTTTATCTGGCACATCTTCTCGCGTTCTATCTGACATTCTATCTGGCATATCTTCTGGCATTCTATCAGGCTTTTGAGGTCCAGCGGTGCGCACTGAGCTCGGAAGGCCCCAGGTTGAGGTCCAGCGGTGCGCACTGAGCTCGGAAGGCCCCAGGTTGAGGTTCAGCGGTGCGCACTGAGCTCGGCAGGTCCCAGGTTGAGGTCCACCGGTGCGCGCTGAGCTAGGAAGGTCCCAGGTTGAGGTCCAGCGGTGCGCACTGAGCTGGGAAGGTCCCAGGTTGAGGTCCAGCAGTGCGCACTGAGCTCCGAAGTTGGCGAAGAGCTTGGCCAAGAGTTGGCAAGGCAACAGTGGACGTGGAAGTGGAGGCAGAGGTGGTAGAAGAGGAGGAGGACGCGGAGGAGGAGAAGGAGGAGGAGGAGGAAGGAGGAGGAGGAGGAGGAGAAGAACAAACTCTGATAAAATCTAACAACCCTCACCTGGCAGGTGGGGAAAAATGCACAATCATTTAAGAATCATGATAAATCCAAGTGTACAAACATTTTTTGGCAGCGGGCACTGCCACATTCTACCAGGGCTTCAGACGCTCGAACTACGACACGTCTAGTGTCCGCCGGCGCAGATGGCTGGGAATGGCGACTGGAGGTAAAGTGATTTTGTGGGATTTATATGGGGTTTATATGGGATTTAACGGGATTTAATGAGATCTAATTGGATTTTATGTTTATGGGATTTAATGAGATTTCATGGGGGCTGGTCGGATTTTTGATGATGACCTTGCGGTAAACTAACATAGCGAACTGGAACATCACCATGTGTAATAGGTAAATCATCATAAATCATCTATATAAATATATAAATGGCCCATGCTCCATAGCTATGTTGAATCAACAGAGGGTATTCCCTCCATGTTGCTGAAATGTTGTTGACAGGCTGGCCCATCCTACTTTACGGAAAAACATTTTTTTTTGGTTCCTTTATATAAATGCGGTTGCAGACACCATGTTGCTTTGAAACATGTACCCGCTCAGCTAGACACAAATCGCAATTTCTCAATTGCGAACGGGTAAATTCACCACCCTAGGCTGTGAAAGGACCTTGCCGCTGCTTATGAATAGGTTTGGTCCATCCTTGTTTGCAAGATGAGCCGCAGGTGTCTTTGCATCTCACCCCACATCAATAAACCATTGGGCTGTCTACTTATATAGGCGGTACCAATGTCTTAAATCATCACTATTTTTGGGTCGGAGTTGACATTAATCATTACGCAGATGAGTCGATTTGAACCACTGAATAAGACGTGCCATGACGTGCCCATGCAACCCTTTGATGTCAACATTTCCGCGGATTGCGGATGTTACCGCAGCTTTTGCTCGAAACATTCCTCATGCAGATGCCAAACGTCCCGCGACGAACGCATGGATTTTAAGGAGCGGGGCGCGAAATAACGCAGCGACGCTAGAGTTGTGCCAAGGAATGGGTGACAACATGTGTCAACATACAAATCCCATCACCCCAATATTAAACACCCGCCAGAAACCATGGTTAGTAGGGAGGTTCCACATGACATATTTGATGCTGTGTTTAGTATTAGGGGGATGGGATTATGGAACATGTATGCACATTATGATGTCCCACAACTATGCCAAATGTACATAAATTTACCGGGGGTAGACTTGAGAGTGACAGTGCTTTTTGTGGTATGAAAGAGCACTCGTGTGGCAAGCTATGGCAAACTGGCGCAATCATCAACCTCCAGTCGGGGATCAGTGATCATTGTTATCCATGTCTGAAAATCATTGAACATCAGTTTCTTGGGTTTGCAATGCTGATTTATTGTTCTTCCCCTCTGCAGGAGTTTCTCAAGCAATACAAGGTGCGGAACGTTGAGGGGTCAGCCGGTCAGCCTTTTCAATGTTCAATTTTGGTATATGCTAGACCCTGAAAGTCAAATGACTCATTCTCACCACCATAGTACTGATAATCAATCCACAGTTAGCATTCATATTAATTAAGCCGGGGGTCAAATGAGTCATTTGGATCTTCTGGGAGCAAGATACCTCTCTAATATTTCAGCAGGATGACATTGTCCAGGTCCGAGACGGTAAGTTCTTGAAAAGACTGGTGCTTGTCAGTGGTCCAACTCCTTTTCGTGTTATCAGAGCCACATCTGAACATGTTCAACATGTTATAATATGTTATAGTAATACTCATTCATAGCATTCTGGCTAATATTCTGGTATTTTTCGACGTCTTTGCATTTGATTCCGGGCACATTCACCAGCTTCAGTTCATGGGAATGTGGGTTGATCAAGCCTCCAGGACTGGGCGGCACCATAACCATACCAGCATATTCAACCGTTGGTTCGAGAAGCCCGCTTCTCCCACAAAAAAATACCATTGCTACGAAATGTCCACAGGATAACCCATCCACTTTCCCATTCTTTCTTGTTATGATTTTATAATATGTTTATATTTCCTCTATATATCCCCAGAGTCATCCATTAGGTATCCATGAAAATTCACATGCCCATCAAATCCCCACTACATCACTGCTTTCTGTCGGTTTCCTCGTGGCAAAGGTCAAGGATTTGCCTTTGCCAAAGGCACTGGTGACTCTGCCCTCGAAGAAGGGCCTCTTCCACGTGCCTGAACTGCGGGAGGGCGGGGACGGAGGTGTTGCGTCTTTGATGTTCCCCATCTTATCTTAGATCCAAGTCTGGATAAAACGCGGATCAATGTGGTATACGTATTTTGGTGTGTAAAGTATAAACTATCTATAAATCCGTTTGGGGATTGTTTATGTCCATATCTAGGTAAACTTAGGATGATCTATCTATGGATTCGCCACCAAATTGCTAGCCCATAGAACTTGGCACGACTTGGGTGGCCTTTCTTGGATGACATGTCATCCGCGAAGCGTTGATGCAGAATATTTGGGCTATTCATTAGCCATTAAGGCAACGAACCTTGAATCTTGAGTATGTAGAATGTATCTACATACATATTTATATAAGACGCATATAAACACAATATGATGATATGATGTTTGCCTTAAATGCTTCGCAAAGCTTTAGTGTCGCAACTTAGCCAACACCGATCGCCCGTTGCTTGATGTGGCTAGCCGCGTTTTGGCACAGGCGATCCAAGTGCTAACCGATCAGCACTTGTTGTCAGCGCTCGTGGTGGATGATGACGGACAGTCTGGGGGGTCACCGAGTCACGGGGGGTCGGTTAAATCCTCATGAAACAGGGGAAGTGAGCCGCTGATTTCATGGGAGGGGTGGTTAATGATCCGGGAAGATGATGATGATGATGCTGTAGATGACGTTTGCAACAACAATTGTCAAAAATTGTCCGGACGAGACATGATGACTCCATCAATTTTCACTTGTTGTACGTTCAACAATGGCGAGTTCAACACCATTTGCATCCATTTGGATCCTGCCAAGTTCACGCTTAGGTAACTCAACACGGCCGTGGAGCATGACCCATTTGGAGACAAATTTTGCCAGTTGAGCAAAGTAATGCATTTTATGCCATCTTAAGATATGTTAAGATTTTATGGTTATGTTGAATTACCAGAGGGCGAAATCATTTAACATTGGATAAACATCACATGTGACAAAGGACCCCATCCAGATCCGAAGGAAAACTCCTGGGTATTTTAGATACCTTGGACGTTGCGTCTCTTGTAGTCGACATGGAGGCTGCAGGCAAGAAATCGCTGCTTGGTCGAAACCATTTTTTGGAGTATATATATATTTCTCTGTAATCTATCGTGTTTTTTTGGGGCATAAAAGGACTCGCCACTCCTCACACGGCAGTCTTGACAGATGGCGATACGGGGAGTGAGTGAGAGAGAGAGAGAGAGAGAGAGAGAAAGAGAGAAAAAAAGAGTTGCGCTGTTGAACTGTATTAATGTCAATATATTTATATAATCGCTGCATGAGTAGAAAAGGGAAACCAAGAATCGGGGTAATTTCAGCGACCTCACAATTAAATGACGATTAGCCAGTGAAAACATACAAACATGATCAAACATAGATTTATGTGGGATTTGCATGGCCGTTACCATAAATTGGGCCGGATTGATGAGGTCAGAACTTCTATTTGTTCATTGTCACTACAGTAAAATGTTTGGCTATTCACATGAGAGTGCTACAGCCATTAATTACACGTGTTTAGCACGTTTGATTTGTTTGGCTGCAAAACCGAGCTTTCATGTGGCAATGTTTAGTAGACATTTATGTCATTGTCCATGTATTTCTATAAGCGAACTAGCAATAAACAATCCGCAGTAAAACCCAGCAATACACCATCCGCAATTGGAGTTGTTTGTTGGATATACCCATATTTTGGATGATGCGAAATGATGACCACATGCTTGGTTATTGCCGATCGGTTTTTTATGAAATTACATGGAACATTAACCCATTGTGTGGAAGCATTGTCCGTATAATCGATGGCTTTTTCATTTTACTTTCTAATGTCATTACTACATGGGTTTTTTAATCCATCGAATAACACAATCAACATCAGATTCCCATTATATAGTAATTTAGTTAATGGTTTTTAGTAGCAAATATAGAGAATATCATTTAATCATTATGATTCTGATCATGAATCCATCCATTCTTCCCTGACAACGTCGTTAAACCACGGTCTTCCCCCCAGCCGCTCAGCCGCTATCAGCCGCTTACATTCTACGGGATCCTTAGGTTGACCGATGAGCGCTTGGACAAGCTCATGGGCTCCTTGGAGCAATGTAGAAGCGTCGAAGTTTGATTATATACCATTTATGGGATGGAAATACCAGCATTACCAGGGACTTGTATCAGGAATTCCTATTGATGCTGGAAAATCACCACGATGACCGCAACTAAACAAGGAATCCCTAACAAATAGTTGGCCATATTTCTTGTTGGCCTGATGTTCCAGGAAGGACATATGCATGTGCAGATGAGCCTCATGATTTCTCTGTCATTCCTGACTGTGTTCCATTGACTTTGAAAAAGCGGAATCCTAACTGGCCATGACACATGATGGCTGCAGATATGATAATTCAGGTTGGTTGAGTTGGTGATTCTGAATCTGCTGTTCTCCACAATTTCTTCCCTTTTTCCTGCAAGAAAGACAGAGCTTGCATTCCATGCTGCATGCGGCAGGCCATTTCCCATTCCGCAAGGACATCAGGTACATAGAACATTTGCTTCTGGAAAAACAAGAGTGATTGATATGATTTGATTTACATTTTACACCAGAAATTGAATTGGAATGCAAACATGGTCATTTCAAAGGAATTTCTTGGAGCCCTTGCGAAGCCTCTATGTGTAGTGTATCATGCAACCCCGCCCCCCCCAAAACAACAAAAAAACACAGTCCGCTTTATGTGTTCAAAGCCATGTATTGATGCTGAAAAGTTTTATAAATTCCTAACCTTCTTCTGTTTTCATTTCAGATTCCACATGATTCATCACGATTCATCAAGATTCCAATTTTTCAAGACTTGCATTTCCTCCCATCTCCAATAACCCCTGGTAAACTATCTAACAGTTTGCGAACTGAAAAATCACCATCTTAAGTTTAATAGGTAAATCAACTACTGGTTGGTGGTTTGGAACATTTTCTATTGTTCCATATATTGGGAATTTCATCATCCCAACTGACTTTCATATTTTTCAGAGGGGTAGGTATACCACCAATCAGACTATAAATGGTCGATTTTCAATAGCTATGGAACAAATTACCAGAGGGTATCCCCATTATTCCCATGATTTTCCAATAAAACCATATAAAACCTCCATTTCTAGTGGATATGTCCTTAAATTACCAGAGGCTAATTTCATTTCCTCGATCACCCCGTTGCACTTTCCTCACGTCGAGGTCGCAGCACTCGAGCAAAGGTTGCCAGCTGTAGCGAGGAGGATTCTCTGGATCAGGTGCGGTGTCTTGGGATGGCCCTCTCAGTTAGATCTGTAGGGATTGAATGGTCATATGGGTCATATTACATGATAGATATAATCCCTACAGACATGGTTATATGATATTAATGTAACTATATATATGATATTATATACATGATAAATGTTACTATAGTAATGTTATATACATGATTGAATGGTTCTATGATAGATATTATATAATATAACTATAAATATATATAATACATGGTTATAACTTACAGAGCCAACAATTACTATATGATACTATATGACTTACTGCTATGACATCCTATATTTATCCATGTTATACCTTACACCTATATATTCACTATATCATATAATATCTTTATATCTACATGTATATATATATATACTGGTTGGTGGTTTGTAACATGTTTTATTTTCCCATATATTGGGAATAATCATCCCAACTGACTAATATTTTTCAGAGGGGTAGGTTTACCACCAACCAGTATATATATATTATATATATAGAGATTTATATCAACCCATGTGGTATATATATATATCATACCCGAGAGAAAAACGTTGATCAGCCAATGCAGCGTTTTTTCAATGCCATAAAGTGATGGAAAAAATGAGTAGAACCACTGTCCAACATTTTTCGGAATTTTCCCACTTTTCCAGTGTATGAAATATCAATGATCTATGATATCATGTTTGTTTTTCCAATTTATGACTATTCATCAGGTGATATGATTTGTTTCTTTCCTGGTGTGTCTCTTCAAAGCGAAAGACTTTGACATTCATGGCTAGTTGTTGCTAGTTATGACTATGATGTTTTTCATGTTCTTTCCATCCCTACATACATAGTCAATACATAGTAAATTCGTGTAGAGTATATGGGAGATGAAGCAGACTCACTAATATTCGGAAGATGACCTGAAGCAAACAGCCACTTCCAAGGTGGTGGAGTCCTTAATTGGCCCTGGACGACGGGCCGTCGTGCTAAAGGATGGAAACTTGGCACGGCAGGATTCAGCAAGTTGACTGGTTGCTGTCGTATCAAGCAAGTTTTGGATAAATAAGACATCAAGCTCCAGATGTTTGAAAACAAGTTTTCATATGTGTTTTTGTTTAACGCTTGTTTGGAGTTTCTTACATATATATATATGGATTGATGGCATCGAAACGTTCCTTCAATAGTTCTGAACCTGTGAAGGGAACATCTTCGCGGAACAGCCATTCACAGGTAATTCTGGCAAAGGATGTTCTCAAGGAAACTCTGTGCAAGCCCGCTGCCTGAGGAAAGCCACTGAGTATCATTACCCAATCCACTGCGCCTCAGCCTGTTTAGCGCGACGATGCAAAGCCCTTTTTTCCCAGCTCAATGGATGGGTTGGCCATTGGTTTTTGTTGTACTTAAATATGACGACGATGATGATTAATATGACGACGATGATGATGATGACGATGATGCTGATGCCGACAATGATTATATAATGATATAATATATGTGATATATACTGATTTACTGTTTACTGATTTACTGACATACTGATATGCTGATGTACTTGATGTACTGATAGACTGATACGCAGATACACAGATATACATGTTTGTTTTCTTTTTCGTGCCAAAAATTGGATCTCTGTTTTCATAGCTTCAGTTTTTCATGAGCTGCCCTAGTGATTTGGCACCACTCCACGGGGTCGAGGCCATCATGTTCCTCCACAGCAAAGCCAAAGAGTTTGAGGCGATCGCCATGGCCTGTTGGATTCCTTCAGAGACCTGTTGGATGTATAAAACCATCAATGTATTGGTGGAAGGGAACAAAAATGACCGGAGACCCATGGGTTTTGAGCATCAAACAGCAGATTTTCCTTTAAAACCAGTCCACAAAGAGTGCTTGGCAAAGATGGAAGCCCCGTGACGGCAAGTCCTGAGACAGGCTTTGATGTCTTCGTATATGGCCAAGGATCCGGGGACAGCGGAGTGAGTTATTAATTTCATGTTGGTACAAACAGAGGAAAACCATGCAAGATCAGACCCCTTCTTTCGCATAGGTTTTTTCTGACTTCAAGGTGACGAACCTCTTGATACAGACGTACAACTATGTGAAGAAATACATATACATATATTTATATATATAGATATATGTGTGTGTGTGCGTGTGTGAATATATATAAACACACACACACACATATATATATATATATCATAATATATAATACATATATATATATATATCTAATATTTTTATATAATATTTGTATATACTTGACATATATGTATAGTATATATACATCATATCATGTGTCAATATATGGGTAATTTCACCTTTCGGTGCGAGGACGTGTGTACAGATGGGGTGATCACCATAGACGACCAGGCCACAGTGCCTTGGCGCCGTACCGGTCCCGATCGGTCCCGTGGTCCTTGGGCTGGGTCGAAAGGGAACATCTGGATGTGGGTAAAAGAATATACCCTCTGGTAAACTGTCCCATAACTATGGAAAGATCCACCATTTTCAATGGGTAAATCCACCATCTCTATGTCCATTTTCAATAGCGAACTGTTAAATTACCAGAGGGTATAACCATAGAAATAGTTGATTTCCCTATGAAAAATTGTGATTCTCCATAGTAAACTATAGTTTACCAGAGGGTTTTTATTACCATTGTTTAATGTGGGTAAAACAATGCCATAAACCATCCCCCAAATCACCATAAATAGGTTGTATAAAGCGTTCCCAAATGGGTGATTTCTTATTGTTTTACCCACATTAATGGAAATATTCATGGACATACATGGAAATAAGATGGACCCAATAATAGAAATATATTAGACATAGAAACGATAAGTAAAAAACACAAAAAGAAGAAAAGGATCCTATCATAGGGTTTTCCTCGGAGGTTTACGGAATTGTTTTAGCAGCAAACCATGTTTTTTTTCTTCCAAATATAATATGGAGTCTACTATGATTTTGCCCAGTTTACAATTCTGGACATTCTGGGACTCAGATTCTTCAGAGAAGGTAGATCCAGCAGGGGTTGATGCTTGGTGGATAATTATACGCTTGAGAATCTGACATGAGAATCACACAACTAAAGACCATTTACATCAGAAAACATCTGATTAAAATAAAAAACAAAATCTAGGATACAACTATGTTAACCGTCTCAAAACATCTCAAAACTGCAATTTCCCACAGAAAACCCCGTTTTTGTTCCATTCAAAGAACTCATGAGTTCTTGCTGGGTTTCACGGAGCCGAGGCCCTCACGGCCTTTCAAACCTTGGTGGCTCAAGGCGTTACTCATGGCCTGGTATTTATAGAGATTTAATGGTATTTCTATGTTTTTCATTGTTTTCTGTCAGTGAAACCCATCACAGTCATATATCAATAGATATAGATTTAACATGATTGTATTTATATCAATTTATGTCATTCAAACATGATTGATTTATACACAGAAGTTGACACCAGACACTTTGAACATATTCTTGACGTATTCGCAGGAAACCTCGAACAAATGCATGGTGAAATTCCATGGTTTCCTGCAGGTTTTCTGGTTTTCAACCAATGCATTGAGATAGACACGCCGTTGAGATGTTGCTCCTGAGCCAGGCGTGTCAAGCCTGACCATCACCGATGAAAGTGGCAATGCCATCACAGTGGTGTCAGCCACTGATCTGGTGGTGGCTCTAGGCGAATATGTGGGTGGCTGATGCATTTACCCCGTCAGTTCTCAGAGGATGTGGGACGATAATCTTAGATGTCATTATAGGATGGTCATTAATTATTATTATATATATTTTTGTGAACTTGGAAATATTCGCATAGGAATGCATAGGATATTATTATTATCATCATGATTTATCTCAAACATCAAAAACCCAACTGTTCCCACACAGGATGATTGATGCCAATCGCCCGCGGCAGGGCACGAGCAAGACAAGTCTGCAATTCTTTCAGCGTCTCGGTGGGAGCAAGACTCGGTTTGGAGTGATGTTTATAACTGCATGTTTATAGAGGGACGTCATGGGACACACCTTGTGAGAATTAGGGGGGAATATCGGAATATCATGAATTGCATAACATCGATTTGCCATTCTTACATGGGCGCTTATGGAAGGCTCCTTATGGAAGGCTCATGCGGTGGCACTTAAGGAACTTCGGGATCGCAACGTGGTTTTCTTTGCTCCTTGGCTGAATTTCTTTGAAAAATCATGGGAAACATGTATGGGAAATCTCAATAATTGCATATAATTGCCACTAATGTGGAGAAAAATATCGGTAACCATATGCCATATGTCAATATGGTTTCCTGTAGGTATTCAACCATCCTCTGGACCTCCTACTTATTGTTTGGGGTAAACCACTAGTTGTTATCCTGCAAGATGCTTCAAAGTGAGGTGATGGTGATAGGAAAGGGTCTCAGACGGTCTCAGACTTGTTTTATGTTCCGTCTCTGGGGGAGATGATGCGGCTGCAAACATACCCATGCGCGTCAAGAAACATACATGTACCATCATGTACCGATGCAAGCACATGCAGACACAATAACACGTTTTTAGATGGTTCATAGTCAATTATGCGGCGTGCATACCTCTATAAATATCTAGGTATTCAGATCTAGAATAATTAGCATATACAAAATACATGTATCAATACACATATATAGACATGTATTCATGTATTTCATATTCAAAATCATATTATGTGTGCATATTTGTATGCAAAAAATTGAAATATAATGGTGTTTTTCTTCTGGCATGTGTGGGTAGGTTCCCAAACATCTCAAACAACTAAAGTTACTAAAGTGAAATCTCGTGAAATCTTACTATCCCGGCTGTTGTAATGGAATTGGAAAAGGGAATGGTACCACCCTAATTGGAAGGATGGTTACTATCCATGTAATCCATGTACGATCCAGTAATCCTAGAAATACCGTCCATGTAATCCATCCGTTTCGCTAATGTCAACCCGGATTTTTCCGAAACCTTCACAGTGGAATTATGATATTGGAATTGATATATATATATATAGTTTTAAATAAATATATATATATATATGATTTTGATATCATCGATATCTCTCTATGACCAGACTTGTGGAGTTTTGCGCATTGCGCCCTTGGACAAATTCCATGTCCATGTTGCCCATGTGGAGGTGTCCAAATTGTTTTTTCCCCAATGATATCCATTGATAATGCACCAATTAGATGACATCAATGGAACTGGAAAATGGGAAATATTGTTGATATCATTGATGATACCATTGACTGATCACAAGCATTTTGGATGATAACTTGGGGTACCCCCCTTGACTTCTCGGATACCTCCGTATGAAATAGCTAGGCCCTTTTGATCCAGGCCTTAGCTCCCTTGGTTCCCAGGTCGGTGACAGCCGGAAGCCCGATAAGCGCTTCAGCCATACAAGGGCGCCCATCATTTCGTGCGGCTCTGACTTACCGTTGAGTCAGGTCATCGCCACTGAGAGCAGAGTTTTCAGAATGTTTTCAGTTTTTTTTCCCTTTTGGTTCAACTAACAACTATAAATGGAATTAGACCTCCTATAATTATGGTTATATAATGTTATATATATATGAAATAATCCATTTGTTTAAACTTTTAGTTGGGCTACAAATAATTCGGGGAAACCATTACTTTACCCAACAAAAGCTTAGCGTGTGAGAAGAAATGGTACATTATATCCAACCAACACCGGGGTTGTGCCAACATTTGATTCTTCAACGAACAGCCATGATGGCTTTAACCAGCAAAGCGGTGATGTATTGCGGCCAAAATTGAAGTCCCTCAATTAACACAAAGAAGATTTCAACAACACTCATCAGATTTGATCAACATACATTGAGTGTTCATCGTCAAAAGGTATGGTTTAACAATCAAACATGCTGGTTTCATTTGATTTCTTCAACGCAACTGAAGATGAAGCGTACAGAATTTCCGATGCTGCCCAAAAACGAAGGGCATCACAGCACTGGGAATGGGAATGTATTTGTTTGCGTGTCTATCTAAATCAAATCGAAATCAAAATCCAATTTTAATTTCATCCAATCAATCTATAGAATCCAATTTATATAAACCACTATATGTTGTATTTTTTTATCTTAACTATACAACCTACATAATCCTATCCTATCTTCTTTTGATTCCATGTCATGTTTACCGTATTTTATCTTATCATGTCCAGCCTATCCATCTATGTGTCTATCCATGAACTACCCATCCCATTGTGCGGATGGTTGAACTTACCTATGGCGATTTGGGGGATGGTTTATGGGATGTAAACACCACGGAACAAAGAAATATTATTATAAGAACTTCCAAAAATGGCCAGAAGAGTTTGACTTACTGTAGACTACCTGTGACGATAAAACACGAGACACATTTTCTTGGACACAAAACACAGGCCCCGCAATATCAATAAACCGGGCGTGTATACTGTAGATCTTAAATGAACACCACGGTCATGCAGAAAGTGTCAGTAAACGGGCAAGACCTCTCAAACAGTGCGTATAGGCAAGCTGACACTGGCAAGTCAAATCACCATGACTGACTGAATTTGATGAAACTTCTTAAGTAACACCATTTGCCATCAACTGTAGCAACCCCCAAAAAAAGAGAGAACAGTGGAGTCTAACAACATACACGTGAAATCATGTGAACAAGTTATCCTTTTCTAGCCATGTTTTTTTTGGGTTGCTATACTTTAGTGACCATTCCAACTGAACACGTTGGGCTTTGGAGACTTCAGCTGAGGAAAAGTTTGCCACGACGCGGGTTCATAGCACCTTGGGGAAAGGATGGGTCTCCGGCGCTGGTCAAGGTGCACGCTACTCTGGGATAATCATCATGGTTTACCCAGCAATAGGGATATATAGGGATATGCAGGGAGATATAGGAATATATACATATATATATATATGTAAGGATATATAGGGATAGATAGATAGATAGATATAGATATATATATATATATTATGCGAATTATCATGGGTGTATAATGGGAATATATGGGAACTATCGTGGGATTACAGTGGAGGGTTTAATGCGTTGTTTTTTTGGGTGGAAACCATAGTTTTTGCCATGAAAACCTTAGTAACTATAGGGTTTTTTTTGCAATTCTTCCCTTGAAGCAATCGAGCTATGCATGATGTGGTGAAGGGTCTGGTTACCGGTTGGTGGTGTCAAACATCTACAAACACATTACCCTTTTGGTAATTTAACATAGCTATTTAAAATTACCAGTTATATATATATATATATAGTTGATTTGCTCATCAAAAATGGTGATTTTCCATAGCTATGTTAGTTTACCAGAGGGTATTATATATATATGTATAGTAATTGTAGTAATAGATTCTCACCTAGACATGAGATGATGATCCCAACTGACGACAATGACAGTTTTTGGGCGAGATGAAACCAGCCGCCAGCCGATGGATTTGAATCGGGGCATTGCAAGAAGTGCAGGAGTAATGGGAAACAGACTGGTCTGGTAGCTGTTTGATAACTAGGTAATATGTGCAATGGTGCTGTTGAGGATGATGCTGATGGCAATGAGGATTATGATGACGCAACTTTTCCACCGCTGCTGCTGGTAGTGGTGGTGGCATTGCTGCTGCCACCACGTGGTGGCAGCAGTGTGGTCATGATGCTGGTGATGATGGTTGATGATATTTGTGATGATGGCTATGTCACTATGTGTTGTAAATGTTCCGTTCGTACTGCTGGGTGATCTGGGAGATATTGGTGATTGTCAGCGATGATTGCACTGATGCTGATGATGTTGATCCACGATGTTCACAATGATCTTGGTCATCATGAGTGACTCAACTGAGTGCTACGCTGGACATATATACCCTCTGGTAAACTAACATAACTATGGAAAATCACCATTTTCAGTGGGTAAATCCACTATAAATGGCCATTTTCAATAGCTATGTTAAATTACCAGAGGGTATATAGATTGACAGACACGGATACCTGCTCAATCTTCATTGTCGATCCAGACCCACTTGGGGGTGGACCGTTTTCCCTGTGGCAAACTTGTTTGAAGGGATGAACATCCACAATGTTCGATTAAAAGGAAGACATCGATGTTTTTTATCTTTATCTAATTTGATTCATTTTAATTTGCATTATTTTGGCCGTTCAACAGCGTGCCATAGCAAAGGATACCTGCCATAGCCATATCTGGCCAGCAGTTCCCCTTATGTTTTCCCATGCTGGATCTCAGGAATGCTGGTGATACCACAGGGAACTCGGAAACCAGAGGGTGTGGTCTCCTTGATCGATATTTGTTCCTGGGACGGAAGATGACGGAAGAATTTCGCGATGTGGAGGATTGACCTTGGAGAAGGGGAGGGAGCAGTCTTGGTGATTTTTTTTTAATCACTTGATTTTACTCAACCAACACGCCAGATCTATCCATCAGCATCGCATTATGCTGTGCCGAGGCAGAATACTCACCAAGCCTCTACCCGAAGAACCGTTTTCAGTATGAGAAGCTCTGCAGCACGTGACATCTCTGTGACACAAATGCTGCGGGATTTGTGCTTGGTGGGATTTAGGTTGTGGCTTTGTCTCAACAAGGGGCATGCCTTAAACTTGCAATATATTGATAGGGAAATGATGAGATTGGGGCTTCCTAATTTTGTGACAAGCCCATGACATAAAAAAGGGGTGCAAAACCCTTAACAAAACACGAACAGCAGCAGAAAACTCTGAAATAAGTACACTCTTTCGCGGATGCTGAATATCCCCATGGTGTTTCCAGATGCTCTGCAGCGATTTCCGAAGCTCAATTTGTGGGGATGAAATGGCTCAGATCCAACATCGGATACGACCGGTAACCCAGAAAAAAACATACCATTCTGCAAGAAGCCGCCCCCAGCATTGTAAGATCCAAACATGAGTATTCAGACTTGTTAGGTTTTTGGCGTTCAGAAAATGTGGGTTGGAATCGCTTCGAATCCCCAAACAATCTGAGAACATCGAGCCCAGAACGACTCGTCGATCGCGACTTGGGAAGGCATCTCCAAGAATCAAGTCAGGATGTGGCCATGGATAATCAGTATCGATATGTTCCATCAACTATGCCATATTACAAAGAGTGTATTTTAATGTGGGTCTTATGTGGGTTTTTGGAAATCGAGTACTGTACCCAATTCCCAGGATTTACTATAGCCTTTTGGAATTTACCATGGCTATGTGAAATTGCCAGAGGGTTAAAAATGTGTTCTTTTCCTACCATTTGAACATTTATCATAGTTGTTTCCTGTTGAAATAAACATAACCAATGGATTCATAGCAACATTCCTGTTCCCATATCATCGGGGGAATATACCAAACCTATCCAAACCTTACCATGTTTGATATTGCTTTCCTACTGCCCCCTCTCCGAGCGCCTAGGAGCCGGGTTTTAAGCCTGTGCCAAGGGCGTCATGGCGTGGCATCCGCGCGGAATCTACAAGAGACCGGAGTTGTCCAGCCATGTTCGCAGGGGTTTCATGGAGGTGTTCATTTAAACAGTGAATTGAAGATGCTTAAGCCAATCCTGGATACATCTGGATACTCAATAAATGATCGTAATCTTTCATCACGTAAGCAAGTGGAAATTGCAAAAGCCCCAAGATCTTAAGATTGCTCGGTCGGGTATTGGGTCCAAACCACGCGTAAGTTGGGCAACGCCTTCGCCACAGTAGAGACATTCATGTCATGTATTGGTCACTCATCCACCACTCATCCATCATGTGTGACTGTGGTGTTTAACCTGGCATTTTTTCTCCCAAAGTCACTACAGTTGTGGCACCATTACCACATAAATGGAATGTTAACTCCTCAAAATAATCATCAATATATATATATAATTATATATACATATATATTGATAAGCCCAAATTATAACTGTTAAGGGCCACAACTGTAGTCTCAACAAGTTCTAATATGAAGCAAACGTGGGCAGCATCCGCGCCGTGATTTCGCCATGGTGCTGCGGATCACGACCTGCTCTAGCGGCGCGAAAGCTCAAAAGTGGGCAGCGCCTTTTGGGCGGCGAGTGATACCCATCACCAAGATGAAATGCTGGTATACTCACTGGGAATTCCAGGATCCTAAAATGGAGGTACCTACCATATATAAGGCCTATATAAGGCCTATGTAAGTGAATATCACCACAAAATATGGCCTTATATGGTACAGTACCTCCATTTTAGGATCCTGGAATTACCATTGATATACTATCTGATTTTTTACTGACTTAAAGATACACCTACAATCACCGACACATCTTGCAGGGTCACAGGGTGGCCACAATGTAAGAGCAGAAAGACGCTGGCTCATGCTGGCTGTGACAGGCCACGTGCTCTTTTGAAAGCAGGCGTCTTAGAGGAGACAATCCCAAGACAGAAGAGGTAGAGCCAGAGTCAGCTGCTGCCTCCATAAAGTTCTACAATGGATTTAGTGGTGGTTATTCACTATACTATCACGTGCCAAGAGTTGATGTTACCACTAGTTCAGTGCCATTGGAAAGGCGCCGATGAACCAAGGAAACAAGGTCGGAGAGATGTTGTCAGAATCAGTGCTGTTGTCTTGGGCTTGTATGGTCAAATGACACATCTTAAATACAGCGCGGATGATTTGAAGGATCAAAAGAGCTCGCAAACCGGTTTCCCCGCGGCCGTTGATTTGGTGGCCACTACCCACCAATTTCAATCCTGGTAACCTCAGCTTTGGTCTGTTCATGATAAGCATAAATGGGTGAGATAGAGAACATACAAACTCATGCTCAAAAAATGTCCCAACTTGATCTTCTCACGGTATTCAAGTCAACCGGTTTCATTTTCGCTTCCATGCCTGTGTCATTTGCCCGCTTTGCCCAGGGGTCCCAGATGAGGAACACGAACATGCGTGCGAGGACCCAGTGACCCAAGGGGGGGACGTAACACTTGGAAGCCACCAAAAGCTTGGGAATGGCCAGGAATTTCCAAGAAAGCTGGGCGACTTGCAAGCCACAAGCCTGTGACAGAAAAATGATGGAAGGAATGTCCTGTAACCCGTCACAAAACACATAAGGCTGATTTGTTCGGGGCTTCTCAAATCCCTGTGGTTCGGTGAATCTTTGATCAGAAGGGGGAAATGGGACATGGTAATGATTTGTGTAGCCAGGCAGCATGGTGTAGTTTTCCCTTCATGTTTGTCCTTCGATGTTTTGACAACTTACCCTCCCATAGTCAAATCTGACAATGGAAAGCACACCAGGCATGTCCATGTATAGAAGATCTTCCAATCAAACCATAATTTTTTCCCAACTGCCAGAATTGATTGCAAGACAATAACAATTAATCCAAGACTGAGAAATCCCTTTGGAATCCTTTCGACCTGTTGAAGGGCTTTAAGTCGGATAGCGTGCCTCTGATTTTGCGCTGGCCGTTCCCACCAAGGTGTCAGGCTGTCCCCTCCATGGATCTTTGACTGTGTACATCTTTGTGCAAATTTGATCTGACAATGGAATCAAAGATCATGATGATGTATGATAATCATGGGAGACTGAGATTAGATTAGATCATGAATGATCATGATAATCATGGGAGACTAATTCACTATAATTTATTTGATCCTTTTGACGAGCTCCAAGTTTTTGTCCCAATGATCAACAGACTCATGCGTTGACAGCGATAGGTCATGCTGTGCTGGGCAGCACAGACGGCTTCAAGCGTGGTTTAAGTGCCTTGGCACGAACTTGTGGGGTCGATTCATCCGCGGGTGTGACAGGATTAGGAGTCCCTTGACTCCTTGATTCGGTGCCCAAAAAGGTGACCAAAAAGGGAAATGACGTGAGATGACATTCAGAATGGAGGTCATCAATTGGTAGCCGTTTTTCATGGTTTTTATGTGGGTCACTGACAAAATTCGGAGAAAATTCCAAGAGCCCAGCAGATTTTCGATGGGATTTGAGCGTCCAAAATCCCAAAATCCCTCGTTGCGGTGAAGCCCAATGAATCTGAGACGTCCAACACGTGCCCGAATGGTGTTAGGATGATTTAGGATGTGCCTAGCGGAGCTGGAACATCAAAGCTGAGATACCATGATCCAAATGATCGAAATATTGTTGAGATTCCAGCGGCAAAGGCGATATCAAAACTTCACTGGTTGGTGGTTTGGAACACGTTTTATTTTTCCATATATTGGGATTTTCATCATCCCAACTGACTCACATATTTTTCAGAGGCGTAGGTATACCACCAACCAGTATACCTGCTATCATCGCACCTGATCTGACTGGAGGCTCACCTGACCCCGGCCAGGCCATAGTCATGGTCAGCCCGTGCCCGAACAGACTCTGAGAAGAGCCTTCCGTGCGGGACGCCCGGCCCGTGACACAGTGCGGGGCTGTGACACCGTGATGCCTTGGATGGCGGGATAGGAGGGGTGCGGTTGCCCCATTTTTTGTAAATGGGGATTATATGGGATATGTAATGATCTTTATGTATATATAGATATATTATATTACTTATATGTATGCAAATTATATGAACCACTTGCTAAGTGGGATGCGCATCCAAAGTCTTGTGTGCTGTGATGGTGGTGGCAGTGGTGGGGATCACTGTCTACCAGTGAGCACTCAGCCATAAGGGAAACTGGAAAAGCTTCAGGGGAACCCTTCCAAAAAGCGGAGGCGTGTTTGAGATGAAGAGGGAAAGAATCCAAAAGAAAGAAACTGCAGGTGTGAGCACTTCTTTGCAGGATGCCTGGACAAACCCCTTCCCAAAAAAGGAAACAGTAGGGTAGCTTTATTGAATGCGAATGTCGGGACTAGAAGTGTAACATCCTGTGCCAGTGAAGAATCATGACCATCGAGATGCTAGATTTTTAATGATTTTTACCATTCCCCAGGGCTTCACAATTTTCATCTGATTGGTGGTTTGGAACATGTGTTATTTTTCCATATATTGGGAATAGTAACCCCAACTGACGAACTCATATTTTTCAGAGGGGTAGGTATACCACCAACCAAATTATGAACTTAACCATCATTAAGCATATAGTAACCATTATATATAATTATATATATATATGATATTAACCATTATTTATTAACCATTATTAATAGTATATTACCAACCAATGGTAGGTCACGGTGAGACTTTTTCCCAATCGCCCCTGGTTCCAAAGGTGAGATTGACATGGACCAGGACGGCTTGGCTCGGCGACCCAGGGATCAACTTTCCGCACGGCCCATGAGTTGAACAGTCGCCCGCGGAGTTTGCAAATCTCTGGCATGGTTTATCGTTAAATACACTGGTAAACATACAAAAGGCTATTGAACATGGCCCAGTCGAAATAGTTGATGAATCCCCATTAATAGCATGGTGATTTTCCAGAACTATGTTAGTTTACCAAAGGGTAAAGACACACTATGCATAAGATAGCATAACATGTTGACATTAGAAGACATATCACATCACATCACTAGTGTCAGAGTTTACAACATGGCTTCCGTGATGGTTCCTTGTAATGCGGCGGGTTCTATATGTATTATATCCTTGTAATGCGGCGGGTTCTATATGTATGATATTATGAATATAATGTAGTTTCCGGTCAACAAATCAACCATATGGTAAGACCCATTATCAGTTTATCCCGATTACAAATGATGTAGTCACCAGCACTAATTATGTATATATGTCATCCATGTTGGTTAATACCCATAATATTCTACAAAATTATAACCGCATAACATGTGGGTCTCATACCCCCCATCAAGTCAGGTCCCGAAGTTGGACGATTGGAATTTCTGCGTGACACTGAAGGTACAAACCATGGTTTCAGGCTGAAATTTCTTCCAAATCCATCACTTGAACGACGTCACTGCTGTTACATATCGGAATGATATATATATATATATGTATGAGTATTATTAATATGGGTACTCCAAACATATTACTGTACTCATACTGGTATTTGGAGTAGTTACCCATATTAACACCCCCTTAACCCATATAGATTGGTGATTTCGGCGCCGCGGATGACCCGGATGACACCCGAGATCAGCGTCCGCGAGTTGACCCGCGCCTTGCGACGCTGCGGCCACTTGGATCCACTCTGAAGACATCTCGGTGTTCCGTTGAGGGGTGGCCATCCAATACATATATATATATATCAACTAGTAATCTTAGTTATGTCCCAAATTTAGATCCTAAATATCTATATTAATCTTCAAATCTTAGTTACTAAGTTTACTGGAGGGTGGCCATTAAATCATTAAAACCCATAAAGATCCATAAAGTACCGGGGTCCTGGGTCAGTTTTTTTACCCCAAGCCACTCACCTTGTTGCTTTTTTAGGGGCCTGCTCGTCAGCATCAAAGGAAAGAAACAAGGGGTTGAATCATCACATGATGAATGTGCAAATGGAAGAGTAAATGAGAGTGTCAATTATGGGTATTGAATTTGCAGAGGTTTTGGTACTGTATTGGAAAAGAGGGCTGCTGATAGAAGCGTTGATTATTCCAAACTGCAGCATGATTCAAGATCCTCATTCATAGACTGACGAATTCAATTCAGAATCACCATTTTATTTGCGAATGACATCGAATGACCATTTACCACTATATAATTAAATTTTACCATTTAGAATCCCTATTTTAGAAGCCGCAATTTGTTCATTTCCCTAATTTACTAGACTTTTCATTTGCGGCTTCAACGTGCTTTTTCTGTGCGCAATGCCTTGAGACTTGAGACTAAGGTGTCGATGCTTCAAGGAAAACGGTAGAAAGATCCTTGGCAGAATCTCCAGTTGGATTCCTTCCCCCCTACCCTCAGGTAATTTCTTAGCAAAATGGAAAATCCACTAATCCACCGTTACAAAATAGTAGGTATAGCCGGTATAGCATCTATCTATAAAGGGACCATGGCTTCATCCATGGGGTCCCCATTCGTCAGCATGGTGACTTGGATGATTTGGGATGCCATAACTCATTTTGTTTTTTTTTTGGAATATATGTTGGGGGTCAAGAGTCCAGTTTTGATCCACCATCCGACAGGTGAATTCAGAACCTTTAGTCGTAAGAGTCGTAAGACAGGAAAACCAATGTGGTGACGTTTGTTTCGGCAAGGATTCTAGCTCCCGGGTGGTCGGTCTCACAGATTCCATTCTCATTTGACGCAGCCTCCCGGCCGAGGAATTCTGCAAGATTGCGGCTACGACGCGGCAGGTGCGGTGGTCGAGGGAGATGTAACTTGGCCCAAGAAAGTTATGGTGCTAGTGCTGGTTTCCATTGTAAAAATAATGTATAAATATGTATAATATTGTATAATTATATATGCATATAAAATACATACATGTAATCTGTAAGGTAATTTTCGGCCCTCATGATCTTGGAACCAAGCCAGTTTGCATGATGTGTTTTCATGTTTTTTCCTCTTTTGGCCTCGCAGGATCTGAAAGTTGTATCATTCTAAGTATCAAAGTGACAGGGGCTGCGACTGTTGATGCAACAACACTGGGCCCAAAACAGCGTTGAAGTCATAATTCAATATATTTATTAATTCATGTCCTTTCAGTGCGGTATAGTTTTACATGTTATAAGTTATAACAGTTATAATGTTCTTTTTTGATGAAATGTTGGCAGAAACCATGTAGGACAGGGTTTCCTTTCCAGTGCGCCCCTCTTTAAAGGTGCTCGTGACAACCCTGACGTAGTTTGACTATCATAGAACATCACACTTAAACACATTTTCATACAATGATAGTGATAGTGTTTTATTATGTTTAAGCAGATGGGGTTCTAATGGGCCACCAACCATTTGGATACCCTGACAGGAGGCCCCCCTTTTCCAATCAAAGTTGTGGGTTGCCAGATGTTTTTTTTCTCCAAAACATGTGATATTTCCCTTGATCAATGGTATAAATGGTACCCCTGAATTAGTAAACTAGGGTAACTAGGGGTTTATTATTGGGCAAAAAAAACAGGATTGGTCAAGTAGCAGGTCAGCTTTCAGCGGATCAGTTCGTCCGCTTCTTCAGGCGCGAGATGGACAACATCAATGGGAGATTTTCCACTGGGGAAGTTGGATTACCTGATATTACCAGAGGGTACCCTCTGGTAAATTAACATAGACCCTGAAAATAGCCTAGTTTTAATGAAAACTAATCTTCCAACCCCGACAACTGCCAGGGTCTATGTTAATTTACCAGAGGGTAACTCGAATTGGTTAGGGCTGGCTTCTTACAAACCCTCGGGACGTGTTGTTTATCAGGGCATGACGCTTTTTGATTTCTCGGAGTTGCTGAGCGAAAACCGAGAGCCGGTAATTAGATGTTATTGATTGGCAAGGAATGCGTATGTTACCCTCTGGTAAACTGTCCCATAACTATGGAAAATCACCATGCTATTAATGGGAAAACTCACTATTTCAATGGCCATTTTCAATAGCTATGTTAAATTACCAGAGGGTATATGTTCTATTCTAGTCCATGTGGTGGCCGAAAAAAACACCAACCAGTCATTTGGTCGTCGCCAAATTTTTGAGACCTCTTAAACCGTCCCTTGGTTTATCATGTTTATCAATGTGTATCATATTTGTTTCTGGGTTGTACAATGCTGAAGAAATGATTGATTGAAATGAATGACATCTCGCAATCCCATTAAATGTAGAATTCATGTTTTAACTTAACGGGAAAATGTTCATCAGACTCTTTAAAATCATAAGGCAAATCACAAAAAAATCCCCAACACAACCCTTGGAACCACCCACTAGTCTCGCTGACCAGGGCCACGGAACATCTCGTGTGGTCGGTGGATGATGAGTATAACCCTGCCGCTTGGTCTCCGGCGCGACCGGGGAGACCGGGAAGACCAGTGGCTGTTGACCCAACCAGTGAACCAAGCGGTAATTGGTTGTGAACTGCGATGGCCCATGAGGCCGATGATTTTCCACGATTTACCCATTTTTATTATGGTGATGATGGTGATGTTCCATGGCGGATTGTTGATGATTGTTGAATTATGAGAGAGTATATGATTGTTGTCTTGCAAAGAAACAGCAGTCCATCAATGGGTTTTCAATACCTTTGGGTTTCCCACATCGCTGATGGTCACACGAAATATCAACACACTGCCACAGAATACATCCAACACTCATCCACGACCTACATCGATCTACCAAGATCTATAGATCTCAGGGATGGACAATGAAAAAAAACTGTTCGAAAGCTTCAAGCATTTCTGATTGGTGGTTTGGAACATTTGTTTCCTATATATTGGGAATGTCATAACCCCAACTGACGAACTCATATTTTTTCAGAGGGGTAGGTTTACCACCAAGCAGATTATGAACTTAGCCATCATTAAGCATATAGTAACCATTATATATATATGATATTAACATATATTAACCATTATTATTCATTATTAACATGTGGTTCTTCCAGAGTTGAACACTCCAAGGGTCAGGGGATCACTCTCAGGTGGATTCGTGTTGCACTTATTGCGGGAGGTGCAGTGCGAATCTCCGTTCCTTCAACGGGGATTGTGCTTAAAGGTATCATAAAGTATACCCACATCCAGGTAATACTACACACATATTATTATATAAATATATAGTAATAATAACAATGATGATAATGATAATAGTAATAATAATGATAATAATAATAGTAATGATAATATAAAATATAATATTAAGTGCACCTATACATAATTCGGGGGTGACATTAAGACATGAGCCTGAAAAGACATCCAAGTCCAAGTGCAAGTGGAAGGAACGGATGAACAGTTCTGCCGCAGTGGCCCTTTGAAAGCGGGGACAGTAACAGCCCTGGCAAGGATTGGCTGTGCTGAAGCCATTTGAACCAGATTCGAATAATAGGTAGACACAGTAATCTAATTTGTGCGCCCATGAGTGCCCCAGTTCTGAGTCATTCCAATCCTGGTTCCGTCTCGCTGTTCCGGAGGTTCTTGCTCTTCCTTCTGTTGATCGCCATTCTCGTGATGCAGCTTGGACCGGTGTAAATCTGCTGGGGAAAATGATGATCAACCGGTTTGGGGATGCCACTGGCAATGAGCAACTTTGGGAACAGAGCCATGCTGTTCCACACCTGTTGGAACCTCGCTTTCAAAAAGATTCTGAACCCACTGCGGAAGGACAAGAATTCGTGATTTCTGTATGTTCATCTCATTTCATCTCATCCTCGATTCATCTCGACTCATCCTCTTCTGTTTGGCTTGGTGATTTATGTGATTTTGAGGTTGGAATCATAGGAGTTCTCCACGAATCGCAAGCCTAGGGCTATCATCCTGCTCCGCATCGAGAGTGGCACCGAAATCTTCGTGTGCGGGGGATGGGGGCCGTTGAGGTTTGAAATAAGTAATAAATGTAATAACATGTAATAGCAGGTAATAAGCATACTGTACTCCAGTCATATATATTAATATATTATATATATATGGAATGTTCAGTTCCCAGCAATGCATGATAATACATGAGTTATAAACCACTTACAGGGATGCACATCCAAGTAGTGTTGTACTCCAATCCTTTTGCTATAAATAACTCAGCAGCAACTGTTTCAAATTTCCCAACCCAGACTTTAACAAATTCAGGAGGTCAAACACAAGTAATTAGGCATAAGCATATATATATATATACTGGATTCTGGCATTTGCTGGAAGAGTGAGAACCAAAGAAGACAAATCACTTTAGAGATCACTTTCGGGCATTCACCCAAGTGCAAACCGACATTTTATGTTGACCTCCTCTAATTCTTGCTGGAAAGTCTTAATGCTGCACTAATTATTGCCTGAAAAAAATGCAAAGACAATCAGAGTCGATATCGCTGTTGATGACCGGCCTGTCGGTGATACTGGCCCCACTGCCCAGCTATCCCAGTTTACCCGTTTGTTCAAACCACGGGCCACCTCGCTGGTTTTGCGCAACATCCCCAGCTATTGTGAGTGGTTTGCACTGTGTAGCACTTCTTGTTAGTCAAAATCCCACAATAAATGCTGTGAGATCACAATTGGTGTCTTGTTGGTTGTCTGGTTTTGGTTCGGTCGCAACGTTTAGATAGCAGTTGATGGATACCGTAAAAACCATCATAGCTATAGATAGCCATGGCCACTTGAGTTCAATGATTTCCTAGTGTTCGCTGATTTTCCAATTCGCAAAGTGCCAGAAATTACCAGACGGTTGGTCATGGCTGCCGCGGCATGCCGCCAATCTTTTTTTTGTCATGGAACTGGGAAAAATCTGAGAAATCTCACTGGGGAATACTTAATTACTTCATGAATAGAAACTCAAGATTTAAACCTCATTTTTTTATAGGTTTGGGATGGCTTGGGGTATTTCACGCACAGCTATCAGATCTTATCATATCACTGTTTCAGTGACCAGCCATGGGGGGATTCCCCAGTCCACAGGAGATAGCCCGGTCATCACAACTGGGTTTTTGATGTTTTTGGAGCGTAACGAACGTATTTATTTTGGGTCCCAAACATGGCAAAACTCTATAGTCACCCCCCAAAGGATCCCAAAGGATAGATATCTCTACACTGTTCCATCCTTTCTGGGGGTTTCAACGCAGAATCTGCCCTGTCAGGGGTCTTCTCATCGGTTTTTTGGCCACCATTGGTGTCTTCGTTGCCGTGATGTCTGGGCGCCTGGTGGAAGCATGGGCGACATTTTTGGTGCCATTGGCAATGTGACTTTACTGGGACTTTAGCCATCAAACATTGGAAAAACGCTGGTTTATGGGGATGTCCATAGTTATGTTGAATTATCATACTTAAGTGTACATATATAATCATATAATATATATATATATATATATATGTATAGAGAGAAAGAGAGATGGCGATAGAGAGAGAGAGAAGATAATATAACATACATACATATAGTATATGCTTGCATGTTTGCTTGATATTAATGCACATATACATTGTATAATATAATTGTACATTTGCAATCAAATTTACTCAAAAGTGATAACTTATGCATATAGGTGGTTTGCCAGGCTATGCGATTTGTTAAAGCATTTGTTTATTGGAGGGGTTATACCTCACAAAATATCGGAAGGGAATCCTAGCATGCGGCCTTGGTGCTATATATTGACATTTTCAGGTTGCACAGCCCCCAAGATGGTGAGCATATATATATATAATTATATATATATATATATATATAAATAGTATCCATGGATGTGTAGGTCCATATTATACCTCATTTTTTGAGCATAGGAAAGCGGCCGAATTCTAGCGGCGTCCAGGGGCCAAGCCATTGTTGAAGTAGAAATCATCCAGGCATGATTTTCCGGCAATTGCACATGTTGGACCATGTAGGCCTATTCAGTCTATTCAAGCAAAAATCACCAGCTGTATGAGTTTTTGTCTGAAAATACCATCTGGGTATTTAACATAGCCATGGAAAATGGCCCATTTATAGATGGTTTACCTATTAAAAATTGTGATTTTCCATGGCTATGTTAGTCATAACCAGATGGTATGTCCATGTGTTTCCCATGGTGTCCACTGGTGATCGACGGAATCATCATTTTCCCATGGCTCGAAGCCCAACACCGCAGCAAGTTGGCCTAAGCTCCACATGGCGCGTCCTTCCAGAAATCGATTGATTTCAATCAATGGCTTTGATACATTGATACGTCTTGATTTGAAACACCAATTTCACACGTGAACTTACCTTCTGGTAAACGTTTACATAACTATGGAAAATCACCATGCTATAAATGGGAAAACTCACTATAAATCACCATGTTCAATAGCTATTTTGACATAACCAGAGGGTATCCCCATATCATCCCATTATTCACCATTGTTAACCATTAAATCACCATTTATAGTGGTTATTGTTAAATTACCAGAGGGTAGGTTTTGAGTTTTGAGCAACCTTTAGTGTTCAACCATTGGCCGCCAATGGTCTTCTTCAGAAAGATGCCATCACCCCCGAAGCCGTGGCGCCACGACGGTGAACCACTTCTGACGTGGACCGGTCCAGTGACGTTCTGGTCATCACCCTGGCTGGTGATCCCAGCTTGTTTCAACCTGGACCCCTGGTGAAACATATGGAATTCCCATGACCTGGGACCTGGGCCATGTTTAAAAGTTCTTTCGGTTGTGGGAGAGGATCCCATGTCTTAATGTGTGGCAAACTGAATTTGTGTCACTTATTGTGTCTTCATTACTGAGTTGGCTTCTGCTCATGCAGATGCATACTGACATACTGCCTACGATCACAGACATGGTTCAGGTTTTTGCCCGTTGCAGGCATAGAACTGGTATGAACTGGTTGGTAAAATTCGTGGGGAATACTTCAGTGATGAGTGCATGATCAGGTCACAGTAATCCAGGCACCTGGCTTTACGAGCTCCAGACGTTGACCTTTCTTTCCGCCGTTCCAGGGACGGCGTGATACGTTTCAATGATTGTACCTGACCGAACTAATCTTTGAAAAGGACCAAATGCAATCAAATGCACACAAAAACATCACAAAACTACACCAGGAACGAGTTTTAGTTTGTCTCAAGGTAGGGTGAAATTCTGCAGATCCTCCCAGCCATGGCATAGATGGTTGGCCCACCAGATCAGCTACCAAGTAACATCAAGTAACCAGATACGACCTTTGAGTTCTACCTGTTGTACATCCATTTACCCTGAAGATGTCAAAATCAGCCAGTAACAATGAATAGTGAAAGTAGTTAAATTTACGTGTTTACTTTTTTTTTTAATATTTGTTTTGTTCACTTGCCTTGAGCACTTCTTATATTTCCATTCAACCCCCAATAACATCATTCTTAGTTTTGTAAGCAGCTATTTTGTTGGATAAAATCCCACTGTCCCAGCTGTCATGGCTTGACATCGGCGGCGCCTTGACCCGGGTCAAGCCTTGGCTGTCCATGCTGTGCGACGCATTCCGTACCTGGACGTGCAATGACGTACGGTTCCAGTTTCCCTGTGGACATGTAACCATAGTTATAGGCTGAATGAATTATAGCGATTATGATCGCGATGATGATATCCTCAACTTATGGGGGATATAGCTTATAACCATGGTTCTCCTTGCCTGATGATTTCATAGAAAATCCATCATGGGAATCCCCGTTGCCAACGAATACACAGATTGTTCCATCGGTGTTGGGGTCCAAGACCCCATGAAAAACTGTCCAAGGTGAGCACCAAAATAGTCCGAACATCTCAGAGCTATGGAGATGATAGGCCCATGCCTAACTCTGTTGCACTATGGCTTTCCCAGCCCATGGTGGGAAACACGTGGGAAACAGCATTTTTCACCATCCCTTTGGGTGAAAAAACCACCAGGTGCAGGCCGCGAGTCCTTGCAGTGTTTCGATGAGGACAGTGCCATCGGGATGCTATCCAGATACACATGGCCACCCTATGACCCCATGGCTATCCGGCCATATTTCATGGCTATATTATGCTAATTTATGCTATCTCCAATGAATCCAATCAGGAAATATGTTGCCACAAGGTTTGGCGGGAAGACCATGCCCCTTGCAGAAGCCGCAGGATGGCTTCTGCATCTTCGAGTCATTTTTGAGGCCGAAGTTGAAATGCGTTTGTATTTTCTATCCTGCATGGATAAGGATAATGATCTCCGTATATAGATAAACAGATACTGTAGATAAACTTATAGCCGATAGAAAGATATGGATAGATTGTTTGATTGATAGATGGATCGATGGAAAACATACCTGTGTTTATGTTCTTTCTGCGTTGAAACCACCAACCAGACGATCATTTGTAAGGGGAATCACCCAAAACTGGCTGAACCGTGAAATGGATGAATACTCAAAATGAAGCCAGATGCAACACACGTGTACAAACCTGCTATTCTGAAATCGTGTCATGTGGGTTACATAAAATTCCAAAGCACATTGCCACCTCACCACCGGCAATTTATCGGGCGCATTGCCAAACCGCCGATGCGTGTTGTTGGTGAGTGGTCCAGCTGAGACAATTTTCAGTCGAAGAAGTCCCATCATACAATCTTCGCCGTTCCTAGGGGTTTTAATCATTGCGAATCTGATGCGAAAATACGTGGTCTCTTGAAACAGTATCATCAACACCAAGCATGTTTCAATAGGTGGAAAGAACATGGACATGACAAAGACAAGTAAGCAATCTACACATGTGGAATTTCCGCCATGTTTGAGTGCTAGACCTTATGCCACCAGCATTTGTTCATATCGCCAGTGGGGTTTGAAAGTCGGCTGATGTGTTTTCCCTATGTTGGTTGATTAGTGTAAAAGATATTTGTGTAGCTTATTAGTCCCTTCTCCCCAGCCCTAATCGAAATCATATCAATAACCTACTCCCCCTCCTTTTACCGTAGCGCAAAAAAAAAAAAAAAATATTTTCCACGTTAACGAAATGGACGATTCGGAGGTTTACTTCCATGTTAGTTGCATTGGGGGGGGGTAAACTGCAAATTTGTGTTCTTTGGATCTGAGCCCTTTTTTTTTTGGCTGGTTCTTTTTGCCACGAGTTCCCCGGGAATCCTGGGCATTTTTTGATTAACGTAGAAATTTTGAATTTTTCAAGATATTTCAAGATAAAGCTGGGATTGCCTTCATTTTTTAACAACCAACGATTGGAACACATAACTTACATAGAAATTTGCTACTTGAAGTAGGATGTGGGCAGTGCCATGTTAGCGAGCGCTCGGTCCTTTACTCCCCCTCCATTTACCGTACTGCATTTTTTTTTATTCCACGTTAACTAAAGTGACAATTCGGAGGTTTACTTCCATGTTAGTTGCAATGGGGGGGGGTAAACTGCAAATTTGTGTTCTTTGGATCTGGGCCCTTTTTTTTGGCTAGTTCTTTTTGCCACGAGTTCCCCGGGAATCCTGGGCATTTGTTGATTAACGTAGAAATTTTGAATCACCAAACATGGAACGGAGTGCCATGTTAAAAAAAATGCTATTCATGGTAAAACCTTTGGTTTGGTACTAGGGTTCCCCATACTTCTCAGGAGGATTTCATTTTCCAAAAAGAATGAAAACACATGAATCCCAAACCAGGTTTTTCATATGATTTTTTCTTTATTAAACTCGTTATATAAAATGCTCGATTTGTGAACTTTTGGTGTTGAATTCAGGCTTGGACCCTTTGATGGTTGCTTTTAAGATATGGGCGACCAGCAGTTCAAGAGATGAATCACCAAACATGGAACGGAGTGCCATGTTAAAAAATCGTGCTATTCATGGTAAAACCTTTGGTTTGGTACTAGGGTTCCCCATACTTCTCAGGAGGATTTCATTTTCCAAAAAGAATGAAAACACATGAATCCCAAACCAGGTTTTTCATATGATTTTTTCTTTATTAAACTCGTTATATAAAATGCTCGATTTGTGAACTTTTGGTGTTGAATTCAGGCTTGGACCCTTTGATGGTTGCTTTTAAGATATGGGCGACCAGCAGTTCAAGAGATGAATCACCAAACATGGAACGGAGTGCCATGTTAAAAAATCATGCTATTCATGGTAAAACCTTTGGTTTGGTACTAGGGTTCCCCATACTTCTCAGGAGGATTTCATTTCCCAAAAAGAAGGAAAAGACATGAATCCCACACCAGGTTTTTCATATGTTTTTTTCTTTATTAAACTCTTTATGTAAAAAGCCCGATTTGTGAACTTTTGGTGCTGAATCCAGACTTGGACCCTTTGGTGATTGCTTTTGAGATACGGGTGACCAGCATGACGGGGGTGAGAAGATAGATGCAAAGAAGAAAACAAATGATGTGGCGGTCAGTCTGGGGGTTTTAGGGATCGCCCTAGAAGGATGTATTCAACATGAGGGGAGAACATGTTAACATAGAAGTTGCCAACCTGATGTTTGGACCTTCAAGTTACTTCCACGTAAGCGTTTTTAGTCTCAGTTTTCCAACTTCCATGTTGAACATGCTCCTTCAAGCTACTTCCATGTAAGTGATTTACGGTCAGTTTTTCTGCATTTGCTGGCCCGGTAGCCCAGTTTCACTTTTTCCCCAGGAATGGGACGTAAACGACTTCCATGTAAACCGACAGGTTTTTCCATCCTGACTTCCACGGTAAAATAAGGGGGTGTACGTTTTATTCCTTCACTATTCACTATTGGCGGGGTCGACATGTCCATGGAGTCTAAGTTACCCAATGTGGTAGCTGCTCATGTTTTATTGGCATCAAACTTTAAATACTTTGAATAGACTCTGAAGTTTACTGCCGGTTACTTTGCGATTGGTTTAACTCTAATTGAACTAAAGTCAATTGTGGTTTAAGAAGAGTTTACAAGTAGTCACTGTACGGATACATCCCCCAGTGATCTATAAAATGGATATTTAAGGGCTGCCGCCCCTGCCGCCGACCCCGGAGAAAAAAAAGAGGTTTGCGCTGTGTTTTCTCACAGCTCAAGTTGGTGGCTTTTCCATAGCCATGATACGAGAGGAGAGATAGAGAGAGAGAGAGAGAGAGATATATATATATATATAGTTAAATTTCACCAGAGCGAGGCAATATATTTTGGATGTTTTTTTAATGTTTGTTTATGTTGCATTCTGACATAGTGTTGCTGGACAGTCAGGCTTGTGCTTGAGGATTTTTCATTTGGGATCTCAAATGACTGAAATTTTCAGGGGCTGACAACACCAGGTCACAAAAAGCCATGGAACGGCTAGGGTCGACATTGTCATTTTTAATGTGCAGGTAAACATCGGCATTCGACATCGAGGATGTTAGATAGATAGATAGATAGATAGATAGATGGTCTGCAGGCTTGCTAGATTCGATAGATGGATAGATAGAGATAGATCGATCGATAGATAGATGGAGATAGATAGATAGATAGATCGATCGATAGATAGATAGGTCGATAGATAGATAGATAGATTGATAGATAGATAGATAGTTAGATAGATAGATAGATAGCTAGATAGTTTGATAGATAGGCAGGTAGTGGCAGGTAATGGTAGGTAGGTAGATGGATAGATAGAATCATAGATCTGTGTATATTTAATAGATATATATATATTCATATATATATATATTCATATATATATATATTCATATATATATATTCATATATATATATTCATATATATATATTCATATATTATATATATATTCATATTATATATATATATATTCATATATATATATGTGTGTGTTTCATTGTCAGTGTGCATCTGTCTATGTCTCTGTCTTTTTGTTCCAGGCTGACTCACATTGTACCATATCCTCCATATCGATCCATATCTATCCACATTCCCAAATGGTGAGGGCGGGCTGCATCCTTCTTGGTTCCAGCCTGGCAGCATATATCGCTGTATATGTATTAGGTTACGATATATGACTACAATCCAATAGTTTTCGACCATTTTTTGTACCGCTGTTTGTACAATGAGATATAGTGAGACAGAGAACTCTCCTGCTGCTCCTGTTGCTGCTGCTGCTCGTCCTCCCGAAGCTGAAAACGCACGCTGCCGGACAGGGAAACACAGTGGCCCTGAAGGACGGAACAGCGCCAAAATCGAGCCCAAAAACTACCTAACGTCCCTTCTGAAACCCTAGAAAAACAATAGTTTTCGACCAGTTTTTGTACCGCTGTTTGCACAATGAGACATAGTGAGACATAGAACCCTCCTGCTGCTCCTGTTGCTGCTGCTGCTCTTCCTCCCGAAGCTGAGAACGTATGCTGCCGGACAGGGAAACACAGTGGCCCTGAAGGACGGAACAGCGCCAAAATCGAGCCCAAAAACTGCCTAACGTCCCTTCTGAAACCCTAGAAAAACAATAGTTTTCGACCATTTTTTGTACCGCTGTTTGTACAATGAGACATAGTGAGACATAGAACCCTCCTGCTGCTCCTTGTTGCTGCTGCTGCTCTTCCTCCCGAAGCTGAAAACGCACGCTGCCGGACAGGGAAACACAGTGGCCCTGAAGGACGGAACGGCGCCAAAATCGAGCCCAAAAACTGCCTAACGTCCCTTCTGAAACCTTAGCAAAACAATAGTTTTAGTTTTCGACCAGTTTTGATACCGGTGTTTGTACAATGAGACATAGTGAGACATAGAACCCTCCTGCTGCTCCTGTTGCTGCTGCTGCTCTTCCTCCTGAAGCTGAAAACGCACGCTGCCGGACAGGGAAACACAGTGGCCCTGAGGGACGGAACGGCGCCAAAACGAATCCAAACTTCCTAACGTCCCTTCTGAAACCCTAGGAAAACAATATTTTAGACATTTTTTACCGCGGTTTGTACAATGAAGACATATTGAGACATAGACCCTCCTGCTTCTCCTGTGCTGCTGCTGCTCTTCCTCCGAAGCTGAAACGCACGCTTCCGGACAGGAAACACAGTGGCCTGAAGGACGGAACAAAATCGAGCCCAAAACTGCCTAACGTCCCTTCTGAAACCCTAGAAAAACAATAGTTTTCGACCAGTTTTTGTACCGCTGTTTGTACAATGAGACATAGTGAGACATAGAACCCTCCTGCTGCTCCTGTTGCTGCTGCTGCTCTTCCTCCCGAAGCTGAGAACGACGCTGCCGGACAGGGAAACACAGTGGCCCTGAAGGACGGAACAGCGCCAAAATCGAGCCCAAAAACTGCCTAACGTCCCTTCTGAAACCCTAGAAAAACAATAGTTTTCGACAATTTTTGGTACCGCTGTTTGTACAATGAGACATAGTGAGACATAGAACCCTCCTTCTGCTCCTGTTGCTGCTGCTGCTCTTCCTCCCGAAGCTGAGAACGGACGCTGCCGGACAGGGAAACACAGTGGCCCTGAAGGACGGAACAGCGCCAAAATCGAACCCAAAAACTGCCTAACGTCCCTTCTGAAACCCTAGAAAAACAATAGTTTTCGACCATTTTTTGTACCGCTGTTTGTACAATGAGATATAGTGAGACAGAGAACTCTCCTGCTGCTCCTGTTGCTGCTGCTGCTCTCCTCCCGAAGCTGAAAACGCACGCTGCCGGACAGGGAAACACAGTGGCCCTGAAGGACGGAACAGCGCCAAAATCGAGCCCAAAAACTGCCTAACGTCCCTTCTGCCTAACAGTCCCTCTGAAAACACTAGAAAAACAAAGTTTTCGACCAGGTTTTTGTACCGCTGTTTGTACAATGAGACATAGTGAGACATAGAACCCTCCTGCCTGCTGCTCCTGTTGCTGCTGCTGCTCTTCCTCCCGAAGCTGAAAACGCACGCTGCCGGACAGGGAAACACAGTGGCCCTGAAGGACGGAACAGCGCCAAAATCGAGCCCAAAAACTGCCTAACGTCCCTTCTGAAACCCTAGAAAAACAATATAGTTTTGGACAAGGTTTTGTATAGTTTTCGACCAATTTTTATACCACTGTTTCTACAATGAGACATAGAACCCTCCTGTTGCTCCTGTTACTGCTGCTGCTCTTCCTCCCGAGGCTGAAAACCTACCCTCCCGGACAGGGAAACACAGTGGCCCTGAAGGACGGAACAGCGCCAAAATCGAGCCCAAAAACTGCCTAACGTCCCTTCTGAAACCCTAGAAAAACAATAGTTTTGGACAATTTTTTGACCAATTTTTATACCACTGTTTCTACAATGAGACATAGAACCCTCCTGTTGCTCCTGTTGCTGCTGCTGCTCTTCCTCCCGAGGCTGAAAACGCACCCTCCCAGACAGGGAAACACAGTGGCCCTGAAGGACGGAACAGCGCCAAAATCGAGCCCAAAAACGGCCTAACGTCCCTTCTGAAACCCTAGAAAAACAATAGTTTTGGACAAGGTTTTATGGTTTTCGACCAATTTTTATACCAGTGTTTCTACAATGAGACATAGAACCCTCCTGTTGCTCCTGTTGCTGCTGCTGCTCTTCCTCCCGAGGCTGAAAACGCACCCTCCCTGACAGGGAAACACAGTGGCCCTGAAGGACGGAACAGCGCCAAAATCGAACCCAAAAACTGCCTAACGTCCCTTCTGAAACCCTAGAAAAACAATAGTTTTCGACCATTTTTTGTACCGCTGTTTGCACAATGAGACATAGTGAGACATAGAACCCTCCTGCTGCTCCTGTTGCTGCTGCTGCTCTTCCTCCCGAAGCTGAAAACGCACCCTGCCGAAAAACAATAGTTTTCGACCAGTTTTTGTACCGCTGTTTGTACAATGAGACATAGTGAGACATAGAACCCTCCTGCTGCTCCTGTTGCTGCTGCTGCTCTTCCTCACGAAGCTGAAAACGCACGCTGCCGGACAGGGAAACACAGTGGCCCTGAAGGACGGAACAGCGCCAAAATCGAGCCCAAAAACTGCCTAACGTCCCTTCTGAGACCCTAGAAAAACAATAGTTTTCGACCATTTTTTGTACCGCTGTTTGTACAATGAGACATAGTGAGACATAGAACCCTCCTGCTGCTCCTGTTGCTGCTGCTGCTCTTCCTCCCGAAGCTGAAAACGCACGCTGCCGGACAGGGAAACACAGTGGCCCTGAAGGACGGCCTGCGGGCAACGGCTCCACAACAAACTCCTAGCGAGCGGTTGCGAAACAACAGCCTCCAAGGCGAGAAACCAACAGCCAGACATCTTTTTCGAAACTCGTAGTCGTAGCCGTAGTCGTACTCGTAGTCCTAGTAGTAGTAGTAGTAGTAGTAGTAGTAGTAGTGGTAGTAGTAGTAGTAGTAGTCCGACAAGAGTCAAATGTCTTATTCCCTGGCGCGCTCCCCCTTGCGTCTGCCGGGGTCGGCGGATAAATGGGGGTTGAAAGCTGGGCAAATCAACGACTATACCCTCCTGTAAACTTACAAGTAGTCACTGTACGGATACATCCCCCAGTGATCTATAAAATGGATATAAATGGGGGTTGAAAGCTGGGCAAATCAACGACTATACCCTCCTGTAAACTAAGATGTGGAAAACCTAGCATTTCCAGATGATTTTCCTAAGGAAACCATAGGGCCTTCCACATTTTTCTGTATGTTTACTCTAGGGTAAATCCTATTCTGCTGGTTAAATCTCCATTTTGGTTGATTAAAAAGTCCCATGAACATCCCATTTCTGGTATTTCTGTTGGTGAAAATCGCATTTGGGATGTAAAAACCATATCTGTTCGGATTTCCAAAGACTACTCCTAACTACCCCATCTTGGCTTCGCAGGCCGCAGCACTTGGAGGAGCTGCGAAGCTCCTTCGATACGCGCAGCTTGGTTCGCTTTAGGATGGGTACCCACTGCAAACGAATACAGAAAAAGAGCCACGAAACGATGTGTACAGTAAGTTGGTTCACAATTCATGATTACAATTAGGGATGTATACATGCGGATATTAGAGGGATTTATGTCGTGTAGATATTAGATATACCATATCGATCCATATCGATATATATATATACCGATACTAAATCTATAATATAGTCTATAATTAGATAGGCGTATCAACCAACGTTACAAGTTGGGCCTTCCGGTGCTCGCCTGGAAACATTTGTTGCCCATGAATTTCAAAAGGATGATAAGACATGTTAATGCACCACAGGCTTCTTGAATTTAAACGATTACATTCTTTTATAAGAAAATTGCTGCCCCTGTCTTGAGGAATGGCTCTTTTCCGAGAGTTACTCGTATCATGGACTGTATGTTTCTTCATTCATTTACCAATTTATTTGAACATAACATTAAAAAATCGAGGTACCATCCTATGTTGGGCGGTTTTTCTGTTACAAATGCAGCGCCGTACCCGAGGGCTACGTGAACTCCTGGCTGATAATGTGGAGGTGTGGTCTCGGATGGTGAAACATGGGGCATCGGTGATCACTCGGTAAATTGCAAAGAATAAAGGACGTCTAGACTGGCAATCATCACGTTGGTAATGTAGCTAAATAGCGAAATATTATCAAATATTCATGTTACGTGATTTTGAAGAAGCCTGGTTTGAATCAGAGTATGTATTTGAAACATTTTGAAACATCATGGACATATATCTCTCTATCACATATGTATTTATATATATATATATAGTTTATACACTATATATATATAATATAATGATTCATACTCTAAATCATGAATCCTGCCATCATTTTCCAGCAACTCAGCTGTCCAAAAAAAGTGACGCTGGAGGTGGATTTGGGTGTCAACTGGGCCTGCCCTTCTGCCGAACCCTTCCTGCGCGTGCTTCAAGATGAAAGGTGGCCGGATCGTGTTGGGGTTGGCCGGTGTGGTCTTCGACATGGGAAACCTTCTTGGGACATTAAACCTTGGAATGAAAACATGAATCTATATGGCACTTGAATCTAGAATTATATAAAAGACATATTCCCATAACCTTGGTTTTGTGTTGACCAAGGAGGCAATGACCTGCCATGAAAGGAGTGGCCAGCATCCCGGTATCCCTGCGTTTCCTCATAGCGGGTATTTCTGTCCCCCCTCTGGGATGATGATTCATGATGATTCCAGCGAAATAGTTGCTTCAATTTCTATCATCACAAATCATCACCCATGTTTTTTTTAATCAATGATATGTATATGTATATATATATATTCATTACCCAATGAACATGTGAACCATCACACACACATATATCTATATTTGTATCTGTATCTATGTCTATATCTATATCATACCTATATATAACTAATCCGTAGCACATATTTTAATGGGGTCGGCTCACCCACCATCAGCTCTTGTGCCACAACGGAAGCACATCGCTTCACGAATCGTGCGAGGCTTCTGGACTTCTTGGTGGAGCTCTGCGGCTTGCCATTGGTGGCCATGCGCTTGGAGCTCTTCGAAAAGAGGCGATGGACGGATAGGGTCGGAATGTCGGGGGTGAAAAAGGCATTGACCTTTCCGAGGATGACATGTGTTTTGATTGTGTTTTTGTTAGGTGTTTTTGTTAGGTGTTGATTGTTGTTTATTTGATTTGATTTGACAGTTTGGCAGGACTTCGGAGGTTTTCGGATGTGTAATTATGTCAATTGACGTTCTGAGGACTTTTGGATGTGTCTAACTTTTCTCGTTTTTTTGTTCTTTGATTGTTTTTGGATGAAATGATTTCGACGCTTGCAAATTTGTGTGGATACGTACTTATATCTGGTTGGTGGTTTGGGACATTTTTTATTTTCCATAATATATGGTATAATCCTTCCCATTGACTTTCATATTTTTCAAAAGTTGGTTAAAACCACCAACCATATATATATTTATATTTGTGCCATCACAAGACCTAGTTATAGAATGCTGGTAAATATTCCATACATGGAGCCTATGGGTATATATATATATATGTCGTTGGCGTCCTCGCAGGCCGGGATCGACGAATCTCATCCCTTGGCATCAGGCGCCCGCTGCTATAGTGGTTCTATATGGAATCAATAGATAACACTAACACATAGATAAGTTATAAACCAACTATTTGTAAATATAGAACTATCTAATTATCTATTTTATCTTACTGTATCTTATCCTTGTTTTTCTTATTTTATCTTATCTTATCTATTTTTCTATCTATCTATCTGACTATCTTTCCATCTATCTATCTATCGATCTATCTATCTATCTATCTATCTATATATCTATCTATCTATCTATCTATCTATATTTCTATCTTATCTAATCTAACCTAATCTAATCTAATCTAACCTATCTATCTATATGCATATCTGTATATATATATATATATATGCTAGTTATTGGAGTCATAAAGCAACTTAGCTAAGTAACTTGGGCACCACCTTGTGGGAACGAAAGTGACCATGACCTGGCGAAAAAAAAAAAAAACACAATTTTTTGGTGCATGATATATTAGCCAATTAGGAAATTAGGACTTATTAATATATATATAGCGACGGACAAATACTTAGAACATCATTTGGAAAAAAATCTGAAAATCGTCACAGCGGGGATGTTCTAAGTATTAAGTCGTTAGAACATACCCAAAACCTATACTTAGAACATTTCCAAGCTATACTTAGAACATCCCAGTGGGGAACCAATGGGAACCATACATAATTCATTTTAGCTCATTTTAGTATTGAAACCTATGCTTTTTGACTACCCCCTGTAGGAAACCCATAAATTATATACTAGAGACCTTCCCATTGCAGCGAAGACTGCTTGGGATATTGTTCCCGAAGAAAAGGTATAGAATGCTGCAGCAGTGAGGGGAGAAAGTGTTCTAAGTATGGTGTTCACCAAGGTATTTGGGTGTATATATGCAGATTTACCAAAGTAACAGGACATGTTCTAAGTATATGTGTGTTTAATGTTCTAAGTATGCAAAAAATCAAAGGAGATGTTCTAAGTATCTGTTTTTCTGATGTTCTAAGTGCGTACTTAGAACATTTCTGATGTTCTAAGTGTAGTTGTTTTGATGTTCTAAGAAAAGGTTCCGAAATTTTGGAAAAAATGATGTTCTAAGTATATGTCCGTCACTATATATATATATGTATATTGCATAATAATAGGGCTCACTAATCAGGAATAAGCAGGAATTATTAGTCCTCATGATATATCATGACTTTTGTCGGTGCATGATGGCGTATGAACCACCAGCAACCACCCATCAGGGCTTAGTGACCATTATTTTTTCATGGGTTACCAACTGCCAACAACCACTAACCAGAGCTTATCAACCATGAAGTATTATCAGCAACAAGCACGTGTATAAGAGCCTGTCAATCATGATAAGCATCGATGTTATTGCTCAGTGGCCACCATGGGGACTGTCATCCTATTATATCCCGCTATATCCTCTTGTATCCCGTTGTATGCCCTCAGTTGTTTTGTCAAATCGCCCATTTACAGCGTATGGAAATTCGTGGTGGAGTCAGCTGAATCCCGATTACCCTCTGGTAAACTAACATAACTATGGAAAATCACCATTTTTAACGGGAAGATCCATTATAAATGCCCATTTTCTATAGCTATGTTAGTTTACCAGAGGGTACCCTCAGATATTCCCTCAGGTATCCCCATGAAAATTGGATGCTTTACCTCCAATGACTTGGCAATTTGGGCATCAAAATTCAGCCGTAGCAATTTCAGTTACCTAAGTTGGAGGTACCGACCATTTTTCAATATTTTTCAGGCCTATTATGGGCTAAATTTCAGTGGTTTCTATGGCTTTGTATTGTACAGTACCTCTACTTTAGGGTCCTGAAATGACCATTGATGACATGTGTTGTCTTGACATTGGCATCCCATTCATACCTATTGTGGTTGGCTATATATATATAATGTTACATCCCTATTATTCTTCGTTGCATACCTATTACCCTCTGGTAAATTAAGATAGACCCTGAAAATAAACAATTTGTTTTTGGAAACGAATCTTCCAACCATTTCCAACCCCTATTTGGCGCTATGTGAATTTAATGCCTATTATGCTTGATAATATCCTTATTGTTCTCGGTCATACCCTGCCAGGACACTTACACAACCCACGTGGGCTTTAGCTGGAGCCCCGCAGAGGCGGAGGCGGCGGCCAAGCCGCACCCGGTGACCTTGTGCCTTGGATTCGTTGGTCATACATATATTGGGACAATATCATGGGTACATAATGGATATAAACATATATATATATATGATATATTGATATATACATATATAGTAATATACACATATATATATATATATATAGAATTTACATATTATATATTATATATATGTATATGCATGCATTTATGTAAGTATGTGTATTCATCTATACATGCATAGATCAATATATGTTTTTGTTTGTGTAGATATGTGTATATGTATATCTACTGTTGGCTAAACATGGTGATTTGACCAGCAAAAATCTTACGCTCGGGAAGCCCGCCGACAGTAGGTGTGCGAAGGTTTATTGTGGATGAGAATAATTGAACTATAGTTGGTTACAAAGATGTTTCATAGATGTTTTTTGAAACCATTGGCAACCATTGGTAACCCTTCTCATCATATTTTTTGGACCTATGTTTATCAACGTTTCTGATGGATATGAATGGAAATTTTCTGCTTGGTGTTTAATGTTTTTCAACCCATCCAACTATATCCAGCCATTCAGCATCCAGCAAAAATTGTGAAGCTAGACACTTCACCAACCTAGTGAAACTGTTGAGCTTCACAAACGCAAAAATTGTAGATTTTTAATGGGAACATCCGCTATTAATGGCCATTTTCAATAGCTACGTTAAATTACCAGAGGGTAGCCGTGGGGGAAAAAAAAAACGACACAGCACAGCAGATCATTTTCCGAATGGGGTTTCCCCATGGCTTCCCCCTATGTTCTGTCGTGTTGTGTTACCATGAATAAAATAGACATAGCTATGGTACCACACGTTAAATTGTTCCAACACGACATAGATGGGGAACCATTTAAAATATGTCTATGTTACCATGAATAAATGATGTTACCAATGTTACCTTGTTTTTTTTGCTGTTGCCCAGTGGGCCAAGTGGGGACAAGGTGGGTGGCACTGGACACTGCATCCTCTGAATCTGGAGGTATGGAGCTCCTTGGTAGACATTTGAGTACGAGAATTTGATTAATGGGATGGGATATCCCATGAAATTTCAGTAATAAATCTGGCTTAATCTGGCTATTTGTATGGGATATTTGATGAGATTGAGTATTTAATGGGAGTTGCAGCATCCCATGATTTTTTTGATGAGATGCGCAATTTTGAAACTGATATCATCATTTTACATAATATGTGTTTGATGCCTGGAAAATGGTCTCTTGGGGTTCCAGAAATATATATATACGCATGAATTTTTATATTGTATAAAAAAAATATCCACATGCATGTGTACATATACATATTGATACATCTAATCGCCGTGATCGCCGAGGATGGTCCCCGGACGGCACCGCGAACTGCTGGGCGCCGCTGTCCCGAAGGGAGCCATCGTGGATGCCGCAGCACATGGCGTCTCGGCACAGCCATGTTGCTCCAGTTCGTTAGATAACTTGGTGCAAGTAACTCCAACTTCACTGTGGGCCTACAATACATAATTATGTCTATATATATATATATGGATTAAAATAAATGAATGTATAATTATAAATCATATGTAATATATATATATATATGATTGCCGCTCGTACGGTTTTTTAAAACCAACTGTTTGGGATTATTTCAGGATATTTCAGGGAAATCTGCAGAAACACATGAACACTTTCCATGGTTTTCCCATTGTAAATGGGAGGTTTCCTGTAATATTCTCTTCAAACCCAATGAAAACATGAAGAAGCACAGGTGTATATATATATACAGTGTAGATATATGTATATATATATATACAGTATGAATATATATATATATATACATATGTACAGTATAATTAGTAGTATATAGTGAATATAGATACATATACATACATGATATATATATATATATATAACCACCACAACAATGATAAGAAGGGAACCAGTGAGTTTCCAGAACGGAATCAGTATAAATGCACAGAAGTATTCGCATGCAGCTTAATATACGGAACAGCCAACCACCACGAAAGCGGAAACAAAACATGCTTTGGGGACAAGATTCGTCTCAGCTATTATATTGGACTTCCAGATTGCACCCCTTGCTGCAAGGCCACAGCGTTGAGTACAAGCTCTTACCGGGACAGGCGGGTGTTTCTTGAACGCAATCACAATGCCCCGGTAGTGTTGTGGATACAACCTATCCTACAAGTCTGGTATGTACCATTAACATCCATTAACATCCATGAACATTTTTGGAAGTTCATCAGTCTGTTCAGTTGTCTCTTTTTCAAATGTTATTGTTTGTAGATGTTCAATGCTAGTTTGAAACGCCCCGAAGGTGTAAGCAGCGACGTGGGCGCGTCTTCAGTAGCACGGGGTCCAACAAGACACAGTGATATGTTAAATTTGAACACATGTAGGAACAACCAACAATCTAGCGAAACCTATGATGGGCTCCCATAGTTCATCATTTCAATGCATGTTGGATCCTTCTTGCACAAGCCTACCATTGTAGCACAGCGATTGCCAACAAGGGCCAGGGTCACTCTGAGTCAGCATCATATGATCTCCATAAACTTATATGGTTCTCCAGTCATTGATGCTACAAACTCATTCTAAAGTTCTAAAGGGTTAAAGGCTGGGAGCCACAATCAAAACTGGAAGCCGCAATCAAAGAAGGTATGCGAATCCACCAGCACCAAATGACTACAGTATTGATATGTATTGATCAGAAATACAAACCAGTGGGCACTGCACACTCCACAATCAAAATCTCTATCTCCCAAAAACATGCTTTATTAAATTGGGTATGCCCAAACTTTGGCTTCTTGCGAACCGCCTTTTTTGTGGTTGAAGGTACCTCCTTTATGTCGCCACTTCCCCTATCAGAAATGCCAAAACCAAATTGCGATCTCATCAGTTTATATAACAAACAAAAATGCATGGTGAAAATCTCGGTTTTGTTCGTTAAACCCCCATTTCATGCCTAAATCATGTTGACACTTGTTGGTTTGAGAGATCTCCAATATAACAATCAGTAGGTAACTTCTAACAATTACTGTATACCAAACCACCCCCTATTTTTTTCCGCAAGAGACACTATTAGACTATACTTTTCTATTTGCCCATTCACACTGGATTAAACGAACTTCTCATTGTTTGATGTTTGGATGATCGAGGTTCATCATCCATTGACACCTCACCGGTCTTTGGAGAATCGATCTGCCCACAGCAGGCCGTTTGCTACATCAACCCGGGGCCCGGGTTCAAATGCGAATTATTAATCCCATCACCCTAATATTAAACACCCCATAAATGGTCCCAATTATGTGGAAATTCTCTGCTAAACCATGGTTTCTAGGGGGTGTTTTTTCAAATTTTAGGGGGAAGGGATTAGGAACATGTATTTCAAGTTCTGAAAATTGAGTTTGAAGAAAAAATGGTTATGCCACATTGAGTTATGCCATATTTTTCTCCGGGACCCAAGGATTTTGGAAACAGGCTTGACACGATGACCCAACAAAGATGGTAAGGCCAAGGCACCATAACTAGGGAGTGCTCAGCCAGTAGAAGTTGCTGTGATGCCAGTTGCAGTTGGTTGTTGAGAAGCTGGACATGAAAAGGAACATGTGAAGTCAAATTGGTCCAGCATACACACACACACATATATATACACATATAAATAGATATAGATATAGATAGAGAATGTACATATATATGGAGAATATGTTTCATCTATATTTGTTTTATATCTATCTATGATTGTAAAAAATATTATCCAATATAACCGATGAATAAAGTGGTTATGTCCGATATTAGATGTCTACATGCTGCCCGAGCTGTACTGAGAGTTGCTGGCTTATTAGGGGTGCCTACGGGTGTGAGAGAGACTTTGCTTCCTTAGACTTAGAGACAGCACCGAGTAGTGAACACGCCTACGGCACGAGAAAGAAAAGAAAGAAAGAACCGATTAATAAAATTATGACTTAGAATCATCTAGTGATACTGTGGATGGAAGAAATCCTGCACCAGTTGGTATATGGTTTATCCTCTTATAACCCCATTATTTACAATGTTTCATAGTTACCTACCGGTTGCCAACTGGCGCAGGATTTCTTCCATCCACAGTATGAAGATGTATATCATATGACACCTATAATTCTATAATCTATAAGTTATATCTTCGGATTGCAGTCGCGTCTGAGGCGCGCCTTTCTGGTGCGTTTGGTGCCATGGTCCGAGACCATCCGGCAGCGTGTCACCGAAGAGGTTCTGTTGGGAATGTTGGGAGGATGGAATGATGATATTCGATCGTTCCAACATATATTAATTCCCCCATACTGGGATAATGGAATATAGGGAATCATGATTCGATGATTTTTATCATCAAAGTGATATGAACCTTTACGCATTTCACCTTTTATGGACTAAGATGGTGTGGTTGGCATTATTTACCTTCCAGTAATCAAACATGGCTTGCTGGAAAATTCCAATTGCTGAACTATTTTCCATTACTATGTCTGATTGCCACAGGGTTTCCATTGCGTTTAAGAAGCAAAGCCGATGAAGTTTTCACCAACGATACCCTCTGGTAATTTAACATAGCTATTGAACATGGCCATTTATAGTGGATTTACCCATTGAAAATGGTGGATCTTTCCATAGTTATGGGACAGTCTACCAGAGGGTATCATGGGTAGGTACAGGAGCCTGTGTGGACCTCCCAGCCTTCGGGGAAATATATCTGGAGGTGCCGACGGTATCCGACGGTCGGGTCGTGGCCTTCGTGGGAGGGATCGTGTGTAGGCATGGGATGGCATGGGTAGAGTTGTTGACATCCCTTAAATATACGGTTTTTGAACGTGTTGCATTATGTACGAATATATATATATATACATATATATATATATATGTAGAATATGTATATATATATATATGTATAAATGTATGTATGCATGAATATTTACATACTTGAAACAACATTAAAAGGCAGCAGAAGACAATACATAGTTGTCTATACACACATGATATACAGATATGGTGTGCGCCTATTGGCCACGTGTCATTTGAAACACTCACCACGAGGGCCCATGACGTTGATAGCCGAGAGGACAAGGTTTGTTGCTTTCATGTATTTTCCATTTTTATACTAAGTAGACTAAGACCAGCCCAATAATATTCATCATTATTTGCCCCTATCTATAATTATAATTAATTATAGGTATATATATATATATTTGACTCATTTCACCTTAATACGTTATCTATTATTAAAAAAATATATACCGTAAGTACTTTTGAAACAGTTTGTATAGTCTATAATATCATGCAATAATTGTCTTGTTGATCTAAATCATTCTAAATCTATAGTTATACTGTGTATATATATATATAAGAACCTATCATCTATATTTTTAGTACCTATCATCTATAGTTGTTTTCTTAAGCGTTATATAACAATGACAGCTACCACCTCCCCCGCCTCAGCGATGGAGGCCTGGAAATCCTGCAGCCACTGCGCCTGAGAGAGCCTTAAATCGACTCCTGGTATGCTATCCGCAGGAGTCAAAAAAAAACGATGGCGTAAGGTGGGGAAAGCGACGGAAAACCTGGGGAAACCGCCATGGAAAATCTGGGTTGAATGGGATTGATCCATTTGATTCATGGGATATTCATGGTGTGAAATGGAGAATGAATCAGTTGATATGTGGATTTAAAAGGGGAACATGATGGTACACTATTGCATCCGTATGGTGCCCTGTTTTCAGGCAAACCCATATATTAGATACAACAGTACATTATAGAATTGTACATTTGGCCATACTTTTCCAAATGAGAATGCATGCTTAAATTCGCCCATTGAGCGCGGTTCAATTCTATCATTGGTATCAACGCCACATGGATCATTGGATCTTCCGCAAGGAAGGAGAGGAATTGGGGGAACCCTTGCGGGTTCGTCAAACATCCAAGAGATCATCCGAAAAAAGTCTCAGCTTCACCTGCGCAAACCCCGCAGCTGGTCAATCCGCCACGTGTTTTGGCAGCCGCTGTATCTAATGGAACAATTGGGAATCTGAGTGTCAAGTCGCTGATTTCTGCCATTTTCTTGCTTTACACATATTTCATGTACAGTAAATAATAGTATGTATGTAAAGTGTTTTTGGTACTCAATGGTTGCTGCATCGCGTTTACTCGTTGGTGCCGACCAGTAAATGGTGGAAGACAATCACTCCGTCACCCCACATCGATATGCAAAGTTGGTTGGTATAGTTTGTGGTTTGGTTTGCGTTTTCCTAATGCAAGAGCATGGGATGATGGACCCGAACTGGCCCTTACGGGCTGCCTGTTTCCATTTTTTTAAGGTGGCTGAAAGTACCAACCCGGTATCAAACACTCACAACTCCACGCCCCACCTGCATCAATTCCACAGTCGCCATGCCGCGCCCAGCCGTTCGTCGTTTGCAATGGAGCCCCTCGGCACCGTGTGGAAAATGGTTGGTTGTCAGTTTTACCCTCTGGTAAACTAACACAGCTATTGAAAATTGTCATTTATAGTGGATTTTCCCATTAAAAATAGTGATTTTCCATAGTTATGTTAGTTTACCAGAGGGTAGATTGTCCGACTCCGACTGTCTTGAAATTGAGTTTTTACAAGCATGCTGAGGCTGGAATATTCAGTGAGCGGTGGTATCAACTTGACATAACTTCACAATGTCCGCAACATCGACAGAGATATTTGCAGACTCATCTATATATGTACACACTTAGATTAGATGGCTTTGCATGTCCACTGGCACAGTCATTTCGACATGTCCAAACTCAAAATAACCATACTATATGATTGTTATGTTCCCGGACTAATCTTCAATGATGTCTGTGGGGAAAGTCTAGCTTTCGGAACAAATGTATGCCCTCACGTTCTCACGCCTTTACTACCTGAAATTTGTACATGATTTCAGCCCTTACAACTGGGATGTAATGGTTCCTGAAGCTACATATATATGTATATATATATAGTATTATATAGTGAGATGTGCAACCCTTAAACAAAAATCTGTGTTTTTTTTTTTAAATATATAGAGCATAAGCATAGTGTGCAAAACCCAATTTTATCCCCTCCATGAATTGATTTTGGTTACTCATGGCATGGATAGCACCAGTGTTTACCAGGTGACTCCTGCTCCAAGTGCTATCAGATGCTACTAACGCTAGCGTTAAGTCGTATCAGCTTGTAAAAGTCGTATCGGGAGGCCGTGCGCCTGGAAAAAGTTCAAGTTTGGCATCACCACAACTTTTAGTAATTGAACAATTTCATTGTTTTGGGGCCGTGCGGCTGGAAAAAGTTCAATGTTTTTTTTTTTTTGCGTTGATTTTTGAAAAATATATTTGATCATTCTTTCAAGGGGGCAAACGCTGGTTGCTGCTTGCCTGCTGCTTGCCTGCTGCTTGCCTGCTGCTTCCTTGCTGCTTGCCTGCTGCTTGCCTGCTGCTGATTAGCTGCCGAGAATTTGTTTGTATTAACTTGTGCCCTTCAAAATCATTGCTGTGCGCAATGCTTCGGCTACTTTTAACTACATCTCCAAGTATGGATGAAACAGGCTGTGCCATGGTGATTCTTCTTCCCTGATGTGACTTTCCACTACCTGATGTGACTTCTCCGTATCGCCGCCGTGCCATGGGGATGATGTGACTTTTCCCGCCTGATGTGACTTAAGTACGGTGTTAGTATCACCCTTTTGTAATCAAACAAAAGGAATGTGAAACACACATTTTAATTTTACCAAACAAATCTTGAGATATACTCTAAGTAAATATGTAGATGCATGACTCTCATTGCCAACTTAGATTGCCTGAGGGTAAATCCCCATGTGTAATTGCCCTCGATCCTTGATGGATAATTTTTGATCTTGCGATGTACTTCGATGTTTGATAGAACGATGTTCGATGCTTAGAAATCCCATGAAAATCCATGAAACCCATGAAGATCTCGAGGTTTGACAGCTCGATCCATAGGTTGTTTCTCCTCATCCCAAGCCTGGCCTGGAGGTTCTTTTTTTGCGCTGGCGGTGGATGCTCATCCAGTGTATGCGGACAGCTTCGACCTGCTGTTTGATCCAGTGGAGGCCGTAGATGCCAGTTTCATCGAAGGTTCATGAACCGCAGAGGTATGTTCATGCTCCGTTAGGGACATAATTACGGATGATTTGTGCTTTGTTGTTTTTTTTAACTAAAAACTTTACAGTTCTTTGTTGGGAAAGATCCTCGTTTTGAAATGTTTGGAGGGGGGTCATGCTCAGCACTTGATGGTCTAAAGTGTGGCCTGTCCAGCACTCCGGTTTCATCAAGAATGGGGTACCGGGTACACCCCAAATCTATCAACACCAAACTTGGTCTCATGTTTTCTTTACATCGGATTTTTGGCGATATCCGCATGTTTTTTTTCTTTCATTTAATCATATAGGTGATTTTACCATATCTGTTTCCCATTTCAATGCCTATTTAGTGCTAGAATTTCTCAGCCATGAAGGGATCCTCGACTTTCAGGACATCGTGGACGAACATGAGCACTGCGGATGGGCCAACCCCATCGATCTGACAATCAAGGCATCAACCTCCAGCCCCTTCGAGGCCCACGGCCAGGCTTTGGGGTGGGAATTTCAGGCAGGGGACCCGTGAGGAGGAATATTCTCAAGTGTTTGCTGTTTTCATGTGGTGTTTTCTATTTGTTTTCCATTGCTTTCCACTGATTTCCATTGTTTTCCATTGGTTCCTTTTCCATTGGTTTGCATATTGTTTTTCACTGGCTTCCATTGCCACTGGGCCGCAGGAAGTGATTGAGATACGAGAAGACGATTGCGGAAACCGCGTGTCGTGGCTGCTAGGGATTAAAAAGTTTCCCTATTGCTTGAAACGGGAGGTTCAACCAGCAGAACAGGCGATGCAAAACCAAGCATAGGATCTAGGGATATTTTTATATGTATGTATACATATATATATATAATGCCAACATCGGATTAATCAACCCCCCCCCCCCACCAGGTAGGTAGGGGGGTACCTTCTGGCTAGTTTCTTGACTACCCCTTAATAATAAGAAACTCTGAACCATAAAAATTTGGATATGGCTTACGTCAATTAGATCTTAATTGAATTCTATTGGATTTGTTAAAATCTCATGGATCAGAAAGGTGGTTGATTAATCGGGGGCAAACCATGGTTATTATTAATGGGGGACATGGGCTCATGGGGGGTACCCTTTGGGAGCTATCCAAACTGATGATTTTTATAAAGATTTTAATTAGAAATCGATCATTTGGGGAATAGTCATTTTTTGAATTTTTCAATGATCAACTTAAACCTTAAGTATAACAATGATGATTAAAAAAAAAGGTAAAAACAAATTGGAAATAAATAGAATTGGAAATAAAAATTGTTGGATAAAAAATTGATTTCAGCACTGGTGGTTTTTTAATCGGGGGGATTTATTAATCCGGGGGGACCACCTTTTTTTAAATTACATTTTTTTTTGGGGGCAGAGGAGGTTGATTAATACCGCTGGGATTATTAATCCTAACTTGGCATTATACAATATATGTGTATATGTATATGTACATATATGTTAATATAACTATGTTTAATTATATATATATACAACGATTGTATATATAAAAAACAAGAGCCCTAAGGCCCTAAGGTGACCCTTTCCATAGAATAATGGAGGTTAATGGGAGCTTATTATTCACAGCAACTTGGCAAGGCTTTTTGACAATGTATCGTTGGTCCTACAACCATCATGGCCATGATGGAATGGTAGAGGCGGTGGTTTGGGGTGTTGGACCTGGTGGTTGAGGTTGGCGGTTTGGGAACTGCCTCTTCCTTCTTTCATGGGTGCACAATCACTTGAAGATTTGCCCCAGAGAAAGCCCAAACCACTGGTCAAACTATGTCAAACTTAGTGGATTGATCATCCAAGTCTAGGCAAATGAGATCAAATGAGCATGTGATCTCACCACGGTCTAGAAACACGTCATTGGGGGATGGACGTCCAGGATACCAGGGTTTTGATCCATGGCCAAATCCATGGATTTCATGTGGGCAGTCCAATAAACCTACCGTTTGGGGATGGTTTGTATGTTTATACCCTTGGTAAACTAACATAGCTATTGAAAATGGTCAATGATAGTGGATTTTCCCATTAAAAATGGTGATTTTCCATAGTTATGTTAGTTTACCAGAGGGTATCACCTATTTAATGTTCATCTAGGGGATGGGGATAAACCATCGGGCCTAGAACATTACATAAAGACCTGGAGACCTTGCCGTGAAACCCTCCCGGCAATTGGCAGCTCTGAGGTCTTGATGATGGGTGGCTTCCTACAATGCACCCTGATGGAGGGACCTGGACATTTCACCCCCTGAAACTGGGGATTTTGAAATTGTGGGCCTCGGCAAAAGATAAACAAGATAAGTTTCCAATATATTAATGGACATTTGTTGAAAATTATAAGGAATATTGGATAATATATTTCCATGTTGAAACTAGTTTCCAATTTCCATGATAAGGATTTTCTTTCAGCCGAAACTATTTCCATGATGAAATTGCAGAAAATCCGAGGAGGTCATTCACACCAAGAAACACCAAGAACTAATCCGAAATGTGGCCACGGTAGTCACCGGTAGTCACGGTAGTCACAGATGGTCACAGTTGGTCACAGTATTGGGTGCTGAGTGCCACTCAAAGCCATGTTGTTGCTGCCCTGGCGCACTCGTGTTTGGAAGTGACCAAATCCCTGAGGCCATAGTGTGGATGAACATATTTATCACGAGACTCGGATTGCAGAGAATCACTCCACAACCCCAAAAAAAAGGTAGGAAGGCTGCTGAAGCTGGTTTGATTGAGACGAACGCCTGGCATTGTTGATTTGGTTTCTGCTTCAGCATGCTTAAGATTGCTTATAGTAGCTACATGTACCTACTATAACCACTATTCTGCTGGTAAAATCTGCTATACTATAACCAATTACAACCACCATATTTGGGAATATAGGTCATGCGTAGCATAATATAGGTTATTGGTGGTATAATGAATCATTCCTATCCCCACATCTGGTGGTAGCCAGGGGTAGCTGATGGGATCACGGACCAAGCCTTAGGAGATGATGATTCATCCTGCCTTGAGCGTTTTCCTCCTCCAGCGCCTGGGCTGTATCATTTGTGCTGCATTCAGCTGTAATATTATATTTATATTATATTATATTATATTAATATGTTTTTTTGTTGTTTTGTTAAATTATATTTTATATATTATATTATATTAAAATATGTTTTTAAATTATATTATATTGTTTTATTTTAACTATATTATATTAAATCATATCATATTATATTATATTATATTTTATTTCATATTATATGTTATTATTTTTTATTATATTATTATATTATTTATTGTATGGGGCGGTGTGCAGGGCAGCCCAGCTAAGCAAAACCTATCTTGGGGAATGGTGCCTTCCCAGCACTCTCGCGGATAAAGCTCGCGTGGTTTGCTTAGTTTGTGCCCATTTCATCCAACAATCACCCCATTAACCCTTTACACAGGATCATGGTTGTTTCAAATCGTCAATGCCATGCAAAACCTACAGCCATTCGATATTGCATCACTGGTGGATATATCATCCCATAACTGGCTGATGCTTTGGAAGCTTTGACATTGTCCATCCTTTCTCGGACATTCCCCACTGACTTTGGTGAACCAACCAATCAGAGAATATATGCCATAGAGGGCTAAGACGCCCTTCTTTTTCGTCGTTGGCGGTCGCTAAGCTCTTAAAATAAGCCCTGAAGAAGCCTTCAATAGTTCGGTCAGCGATTGAGTAGTGTACATAAGTTTTTTTTACCATACAAACATCTATACAAAATGGATATGGATTATCATTGATATCTTTCTGGTAATTCAACATAGCTATCGGATTTGGTCATGTTGAGTTGATTTACTCAAAATGTTTTTTTTTTTCCATAGGAAACTGTTTGTTTACCAAAGAGTATCATATGGACTATACTCAGCACGCGGACTTAATTGATAGATTCTACCAGCTATTAGCAGCTATTACCTATCTGTAGCTATTATCCATATGCTTAATTCATGGATTATTTATAGATTATAACAACTATATATCAATGGGAATTCCAGGATCCTAAAATGAAGGTACTGTACCATATGTTTGGCCATATTTTGTTGGGATATCCCCTTATATACATAGGCCTTACATAGGCCTTACATAGGCCTTATATATGGTAGGTACCTCCATCTAGGATCCTGAAATGGCCATTGAATATATTACCTATTCATAGCTATGCATATTCCACCATGGAATGTCATCCGTTTTGTAAACAACCCGTCCCGAGGTCTGGCCGTGCGCCCGAGAAGATCTTCCTGGGAGGTTCTGGTGACGGTGCCGGGCCGCGCGAAGTGCTGCGCTGGAGCCTGGGCTACGCTGGTGAACAATCTAAATATTACCCATGATTCATTTATTTATATTAGATATATCTGTAAATACATGTAAATACTTTGTATTACTGAATAAAACATAGAGCTGCTATAAGTACTATAGAATTATATAATATATACATTATTTATTATAGAAGTGCTAGATGCTAGAAGCACGGTTATATAAGTATATTTATTATAGAAGTATTCAATTACATACACATGTGATATATGTACTTGACCTGACAGTGCTGGAGTTGGTCACCATTTAGTTGGATGATTTTCCCATTGGAAACCTCATTGATGGGGGATTTTCATGGATTTTCCATATAAAAAATGTGTTTCCTATATGTTTTCCATGATTTTCCCATGTTTTTTGGCATTTTGGCGACAGGAGAAGTGTGCTGAATGCAACCATGGTCGACATCGACTATGAGGTCACCAGATTCGCCTCAGAATGGATGCCCCAGTTTTTCGGCGGGCGCACCTTTTGCTGGGAAAATCTATGGAAAATGTGAAGTGACCATAGTTTTAGGGGACCCGGGGAACACATATCCTTAATATCCAACATATCTGATGAGATATATCATCTCATTGATGAGAATATATCATGAATGATCATGACTCTGACATAATTATTGGATGAGGACATATTCCCAGTTGTATATATAGTCATTTGGATTGTTTGAGTCTATAATCCATCCAAAATCTCCACGGAGGAGTGTATCATGTTGAAGAAATGGCCCAGGTTCCATGGAATCAACGCAAAAAGAGTGAGAGAAAACCCTTGCTGGGATGGAACCTCTTTGTTCGAGCCACATATGCATATATGAATATATACATATTTATATATATATATATATACACACATATATATATATATACATATAGATATCGTGTATATATATATAGATGTAATATCAAGATTGTCGTTTATCCTTTGAAAAAGCTACATCTATTAGTATTAGTTCTAGCTATATTCTACATATACACTTTCATGTTTGAGGATACATATTCATACAAACGTGTCTATATAGAAATATATGCGTACATATTCATGCATACACATCTAAACCAATGCATATCCATTTGAAAACGTTGCCAAGGTTGGCGAACGGCAGTTTTCAGGACCCCCGCTTGCACCTGGTAACAGGCCACTTTTGTGACAGCCGAAAGGTCTTCACCTGGTCAAAACGCGAAGGTTTTGACAGGTTTCATGAACAGTCTGAATTTGATTGTCGGATTGCAGAGACGGTTCTGCGGGGTAGCTGGGTTGGCGCTGGCTGTTATAGCTGAAGGTTTCCTGATGTGATTTCCTTGACTAAAGCCCGGCATGTGGCCTTCAGGTGATGCCATGCAGTACCTCCAGGAGCTTCCAAAGGACCATACCTTTGATGCGTCTCGGCCGTGAGACCTTGAAAAAGGTTAAGGGAGGCCTCAAGTACAGGTAGAATGCGATGTGTTGGTAAATTATCATAATCAAGCTCTAGGAATGGATTTGGAATTATCCATATGTACATATATATATATATACAATTGTAGTTGTTGTCCTTTATGTTTAGATGGCAGCATTTTCTTGCTGACTATTGACATCGGTCGTGTTGGAAGAAATTGTCATCTTGGAGGGTGACCTCCCCCAAAACATCTCAGATCTTTGAAGCAGAAAACCTTCGATTGAAACACTTCAGATCCTTACACATGATTAACATGTCTATAGTGCATCTTAAATGTTATCTATACCCAAAATTTACCAACCAAAGGATCCCTTCAAACAACAAACAACTCCACCATCTCCACCCATCTGACAGTCTGATGCCCGTCCATGTGTGGAGATATATCAATCCCCATGTTTATTGCATAAGTCCCGTGTAAAAAAAAACAACAAAACAGAAGACTGTCGTTTCTTCCCCATGTGTGCAGGTCATAATCCTGGATTTCCCAGATGTGGCCGATAGCCGGGCTTTGGAGAAGCTTTACAGCGTCTCGTCTTGTCGCTGTTTCATCCAGGGATTTCCACGTTTTTATGTGGGTTCGTACTGTTACCCCAGATTTCCTAATGACACCCCCGGGTTTATGAAGTTTATCAATATGGGTGTGTTTCCAAAAAAAAGTGATAATTACCTTCTTCGAGTGATACCCACCAACTGACATTCTATTTGACACTTTTTCTGGCATTATATTTCCCAATATGCCTAATGTGGGATATGAAGATGGATCAAAAGTAGGATTTTCCGTCTTGGGAGGGTGAACGTCCCAGCTGTACCAGCTATCAGCAGTGTGTGAACGGCACGGTGTCAAGGGTGTTGACCCACAGGATAAGTCGCGTTTGGCCCATCCAGTACAGGTGCAAACGTCAGTGGGGATTGTTTTTCCAGAGCTTTCTGGGGTGTTCAAAGTTGAGTGGGTTTGATATAATTTTGAAGTCGGACCGGAAAGGTCTGGTACGTTCAACTTGAAAAATGTAACTTTGAGGCTGATATGAGAGGAAGAAAAAACCAGAGGTCCCCAAGATGACCGCGGCAACCTCTGTACAGCCCCCAAGGTGTCGATTTCTACCGCCTTTGTCGTGAACATATGCATGAAAAGAGTGGCTTGGAACTGCTATTACAGTATCAATTATCGATGAATTGTTGGTGGATTTTAAATGATTTTTTCCATTCTTTATATGTACAGTACAGTATATATTTATACATTTAATGTTGAATATTGTTGATATTGAGGTAAAAATATAGTCATGGAATGTAATGGATATGGTAACTGTTCATAGGTTTTTCGGATTTCTTCCAGAGATGATCCCAGGCAAAATCAGGTGTTTTTCTCAGATTGTTTGAACCAGAAAGCAACCAGGAAAACCCCGCAGTGATCACATCTCTGCCGATATCTACAGATTTTCCCATGGATTTTCCCATCTCCGGTCGCAGCCAGGTGTTTTAGTGGCCCAGACTGGCCCCTGCACGCACATGAACCGCGCTGGTTTTCGGGCTTCGTGCAACATGTCACTTGGATGCTGGGCATTCGCGTCGCAGAAACTAGAAGTCCTACCCCTAGAAGGTGGGGCCCCAGATACTCATGTGGGTTTATAAATCAATTTACAAGCGCGAGGCACCACCTTAAATTGTGATAGTGGCGATGCAACAACCCTTTGCATAATGACAGTACAATGAGAGCGAACATGATATTTTTTGAAGGACTGCAGCAGGAATGATTCTGATGATGAGAGCAATGATAGCGATGATACATGATGATACCACCATATAGAGTACCTCTTGATTGTTTGATTGATGGGATTCCAAAACAAACAGATTTGGAAAAACATGTTGGAACATCTATAGTTTCAGTTGACACGCGGAAATGCATCAGCGAAAAGAAGATCCAAGCAGATATGATCAGGCTTCCCATCCGCGCACATAACTTCATTTTTTCTGGTATGTAGGTCACATCTTTGTTTCTAAGTGGAATCAATAGGTTTTGAATGTTCATGCCTGTTTACAACTAGAGGTCTGGCATTCTTTCCAGGTTATAGCACCAGTAGCTGACAGGCTGGTGGTTTCAGATCTGTTGAGTTTTTGTCCCGGAAAAAGGGATGATCTTCCCCATTGCGTTTCTGTTGTTTAGGGGCCGGGTGGCTCAGAAAGCAAGTGAGGTTGGAGCATTTCATTTTGCCCAGCATCGTCAAGGTCTTCCAGGAAGTAGCATCTCGGCACATCTAGACCACATCTCGACCACATCTCGACCACCCACCCACACAAAAGATGGAACTTAATGATCAAAAGAGAAGTCAGTCACCCGAAGACTGACTTCCCCCAAAGATACTGACTTCCCCCAAAGATAAAATCCAAAGCCGGGGATCAAATCTTCAATGCGCCAGGAAGCATCATGGATCATGGGATCAGTCATTCCAAATGGGGGTCATGAAGGTCATGTCAATATTTGATCTTTGGATATAGTTGGGTAACCAAACTTGATGCTCAAATGATGCGATCCAAGTGCGTGAAGTGCCATCATAGTTTCCATTGTGGAACAGGTTCCAGGTTGCACCGCCTCAAATGGTCCAGAGAGAGAGAGAGAGAGGACTGCTGTAAATCTGTTCGCAACAGATTTGGACAAAGCAGACAATTTCAGAAACCCTTAGAGACTTTCCATGCCACTTTGATCTACGTCTGGTGATTTTTTTTCAGATTTGGTCGTAGAATGTCGTAGATCTCATTGGATATCCAGTGCCGAGGATGTGTTGCTTCACCCCATGGCAACTTGGAAAGTGGACAGGAGAGGGGCTGGGCAACTTGGAATGTTGGGATCGTTAGCCTTTACGATTTTGATAGCATACATTTGTCCATTTGATGTATGTGTCTTTGCATGCCTATATTATATTTTACATATGAAATTGTATGAGAAACATCTTAGTACTCATTGATATATACACTGATGCACAGTATACATATTATCTTACATAGAATGATGCAATGCATTCACATCTATGACTATGTATGTATGACCTCCCGTAATTTTATATAACTATGGAAGCCATGGCCCATTTAGTTTGATATTTTACCTATTTGCGTTGTTTGTTTTTCCCCAAAAGAGATAGAAAGGTAAACTCCAATCCGAAAAAAATGTGGACAAAAACAACGTGCAGTTCTATTTTTGTTATGTTTGCTATACCATCTGGTTATTTAACATAGCCATGGAAAATGGCCCATTTATAGATGGTTTACCTATTAAAAATGGTGATTTTCCATGGCTATGTTAAATAACGATACGGTACATTTGTTAAGGTCGCCAAACATCCGGTGGTTTTTTCAGGAGTATCTCCTCAGAGTGGTCCAGCTTCACCATGGCGAGGCCAAACACCGTCCCATAGGGCACTTCCGATGGCGAGTGGAACATGGGGCGGTGCGGAAAAATCACAATTTTTAATGGGAAAATCACCATTTTTAATGGGACAAGTCCACCATTTTTAATGGGAAAAGTCCACTATTTCAATGGTATAGTGGGACATACGCATATTCTTACTGGTGCGTTTTACGTAGGGTTGCTGGATGGGTGAATGGATGGGTTGCTGGGATGATGAAATTACGAATGTGATGATTCATGGATCATTCCCGAAAATTCCCGAAACGTAAAACGCAGCAGTAAGGAAATGATGGTGGGATTTTCCACATGTAGAATCCCCAGGGGAAATGGTGGGACAAGCTCTGGGAAACTCAGCTCAAACTGGTGCCTTACTGGGGTAGTTCATAGTGGCGGTGAATTGGTATGTTGTTAATGTGGTAACCCTCAAAATCACCATGAAAAAATGGGTGGTATAAGCCATCCCCAAATAGTAGGTTTATTATTGGGGTTACCCTCTGGTAATTTAACATAGCCATGGGAAATGGCCATTTATAGTTGATTTACCCGTTAAAAATGATGATTTTCCATGGCTATGTTAGTTTACCAGAGAGTACTACATGGATTATGGGACCATACAGGCAACAATTTGTTGCTCCGCATGCTGATCCACTTTGGTCGGTACCTGGAGTATGGTAGATCAGGCAAGGGTCCTGTTTGTTTCCTGGAGGCATCTTTTCACGTAGTGGTACATCATATCCACATCATTTTACTGGCTTACACATCTCCATGTGTTGGTTAATGTTATATCCCATTTACATACACACACACATATATATATATATATTCTATATATGTATATATATATATATGTATATTATAATGTACCATTAATATCCTATATGGTTGGGTATAACCCATCCATTTTATGCTTGGCTGCGCATCCCAGTCAGTAAATGGTTTGTAGCCCATACGTAGCCCATACGTAGTCCATGTAACTGGTAGTTCCTTTGAAGTGGGATGTACATCAGGTTGTTGTTGAGATCGTTGATTATACATCCCTTTAAGTACCATTACCCTCTGGTAATTTAACATAGCCATTGAAAATGGCCATTTATAGTGAGTTTTCCCATGAAAAATTGTGTTTTTCCATAGCTATGGGACAGTTTACCGGAGGGTATCCCATTCATTTCCGTAGTTTATATCTTCCATGAATATTCAAGTAGCCTCTGGTAATCAAACGCGGCCTGAGAATCCACCAATGGATCATCTTCCCAGCAGGAAAACCTCCATTTTTCATGGGGATTTCCCTTTTGTGTTTCCTATTTCCTATGATTTTCCCATTGTTTATAGGGACATTTCCCAGGATTGTCCCCATTTCCCATCGATTTTCCCATATTTCTCGGAGAAAAAAACCAGCCAGGCTGGCCGAATTCGAGCCGCTGGATGTGTCCCAGGAATCCTGGAGGAAGCACATCGATGGAGAGTTGAGGCGTCGGTTCTGGAAAATGCATGAGAGTTTACCATCTGGTTGGTGATATTAATAGTGGTTAATTAATAGGGTATAAACCAACAACAATGGAATATGATGGTGATCTGATTGGTGGTGACTGGAACATGGCTTTTATGACTGTCCATAGTAGTTGGGAATTTCATCATCCCAACTGACGAAGTCCATCATTTTTCAGAGGGGTAGGTATACCACCAACCAAATAGTGATGTTACCAGAAATGGTAGGATTTAACATATCAGACATGGGGATTTAATCAGCAACTTTGTGATTTAACCATCAAGCATGGGATGTGTTGGTTGATTCTTGAGTAATAAAGACCACCCCAATTTCCACTACGTCTTCAAATTATTGATGGGTAAAACTCATACAAGAATAGCATACAGCAGCAGAAGCTGAAAAAGTGGTTGAACATTACAGATTTACCATGATTTACCGAGCAACATTGGAGTTCAACTAGCAGATGATCCTCAAGAGCTATCATGGCGGGGCACCTTTGGCAAACATACAAAAAGCATCAAAAAGCTATTGAACATGGCCATTTACAGTTGATTTACCCATCAAAAATGATGATGTTTCATAGTTATATTATTATATATATTAGTTTACCAGAGGGTAACTGTTGGTGACTTCTGGCGTTTTTTTCCAGAGAAATGTGAGTGAGATAACCTGCGTATAGATCTGCAGATGTGAGGATTTTTGTTGATAAAACAAGAATCCTGGCCTCGCTACTCAACAGTCAGATACAGGGATTAGTGTGCACATCGAGAATATCCAATGGATTGCTTTCAAGGAACGTTTTACAGGAAATCCCCACGATCTTAATTTGAAAATCGATGGTTTCCGGTGAAGTTTTTCCCAAAAACCGATCCATTGAGAAATGGAGGTACTACAGCGGAGCGCGGCATGTGGCGGCACTTCACCATCCAAGGCCCATGGTGAATCGTTGCTTAGCCCTGCGAATGATGGGTTTCACAGTGCTTGATTGGTGAGGTGTTTTTTTACATGTTTTTATGACCCAATATGTGCACATGCACCTATATCATTATATATATACATATATATATATATATATTATTGGCTGGTGGTTTGAAACATGTTTCATCCGACCCATGGGATCTCCTATTTTTTTCATGGCGCTTATGTTATTTTAATAAATGTTTGAAGCGCCAAGTAACTCAACTCCTCAACGCCAGATCCCGTTCGCCGAGGTTTGTTGACGTTGCGTGGCAAGGCGCCCTTGCCTGGTACTTCACCGCTGCGGCAAGCTGCCGCGGAGTTGTGAGCAGAGCTGGATTGGATGGCGAGAATTTCGCGGAAGTTCGCGTGTTTTCAATATCGCATACCCTCTGGTAAACTAACGTAACTATGGAAAATCACCTTTTTTAATGGGAAAATCCACTATAAATGGCCATTTTCAATAGCTATGTTAGTTTACCAGAGGGTATATAGCATGTTTGTAGTGGGAAAACCAGGACTTACTGGAATGTTTTATGAATATGTTTATGAATGTTTATCCGATAAATCCTTAATCCTGGTTTATCATGTTTATGCGGAAAATGAAGCACGAGTTTCATGCATCTTTTGCCAATGGTTTATGGATGTTTATGGCAAACTCCAGTGTTTGTCCATTGTTACTAGAGAAGCCCGGGTTTCTTGCAATGCGCCTTGATTGCTGGGACTTTGTTCCCGATCTTCAACCGACACAAGAGGAAGGTATTGGGCAAGTTCATATCGGACTTCATGAATCATCAGGACGAGTTCAATCTTACCAAAAAAACATGACTATTTTTCAGTTCGAAACCTCTCCAACAAATTGCCAGAGGGTAGGCAAGTCATGGCAAGTCCAGCAAAAATGATGCCAGAGACATCCAGTGAAGCTGCCGGAGGGTCATGCCCTTTGGCCCAAAAAAATGAGCGTGCAGCTTAACCTGGCACCGGAACTCCACAGGTCATATCGTGTCATATCCATGTTGATCAATATTCTAATTTACACATGATATCACATGATTTTTCAGAATTTCCTTACAACTGGTTGGGATTTCTCATTGCCATGTTTGGTGATGTTTAATTACTGGAGGTGTTTCTATTACATCAAGATCCCTGGGTTCCCTTCAAAAGACAGGAATGTGAGTGTTTGATGGTGATCTTGACGTGGTTTTCCCATTTAATTCTTCTCGCATCCTGCCCCATTTGCAACCAATTGCCTCGCAATCTGGATGGTTGGGGTAACACCGGTTTGATGACAAGATCAGCGAGATGACGTAGAAGAACTTGGTAACGGTGCGAAGGCTTGTTTTGATGTCTGGGGTGGGCCCAAAGGTACTCACCATGGACATTTTCAAGGTTGAACTATTTCCAAGTTACTGATAATGACATTTCCAAGTTACTGATCATTGACATTTCCAAAGTTGCCAAACTACAGGTGAAATACAGATGATCAGAGCCAGATTTCAAGCCCCCGGCCAGGTGTCGCAGGCTGAGTCTGGAGAACTTGCACTGAGGATTTAACTTACATTAGGGTAGTAGGGAACATTGAAGACTTATAAGTATATATATATGTAGTTATATAACCCCCCCCAAAAAAATAGAACATGTTGTTGTTTTCCAACATTTGAGTATGAAACTTATTGAAACCACTTTTTGGGATGTTCAACGGAAAGCACGATGAAACATTGGAGTGTCACCTGTCAGGTGGCCGTGTAGACGACCAGTGCAGCTGAGGGACAAAAAGGCGACCGACAGACGTGGCTGCAGAGGTGTGATATGTCCCACTGAAAAATGCAACCGGCATAGAATTGAGACAATCTTCAGGAATGGATTTGTTTATGTTGTTCGGGTTTGTTTCAAAAGCACTCAAAGCTGTACATTACAATACATTACAATACATTACAATACCAGATGTCAGGTAGATACTGTAGTTTGTTTGTTTTTTTTACCGATATGGGGTTGCCTTGGGAATAGGTAGGACCCAACTCAATTTGAGATTGAGATTTGCCAGAATGTCATAATCTGAAATCAATGAAATATAGATATGAATGATATGAATTTGAAAAACCTGTACCACAAAATCATAAATCATACATCTGTATAAACAAGTGATTTGGATTGGGAAAAAAACAAAGTACCTTTTTTGTGACCCAGGATTCCAGTGATTTGCGTACCCTTGCGACGAGCGATGAAGCTAGGCGCAGAAACGGAAAGTGGTATGTCGTGGTGTCATCCGGGCTTTGGGTTCACAGTTTGACATGCCTCAAGCGTACAAGACCCATAGGATCCATGGTGCTATATATGGTAACATATGGTAACATGGATCCCATCAATATACCCGCTTTATGTTAGCATATATACCAGCACCATGGATCCGTCATGGGAGAAGGAAGGGCATTCTGTGAAGACTCGGAATGCGAAAAAAAATTAAGCGATAGACTTTGAATATTTTTCATGATTCTGATAAATGAAGAAATTGAGTTCCTTCTTCTTGTGTCTGCGCTCATACTAGCTCGCAGAAAGAGGGGAAATGCAAGAAAGTGTAGGACCTGGACAAACGAATCCTGCAATCAGCATGTCCAATTTTTGAAGAGTAAAATAATCGTTCTGAACCTTGTTGCGTATTATGAATACGTCAATATAATGATAATGAATAGTGATGATATTATATAATTAATGGTTCTTAATATACAATACGCGGTGTATATGCATATATATATATACATATGTATAATACGCATATGGATATATCTATATCTCTATATATATATATATCTATCTATACATAATATCCAGATACTTGCATTGGCATTTGCATTGGCATGTGCGCACGCGTGCTCTTCGGACAGGCCAGCAGAGGCGTGTCAAGGAGCAGGCCGCCATCGATGCGATCCGTGCGCGGGAGGCCTTCTGAACTTCTCCTTGGAGATGGCGTGTGCATATGTTTATATATATATATATATGTGTGTATTATATATAGATATATTGATATTTATTTATTTATTTATTTATTTAGTTATTTATTTATTTATATGATATAATTACGTCGTCTAATATGGCCCTCAGTCATTATCTAATATTTATATGGTTCCATATGGTTCCCAACTTATATATTATATGTTCTTCTAATCATTAATCTAATAAAAATATTGTTCTCAACAATTGGATCTGATATATATATATATATAATGAAAAGTAAAATAGTCTAATCATCAACAATCCGTAATTAGATATATCAGTTCTGGGAACAATTGGAGATGATTTGGGTCACCTTGCCATTCCGCGACACCAAAAACTGGGCGACAGGATTGAATCATATTGGATCTGGGCTGACACCAACAGACACGATTTACCAATCAGGTTGGCGGATTATATGGTAATGCTAAAAAAAGATGATTTACCCTCCGGTAATCAAACATGGCTAGCTGGGAAATCCCCTAAAAATACGGAGGTTTTAATTGGACAATCATCTAGTAAATGGATGTAATGTCCTGTGGTGCCCATCATTTCCTGAAGATATACGGTACCACCCATGTAAATCCATGTGAGGTTTGTAACATAGGTGACCCACTTAATCGCCTTTTGTCCATGCTGGGAAAAAACCTGTCAAACAAGTCAAACTATGTCAAAACCAAATTGAAATGAACAAAGTCCGGTGCATGTCACCAACCATAGCTATCACAACTCAAGTCCGGTCTGCGGGTGATTGTACCAGCCATGGCCCTTGAAAAACGACATCATTTTACCACCTGTGCAGGCGAAACCTCAGAAAGTGCAACGAGCCAAAACGGTTGAGGCGCGAGGGAAGAAGTCCACACTTATCACAAAGAGAAGATGTGGAATCACACAAGTATGGATAGAAATGCTGGTATACAAGATGCAAACACACAAAGAGAGAGAGAGAGATATATATAGATAGATAGATAGATAGGATAGGATAGGATAGGATAAGATAAGATAAGATAAGATAGATAGATAGATAAGATAAGATAAGATAAGATAAGATGGATAGATGGATAGATGGATAGATGGATAGATGGATAGATAGATGGATATATAGATGGATAGATAGACAGATAGATATAGATAGATATAGATAGATATAGATAGATATAGATAGATATAGATAGATATAGATAGATATAGATAGATAGATAGATATAGATAGACAGATAGATAGGTAGGTAGATAGATAGACAGATAGACAGATAGACAGATAGACAGATAAACAGATAGACGGATAGACAGATAGACAGATAGACAGATAGACATAGATAGATAGATAGATAGATAGATAGATAGAGATATAGATATAGATATAGATAGATAGGTAGATAGGTAGATAGCTAGATAGATAGATAGACAGATAGACAGATAGACAGATAGACCACAGATAGACCGATAGACAGATCGACAGATAGACAGAGACAGATAGATGATAGATAGATAGATGATGATAGATGGAGATGATATGGATAGAGATGGATAGATGGATAGATGGATAGATGGATAGATGGATAGATGGATAGATGGATAGATGGATAGATGGATAGATGGATAGATGGATAGGTGGATAGGTGGATAGATGGATAGATGGATAGATGGATAGATGGATAGATAGATAGATCGATAGATAGATAGATCGATAGATAGAGAGATAGATAGATAAATAGATAGATAGATATAGATAGATAGATAGATAGGTAGACAGATAGATAGACAGATAGATAGATAGACAGGCAGATAGATAGATAGACAGATAGATAGATAGACAGATAGATAGACAGATAGATAGATAGATAGATTGATAGATAGATAGATAGACAGATAGATAGATAGATTGATATATAGATAGGTATGTACATATTTGATGTTTATTGGATCAACATGTGTATATCATTGTATGTGTATACATACACATTGGATGAACACTGGTGCCCCAGCGACCATGATTGGTTGATGGGGGAAGCTTCAGAAGATGACCCCAACTGTGGCGAGATGTTGGAAATACCTCACTGGAGCCTGGAAAAATGAGGGGAAAAACATGGAAAAACATCATCAAACTACGTGGAAATACAGTTTCTCGTTTCCAATTTGTTTGGTTGTTACCATATGTCCATAGTATGTAAGATTGGCAGGTGAGTATTTTTCTGAGCCTAGTCCGCTGGAACCAGAAAGATCAAGAAATCAATAGCCATTTCAGGTACCTAAACTGGAGGTACTGTTCCATATGAAGCTATGTTTTGGGGATATATCATCCCCTTACATAGCCGTTACACAGACCTTATATAAATA